TTCGTATTGTGTAATTCTTTTATTCTTATTTTCATAACTCACTCGTAAGATTTATGAATGTAATTATTTGCGTTCTTGCATTTGCTGTACAAGCCATGTATAACGAAATTAACCTGATTTAATCACTGTTTATACAACCGCGGAATATTTATATTCCTTCTTATTTGTTGATATTTTCACAAAATAACTTTACTTCAACCTGTTTCTCTTTATTTTTTTATTGTTTCTTTCGTACTTTGTGTTACTTTTCTAAATAAATAAGGAACATGTCTCCTAGAGATTTTTTTGGATAGTTGGTGGATTTAAGGTTGAATGTAGTTTGTTCAATCCGATAATCATGCGCACATTCGAATTTGTATTCTCTTCGTTCATTAAAATCATTGTTTTGATTCTCATATCATGAATTGTGTGGTTGTGAGTTCTTGAATTTTTCGTTGTCATACCATTAAGGACACTGCTCCAACAATTCTGGTTTCCAGGATAAGTCAAATTTAGTTTCTAACCTGGTTCATTCTTATGTAGAGGGGAATTCTCGCCTCTCACATTAGGCTTATTTTAGTTGCCAAAGTTCATAGTCCCAATGATTTCGGATTTGGTAAGGTGACACGATGACAATGTCTTACTTGCCTAATTGTCCATCTTATCCGAATCACAACTGGAAGTTGAGCTGACACCGCGTCCATCAAGCCGCCAGATGCCGCAGCTACGATTAGACAAAATTGCTTCCGTTAGTAAATCCACTCTATCTTTTATTATTTTGATTACTTTTTTGTATCTAGCTTAGCTGTGTCTGGAACATGTTTGTGTTCCGTAGGCTGTTTTGTAATCACTCCGTATTTCGTATGATAGCCCAACTTACGCTTCGCTATACGACAATTCCGTACATCTCCAAACATTCTTGTCGTTAACTAATTTCTCTTTTATGAATTTGTAGACACTATCAGGAAGTTGGGGACGTGGTCAATTTTCGCGTAATCTAAAAGCACTTTAGTGAGACATATGAAAATATAATCTGGAATTCAGTTTACTGCTTTTATAAATACTTTTTTTAGTATTTCAAAGTCTGCTCAAATAGTTTGTTATAAAACGGGACGGATAACAATTTTTTTTAATGCAATTATACTTTCACTACAACTAATTAATCGCAATTTAGTCTAATATCTTTACACTTCCCATCACCTACAACTGTTCTCGATACCCAGATAAGTCATTTCAAGACAAACTGCTAGTTATTGTCGATTCTCACTTTATTCGATGAGTGCCTTTGTGTACAATCTTACTGGTGGTATGCTTTTTGCATGATTGGTTTCGTGGCTCACAACCTGTTGGCCAAATGATTCTATTTCTTTGGAATAAATAATATACTGCTTCCTAACATTTTCATTTGCATCATGGATTCTAGTTTGTAAATATACTTAAGTCTTCGAATTACCTAGTTGGGATATGGTGTGTGGCTGTTTATATTTGTGTGGTTAAACAACGATATAGTGCAGTGATTTTCAAATATATTGACTTGTGTTTAGATTGTAGCCAAAGCACATTTCATATTATTTAAATAACTTCGAAACTTACCAGATATCTGAACCTATTATCCAGTCACCGCTACTTAATACTGTAGTTTGGACCAGTTAGTTTTAAAAGATTTCTCGTTAGGAAGTCATATAGAAACGTTATTAAATCAATAGATCAGATAGCTCTATTAATCTTGGAAGTGACCTGATTGTTATCCACTTTCAGTCAGATTATATATATATATATATATATATATATATATATATAATAGGTTTAGATAATATATTCTAATGTCCTTCTTAAAACGTTAATTACCATGTTATCAGAAGTGATATAGTCATTATCAATAATATTAGATAATCAATATGCCTAACCATAAATTTATTTATGGCTTTTCACTAAGTGGGTTGAAGGTATCGTACTTGCTGCGAGACGTGAATGTCTTTCATCTAATTCCTTGTAAAGTAGTAGGTAAAGAAGGCTACTGTATAATCCTAAACTATGGAGAAATAATTATTCAGTTTTTATTGATATTTTTTATAATCCTTCAGTTTTTGTCAGTCAATGTAGAAAAATATTTTCATATTCTACCTAATCTCCACGAACCTTCTAACTAAATATTGATCAGCCAAATTGAAACTAACCACCATATTTGATAAACAGTAATAATTATTTTAATAAATAGTTATTATTTCGCAATATGAAAATATGTTCCAGTGACATAAAATCTCTTATGATGAATTCTTTCCTCATATTTCATATATATATTGTTTTAAATATTACATGACACACAACGTTACTCATTTCCTTAATTTCTTTTAAATATTTGAAGTGTATGATGGATAAATGATATTTGAAACACTTTCTTTACATACTCCATTTAAATATTATTGGGTACATATCTGTTCATTAAGAAATTTTGGTTATACCCACCTTCTACGGTATTTATCTGAAGATAACATTGTAAGTATGCAATCCCCAGTAAAAATATTTCACTGGTATGCTTATGTCATTAATGTTGTATTATTGACTGGATTTAGTTGCTCTATCAAATTTACTATTACTTATGTAATCAAAAAGTACATTGTCCATTTCATCAAATAAAATATATAAATATTTATTAGTGTACGTTAGTTATGTGGAGTTGTCTTTTATTACCCCATAGTGTCTTAGTCTGTCATTGGGTAGTAGTATTTTACATTTAGTTTTGTTGAGTTCACATATTTACTGTAATATACCATGCGACTTTTTGGAGAGAAAAAACAACTCAATTTAACAGTGAAGTTAACTGTATATATTACAGAAGTTTGTTAGTATTTCTAGTTGCATAGGAATTTACTAATACTAAAGTGGCAATGAGTATGATCATATTGTTGATTTAAAAGAAATGGATTAGATGTGTCAATCTATTTTTACATTTGAGTATTCGATTTATTCTGGAGATCCCTTTTTAAATGTTACAAATTGGAATATTTATGCTTGACGTTGGAAATCGTTTACTCTTGAAAATCTGTTTTTTATCCACTAAACTGGGTTCATTGTTATCATCATACCATTATGCAACGTGCTTGATAAAAAGAAACTAGATCTGGTTATGTATTGAGTGTTTTTCAATCAAATGCACTGTAAATGATCTATCATCTAATGTATTAATCAATTATCTATATACATAATATTTTTCATTAACCAATTGAAAGGTATACATTTTATAATAGCTAGTGTTCATTACTGCCTTGTGTTAGATAACTGTTACTCATATATAGGTTACCAAGATTATTGCTTCAGAATAAGACAGGCAAACAGAACAGAAGAATATAATAAACGTCTCTCAACTTAATAATTTTCTTAGGAATATCATTAAATATATATTAAAACGAAACGGTTTATTATTAAATAATAATCAGGATGAACTATTGCCATTTGATACCGTAGTTTTACCCCTACTGGTCAACAGAAAAACTGCAACGAATCTTAAAAATACACAGAATAAAGCGTAATATAAAAAAATCGATGCTTTGAAATGCTTTAGTTTGAATCAAGGGAAGGACCCATTTTATCTCTGGACAGAATTTTGTGTGCAGATTAGGTTTTGTCTATTGTAATATAATCAAGAGTCTTCATAAAAAATCGTGACTCGTGCAAGGAGCATCTAAGCTACATATAAGACCTAATAATTTTGATGATATCGAAAATTTACAAATAAACTCAGTTATATAAGTGTGTTATTATCAACTAACATTAAAGTGGTATTAAAAATATCAAAATTATTCAGAAAGGTTTTTAACTATAAAGAAAATTGATTGACTGGAACTTTTTGCATAATGCTAAACCGTACTGCGCTGAAATGCCTAACTATCCATTTATTTCGACTACGCAAACCTCATATTATTAACATATAAACAAACTAACTCAACTTCTTTAAATTACAAAATTCCCATCCACTCAGATATGCACGAATACAAAAAGTGCTTCATCTTTGACTTGAGAGATATGCATCATTATGGCTAGATATGTTGTGATTGTGCTAATATTATTTGATTTGTTCCTAAATGCTATTTACACTTGTGTGAATTTTAATTCAGTTATTTATTTATTTCTGAAAAACTAACTTGCACTACATTGTGAAACGTCGGAAATTCAATTGAGATTCAACTATGTGATAAATTACTTCAGCTCAAATAACGTTTCATTGTTATGTGATCTATATGTAACATTACATAAGTTATCCCATAATTTTAAAATAATAATTTATGTAACCTTCCCATTAGATCCTATTACTAACACTAGATATTTAGATGATTGATAAGTAAAGTACTTACTATTATCAAACGGTATATGGGAAAAAGTAATGCTCACTGCTGAGGCGTCCCACAATAGGACGAAATGGCCGTCTAGTGCTTCCAGGTTTTCCATGGTGGTTTAGCTTCGATTGACTCATGATCTCAACTATTAAAATTACTATAATATCCACAAAAACCCTTCTGATATGAATCAACATATGCTCACTAGTGACTGGCTTCAAGAGGTATTATCTGGAGTTCTATTGAGAAGCAATGACCAGTGGAGGTCAACCGGGTCTGTTGTGAGATAGTAACACACTAAAGACAATAGCGGACGTGTGGCTCAACTTCGTGGATTGGTTGAAGTTAGACAGTAACACTGTTGGATATCGGCTCAGTAGTCTAGAGGTTAAGCGTTCGCGCGCGAGACCGATAGGTCCTGGGTTCGAATCCCGCAGGTGGGACCGTGTATGCGCACTAGTGAGTAGTCCCATACTGGGACGAAACGACCGCCCAGTGCTTCCAGGCTTTCCATGGTGGTCTAGCTTCAATTAACGCATGATCTCAACTATTGAGTTAAAAAATTACCAGTTAAAAAGCTGTTTGAACTAATACTGTCGTAGTTTCGATGACAGTTATGATTAATTCATTTCTCGTTTAGGATTGCCTTTGAAGTTCGATTTCAATTTCTAAAATAGAAAAACGTTATCAAATATAGAAAAACCTATTATTATTATTATTATTACTATTATTATTACTATCATTATTATCATTACTATTATTATTATCATCACTATTGTTATCATTATTATCATTATTATTATTACCACTGTTATTATTACTACTACTATTACTATTATTATTATTATCATTATCATTATTAGTGAATTTACAGGATCTACAAGAGATTTTCTCAGTACTCATAATAGTATATTATTACAGAGCATTTACACAAGAACTAAATATTTTAATTTCATAGAATCATTCATAGTAAATACGTCTTCCCGTTTCATCGCGAGAATTCGTTTGTGAAGGTTATCATTTTTATTGATTTCAAGCCATTCACAATAATTGTACTAGATAGATTTTACTTTCTATAACAATATGAATAAAACGTCAGTTATACTTGGACAGGAGTTGAATGATAGTCTATCACAGTTGTCTTTCTATTGAAGTTATTATTTCGTTTTTTTAAGACTTGAACTTGTTTCAATCTCTTGTCATGAAACAATAAGAACTCTTAATTGCTTTTAAAATCATTATATAGTACAAATAACAAGTTAATTGTAGTTACTTTGGTAGAAAATTATGCAAGTAATCATAAAGTTAAAATATAAATGCTACCATATTATAGACAATGCTAATTTATACATCAATATTTAAAAGATTACATTTTTTTCAGATCATTCTGAGTTATATATGTATATAGCAAATTAAGTAATAAAGTCGAGAAAAATCCTTCATTAATTCATTTAAGTAACAAATAATATTTCAACTGTGGGACATGATAGAATGTTTTTGTTGTCCTGAATGAGATATTTAAACACTCAGAATGTTCCCTGAATATTTTTAAATGGATTATATTGATAATGGTTTGAAAGTAATTTTCATTATGAAGTCATAAATTAGTGGAAATAAAAAAAGCTTTGAATATTAAGCTCGTTGTAAATTGGATCTATTTAGAGGTGTATAGTTTTTTTAAATAGGACAAAGTAAATGTTCACCAACTCCTGGTTTCCAATAATTTATCAATTCATGGTAATTTGTATTGAAAATTATTTTTTATTTGTATAAAATTTTCCCAAAATACAAACTTAGGTAATTATTAATGTTGATCTAAAACTGAACCTAAATTCAGTACACAATGTTTATACATAGTATTACTGGAGATTCTTAACAATGAAAATTGTCATATTTTTTCAAGAATAATAGTGTTCATCCCGTGTATCTTAGAAGCACATTCCAGGAGTTATTCAGCTAACTAGAATATTCACCTCTAGAATATTTTGTCACAAGTGTTCCATAAAATTTAGTGTCTTATAAAAAGTTAATATTTCTATTATTAAGATCTTTAAAACTGAGTGATATAAATTGTCACTAAATAAGTGATTAATTAGTCTATAATATACATGAATAAACCTCATAATTGTTTGAAAGATATGCAGAAATATAATAGTTATGACAAGATAAGCGTTAGTCAAATACGTCTTCCTATAAAGTCCCATGTTATTCAGTCCTGTCATAAAGATTAATCACATTATCACCGATAAAATTGAAATACCCAGTATAATTATCAGTGTTCTTCATAAAAATTATATAAATTCAAATGAAATCAAACCAATTAGTTCAGTCTGCAGAACGAAAATAAGAACTACGAAAAACTATATATTTCGATCATCAGTCAAGAGTTATCTATTCTAAATGTCGAAACATGAATTATGAGAAAAATCCAAAGTTCAAAAGACAGAAAGTGAGTACACTCGTTTTCCTGCTTCGCAGTGACCAAGTATATGCCGCATACATATATAAGATCAACTATTTCACTCCCTACCACTAATTCAAGCACCTACCCATACCAGTCCTGGAACAACACTTGCACTTGGAGAGAGAGAGAAAAAAAAAGAAAGAGAGAATCGCATCCTAAACATGCTTGCATTACTGATTAGAGTGATCAGAAGACTGCATTTCGTCAGCGTCTTCACTAAACACAACTATGTCATCTGCATATTCTAAATCAACAAGTGAATCTCAAAGTGGAAGATTGATTTCTCAGAAATCAGGCAATCAAAGTATTGTCTCTAAAAGGACGTCTACAACAAGGTTGGACAAAAATGGAAAAAGCAGATAGTCTTAACGAAAGCCACCCAAGGTTATCAATTCCGATGACAGTTCACCGTAAGTTCTGAACAGACCAGTAGTGTCTAACTAGGGAGCCTGTACAAGGTTGATGTCACTCGTTGGCATGCCTTTCAATGTCAGACACTAACACAGAATATCACAACCAACGGAGTCGAACGCCCTCTTCAGGTCAAAGAATACAACTATAGCCGGAAGTCGAAAACAATGTTTATGTTACAGGACCTGAAAAGAGGTGGATATTTGGTCTGTCTATCTACATCCACGTCTGAAACTAGACTGGTTTCCCCGAGTTTGTTGTTCAAGAGCACCAGATAAGCGTTGTTTGGTTACTGGGGCTAACGTTTTAGACAACATATTGGTCAAACTGATTCCTCCTTTGTCGTCAATAGGGATTTTTGCCCCTTGTAGAATGGACCGATCAACTACCGAGACCAGTCCCATGAGACTAAGTTCAGTTCACAGATTCTGGATGATAGCTCAGTTAATTCAACAGTTAAAAAAAACACAGTATCCTTGATGTACTCAGAAGTTAATTTGTCATCCTCTACTGCTCGCACTGGCTTCATATTAGCTTTTCCTACTTTATTTGGAGTCGGAGAGCTTATGTTGACATCCTGTTTAGTGTGCCTAATAATGGTAGACGAATGATGGGAAGATGAAGAACAGTTAAACTGTTCTTTAAAATGCTATGCCTATCGTTTTAGTCTCCTAGGTTTGGGGTGAATTATTGTCTTACTTTTTCAGAAGTTGTCTCAGAAATTCCTGAGTAATTAGTACCTATCTTTTGATAAATCTGAAAATTTTGCTGTTGTTTTCTATTGTCAAGGCCTTTTCCATCGATTTTACTTGAGTTGCTTCTCAGTGCTAATGACTACTGCGTGGAACTTTTTTCGGCCAAAGTTGTATTTACTCGTCATCCTGTTCCGAACCCTCATCTATCAACTTAGTATACACCGCTGAAATCCACTAATGTCAGTCAATACATACATAACATACAAAGGTTTTTTCACTTCATAATAAGATCAGAAAATTTTATCCAAAGAATAGTTCTTCCCCTTTCTTTTTAGTCTAATCTCATACATTAAATATAAATATGAATACAAGACAATTAGCTTACAACTCTATTTTATTATAGGTATGACACCTTTTATAAGCTTTGTGCAGGTTTGATTCATGATAGCAATTTTATTACATTTTTTAAAAGTACATCCTTTATCAAGGCACAAGTAGGAGTAGGAAGCGAACATAAACTCTGTTCCTTCAGCGAGTATTACAGCTTTAGTTCACTAAGAATATAATAATCTATATTTTCAAGTTCATTCACTGGTTGAAATATCAACGATGAGTAGCTACCTTACTTCTGATGAGGTTGATTTCACAGTTTACATAAAAAATAACATTTAATATCAAGGAGTGTTTAACACCTCTTTCATTATTACATATTTAATAAGCCGTTAAAGTATACTAAAAAATTTTCAAAAAGGTAGGAATGACCTAAATCCATGGATGCAATGAAGAATATTATTGTTTGTACATACACAGACAATAGATGTTACTGTTACATGTTATGAATAAAAACATAGTAATGACTGTTCTGTTCATGATTTCTTCATTTGAAAAACCTTTTTATACCTCATACACTGAATATCATCATAGAGCAAATATTGAGGTTTTAGTCAAGTAATAAATCATATAAGCTAAAATTCTGAATAAAAGATACAAATAAATGTTTTACAATAGGAAATATTACTTCATAGAAATGTGAATAATTTGAACTAATGGGTCAGTAAAGAAAGAGGTCAGTAGTTCAGTATGAATAATATGATATGTTTCTCTTTAATTTCCGGAAATTAAATAATAATTGGTATTGATAAAAGCATGATTGCGATCACAATAAAAGCATGTATTTATAGAGAAAGCTTGAGTGAAATAAACCGTAATGATGCCCTAATTGAATCGATACAATACTGTGATTACTGAAGTAGTTTGACAAATAATTTGCTTATGGGTACGATTTTCTAACTACAATCGAATAGCTTATCAATGAAAACTTGACTGACAGGCTGAACATATTGGGGCGGGGGAAACTACATTGTCATTTTTGTATGGAACACTTATAGGAGATAAAATGACGGTGACGAATTCACCAGTAATTCTTTATTTTCTCCTTTCATGACACAATACGTTGTTAATCCTCGATAAAACTGAAAATTTGATAACTAAACTGAATCGATTCTACTTCGTGACCCTCTTGGGTTATTATTGGTCCCAAACCTGTGTAAAGGGGTAGGGTCAGACGTAGAGTTAGTAACTCTTTCTCGAAAAAATGAACTCTAGTAAAAAGTGGCTGACTAGAAAAAGTCAAGTAAAATGTGCGTTGCGAATTAAAGGAGAGTTATGACGTTTAGTTATGAGAAACAAGTATCTGGAATTCATTAGACAAACGTTCCTTTTGATATTCATGGCAACAATAAAAGTAGGGACACGTTTGGAGGCTGAGAGGATCCTTCAAATACACGTTGAAGGTAGAACCTAGCTGTGCTTAAAATTAGTGAAATCCATTAAACACAAACTGAACACAAAGGACTAACGTCGGGAAAGCTGTTGATGTATTCTGGTCATGAAGAAGAAAATGCCCCCTTACAATTAAGAAGTTGTACTGACGCCATTTGGATAAGCACGAAAAGCGCTAATAAGATGGGAAATATATGATCTATGACCATGATAGTATCATTCAGAACAAAGAAAGGAAAGAACTACAATTTTTGTAATCTAGTCCTACGCACCCACCAATGGTGACAACAAAGAGGATATTGATGAGTTTTATGAAGGGCTGTACCCTATCTTAGATAAATGACCTGGAAAAGACCTGGAAATCATGATGGAGAATCTGAATGCCAAGTTTTGGTAAGTCAACACCGAGAGCGAATGCATCATGGGGTGAAATGGACTGGAACAAAGGAATGAGAATAGTTAGTGACTGTTGAATTCATATGCCTTTAGTAGCCTAGTTATAGATGGTAAAATTTCCTCCAACTTCATACGTAAAGGTACATGAGTTTCACTTGGCCACGCTATAGAAAATCAAATCCATTACATACACGTGAGCTGAAAATTCAGGAGGTACATCGGAGTCATAAGAACAAAGAGGGAAACGAGTGTAGCTTCAGATAATCAGGCGGTTGTGGCGAGGCTAAAATGGAAGCTAAAGGAGCCAGCTGAAGAACTGAAGACAGATTTGGAGGTAACATTAGAGATGTTCCATGTTGAGAGGAAGGTCAAGTACCAGAAGTCTGGCAGAAAAATCCGACTCAAAGGTTCCACCTGGTGCTTCTGGGTAGTGAGTAGAAACGTGATAGATAATTTAAGTTTTCGGCAGATATTGGACCATCACACCACTTGACTTGGAAAATCGTGATTGGCTTCTCGATGTGTATGTATATGCATATGAATTGCATGAGTCTCGCCTTGTGTAGTTTATGCATGAAAGTATATGCAAAGTGTACGTGCGTTGGTTAGCACGCGGAACCTAAGTTGAAAAAATGTCTGCTCTATATCTAATAAAATAAACGGCCTTAACCTTCAGGTCGACGACATAGCCAAAAGTTGTGTTATGATGAGCGGTGTCCGAGACCTGGTAATGATATACAACGTGCTATCACCAAACCCTCGCATGACTACTTGAGCGAGAACACAAGAGTAGACGAGAGAGTATATCGGGCTAACGAATGATATGCACAAATACTCGCTTGTATATATACTTCTCTTATTTGCTAACATACATACTTACTCACTCACTCTTATTCCTCGTCGGAGAGCATAGGTCGCCTATCAGCATTCCCCATCAAACTCTGTCCTGGTCAGTCCTTTCCGGTTGCTGTTCATCCTTTTCATTTCTGCTTACAATTCCCGGTGCAGTATATTCTTTGACCTTCCTCTTTTATGTTTCTCTTCAGGATTCCAAGTTAGCGCTTGTCTCGTAATGCAGTTTGATGATTTCCTCATTATGTGTCCTATTCAACTTCAGCATGTTTTCTTAATTTCCCCTTCAGATGGAAGCTGGTTTGTTCTCTCTCACAGTAGGCTGTTGTTGATGGTATCTGGTCAACGGATATTGAGTATCTTGCGTAGACAATTGTTTATAAATACTTGTACTTTTCTGATGATAGTTGTAGTAGTTCTCCAAGTTTCAACCCCGTACAGTAGAACTGTCTTGACGTTTGTATTGAAGATTCTGACTTTGATGTTGGTTGGCAGTTGTTTTGAGTTCAATATGTTCCTCAACCATAGGAATGCTTTGCCAATCCTCACGTTTACGTCTGCATCAGACCCTCTACGCTCATCGATGATGCTGTCTGGGTACGTGAAAGTTCCCACCTCTTCCAGAGTTTCTCCATCAAGTGTGGTTGATTGGGTGTTCTCCTTGTTGTATTTGAGGATTTTGTTTTTTCCTTGTGTATGTTGAAGCGTACTGATGCAGAGACAGCTGCTACACTAGTTGTCTTCATCTGCGTTAGTTGGTGTGTATGTGATAGAAGGTTCAGGTGATGATCTATGAAGTCGAAATCGTCTAGTTGCATCCAACCTGTCTATTGTATTCCGTGCTTTCTCTCAGATTTTGAGGTCATCGTAATCCAATCAACCACCAGAAGAATTGGTTAACCAACCTCAAATGGCTGGTAAATCGTACCAGAAGACTGAAAAGAGGGATATCGGATCAAGTTACAGAAGTAAGGAGAGCTTAGCGAGTGTGAAAACTGCAGAGGGATCACACTAATATCAATACCAGACAAATATTTTAATAATGTTATCAAAAAGAATGAAGTGTTTACTAGACACTCAACTTCAAGATCAACAACCTGGTTTTCGTAAGGATCGATCATGTACCGACCCAATCATGACATTGTGGTTCAATGTTGAACAGTCAAGTGAATGCAACTTAACTATTTATCGAATTCCCTGACCAGAAGAGAGGATTTGACAGTTTAGATAGTACAACTTCATGGAATCTTCTTTGACATTATGGCTCACCTGTAATGATCAGACGAAACTCCTAGGACGAGAGAAATCTGAGAGACATGAATGAAAGATAGCTCACAGATATGTTATTAGTGAACAATGGTGTTAGACGACACTGTCTACTTCCACCTTTTTACTTCTGCTTGCTTTTGAATGGATTATATATATATATATATATCCCGCCAATAAATAACGTGAATGGGTAACTAGTATTTTTTATGTATTCATACCCTTTTGCTACCTACGTATTTAATGGAACGCTTCCATGCATTTTCACGATGTTCTACATCTTTCCTGTGGTTATATATATCGTCCTCGCACCCAAACCGACTTGTTCTTATCTGAAATATTAAAAGACATAAACATCTTGTGAATATCAGTTGCGTCATTGTTAATCTAATTGATCATATGGCATTTATTCTCATATAAGGGACTGTTAATTTCTAATGTATTCGGCTTTTCAATACATACGTGTGTTTGAGTTTATGTCTATATATCAACTTACATTGTTAACCATTTTGGACTATGTAAATCCATACATTTACTCATACACTGATTTAATTGACTTATCAAATCCATATATCACATGAATTGTGCATTCATTCGATTTTCGCTGTTGGTTTGATCTGCATATTGATATGTTAAAAACAAAAACAAGACTGAGTTGTAATAGAGTTTCTACAGACTCAAGTATATATTCAGGTGTAAGAAAAGAGCAGGACCGGTATTCTAAAGTCAATTATTAATTTAAGCAGTATCAACTAATTTTTATTAACAAAGAAATTGAATTTTCGGAGGTAATAATTTATTGAATGCTTATGGACTGCAAAATCCATCTATACGGTTTTATTTGCATAGTAGGCCCAGTATCTTATTAGATAGCTAGTTATTTCTAAAAGTTTCGCAATTAAATTATCACAAGATTATGGTGATGAAGTTTGCTAGATAATTTTTATCTTTACAAATTATTCCAAATTCAATAATCATGATAATTTTTATTGAAGTGAGTCAAAGAATTGAGTTCGAATCTCGCGAGGCGGGATCGTGGGTGCGCTCTGGTGAGGAGTTTTTCGAGAGGACGAAACGGCCGTCTAGTGCTTCCAGGTTTTCAATGGTGGTCTAGCTTCAATTGACTCGTGATCTCAACTATTAAAATTACTATAATATCCACAAAAACCCCTTCTGATATTGAGTTTCTGTTTGTCGTCTTAATACATGTAATCATATGCTAACACATTTTTATTACAGACAATCGGTCATCTTTACTAAACAGAAAAGAAATTTATTGGAATTAAGAATAAACGATAAGCTGTTCGAAATATCGATAAAATTGTTAGAAAATCATTTATTTCAACCGCTTTTAACTTTGGAATGATGCTTTGTCACTGTTTATTCACAGTATTGATGTAATTAAAGACAGAAAATATATAGTCTTATGTGCATGTTTAGTTTTTAAACGTCAAAATCCAATATATTGGGAAAATAATTTATATATGGTATGAATTCAATTAAATCTGAATGCTTGATTTTAAAATACTTTCATTCGACCATCAGATTATACTCGGTTTTTCATTTACGGTAATCTAATGAAAAAGCGTTATACTTCCTGTACTCAATCAGTAAGTTTTTTAGTTTGTCGAAGGAATTTGTAAATCATAATTATATAACGTAAGATCTTAGCAAATGGTAATTTTAGAGCCAGTAAATTTTCAGTAGAGATAGGTGAAAATGAAGATATTTAGCAAAGTAATTCATCTTAATTACATAGTCCTATATTAAAAAATCTTATGTTGAATTAACTGAATGATATAAGATTTATTTATTTTATTTATTTATTTTAACACAGATATTGGTACAAGGAGGCACCAAATACATATGCGCCACACAAATCTCATTTGATATGTATGAGGGCTGTGATACTACATGGGTGCCCAAACCGAAGCAGGTGGTTTTCCTAGGAGGCCACACCCGCAGCCTTCGACCGGAAGATCTGATCCACAAGGCAGTGGAGCGTCATAAGGAGATGCAATCTCATGGTAGCCGGTGACCAACGATTGGTTTATACGCCATTTGTTCCTTCAGGATACTGGAGCCTATGGGCACCATTGGTTTGGAATCAGGGTTTTCCAACTTCCCTAGGTGGACTCTCCATGTCCACCAACCCGGTTAAAGTGTCGGACATTCGCTTTTCGTCTTCTCATTTTCGTAAACAACACCATTGTCACGAGAAGGCAGTGAGTAGGACTTCCCTGACAGAGGCTATATACGTGTGTCCATGTGAGAGCATTTCTAGAAGGAGAGCGGACTCTCCCCACTCCCGGCCGTACCAGGGCATTTGGGGGCAAATGATATAGGAAATATGACTCATACAGATTATTTTGTGTGAAGTTCATTATTAAGTTGTTTAGGTTGTTTAACTAAAGCTTTTTGGTTTATCTGACGTGACAATTCGATTATTCGTTAATTCTAAATGAAAAGTTATAATCATAAAAGAAAAGACTAAATCGATTGTTGAATGACCAATGTTTTCGAATTGTTAATTAAGTTTCTAAGGTAATGCTAACTGATAATATTAAGTAGTATACAAAAATAACTGGATTTAAGAGAAAAAACCTTAAAAAAGTTTAACCATTGGTCCCTGATCAGATGTTCTGTTACGTTTACTTTATTAAAAATGTGACATCTTTGACAGTTGTAACATTTAACTGTATATTAAATGTTTCAATCGAAATGGGAAGCAAATACTCAAACAGGTGATTAGGTAGAAAGTTGGCCAATATTTAAAATAGAATTAAATATTCAACATATTTATTGATACATGGTTATATACATCGAGCAGAAAAAAAATCCTAGACACAATGATCAGTGACTGAAATAAGGTCGATATTAAATTTGCAATTAAATCTGTTAGCTAGACTTGAGTGAAAAAGTTTCAACTATGACTCCATATATTGTGTTCCATTGTGACCCAGATATTTTTCCACTTTTAGTCTTCACTGAATATATCACTATTTACAGTAAGATTTATTGGTCACTTAAAGAAAAATCTAACAAGTGGAACTCTAAAATAACTTATAATAGACGAACTCAATGTAATTGCTGAGTTAATAATGATTTTTTGTAGAAAAAGTCACAGCTTTTAGTACATATCAAAAATTACTGTTGGCCTCATTTCATACAACTAAGTGTTTTTAATAAAATACACATGATATATTAGACTAAAATTCTATTGACACTGAGCACATTAACACTTATTAAAGTTCAGTATTTTAAGCAAAATATGTGATAACTAATATAAAAGTTCTACTGCCGTGTTTATTAAAATTCAGTTCAATTTGATGGAATATTATAAAGTATTTAATATGATGATGCGATTGTAGGTAAGTATTATATATTAGGTAATTTCAATCTGTAATTACCTTATTTTACAATCAAGTGAAGAATTTAGCTATGTACTGCAATATCTCTTCCTAATTAATTCAGTCGATAAAACCTGTTCATTATAATTGTATATTTCATAAGTTATTATTAGAATGGGGGTTTCCGGAGATTGTAATGCTTTTAATAGTTGAATTTATGAGTTGATGTAACTTAGACCACCGTTGTAAACTTGGAATCACTGGACGGCCGTTTCATCCTAGTACGAGATTTCTCAGCAGTGCGCATCCATGATCCCGAATTCAAGAATCGAACCCAGGACTTTCTGTTTAGCGCGTGAACGCTCAAATTCTAGACCACTGAGCCTGCATCTAATGGTGTTAATGTCTAAATTCAATCGATTAATGATCTTACGAAACCATTAATCCATTATCAGAGGTAGATACCTGTCTCTACCCGACACAGATTGGACTCCATTGGTCAGGGATTCTCACTAGAACCCCAGGAAATCCATCTCGAAACTAGTCACTATTGAGTACATAATTATTATTCATATGGGGATTCGTGGGGACTATTTCATGTCTCATGCAGATTATAACAACGTTTGATAACTATTATATATATCAACTGAAATGTTTTTGATGCTACTCAGTATAAAGAGTGGCATAACAACAGCAATATTACAAAAATGCTTTAATAGTCCGAAACATAACTTACCATCATAGGTTCTAATCCTTAATGGTCAAGATCAATCTGTGTGCTATTTCACACCAAAATAGTGTTGTACGTATACCAAGGATAAAAAACTCCGACTAATTCTAATCATTCCAAGATCAGTACCACGGTGCAAACTTTGCACAAAGCTGAGTACTAAATTCCATGCATAGTTCCAGAACAAGTGACCTAGAGACACCACTAATATACACAATGAAGAAGTAACCATCTAGAGGCTGCAAACTAAACAAACAGATAAATTTGCGATATATGGGGGTTTTAGGTAAATATTAAAGACTACAGTTAAATGCGTCAAGATGATTAACACTTTAAAAAATTGTGAATCACGTAGACGTGTCATCAAAAAGAAGTATTGATTAACTATCAAACTTCTAAATTATATTGTAACCTGAGTTGGGCAAGCTGGGCATTCAGAATGAAATATACAGCTGTCTTAAGAATTATTATTCGCATAATCTAAAAAACAGTGGAGCGTCAATTGCATATTCATGGTACTCGTTAACAATAGATGATGTTTTTCACCCGAATGTTGATGGGGATATACAAAATAAGCGTGTATTCATGTTTATATGTTAAAGGATGAATTTCTGCATTTATCAATCTTATCTCGTTCAAGTATTGAGGAAATACTGGGTAATTAGGGTATCCTGCAGGTTTTATGATAGGAAAATGAATCGACGCTTTTACCAATATTGGGTATATTACTTGATATGTAATTGTTGTTGTAGATATCGTTTCTAGTTGGAAAGTACGCCACCAAAATAAATCAGACTGCTGAAGACACTTGCTTACGGCTATATGACAGACGGTAATTTAAGGTGATCTTAATGAAACGCCCCTTTCAGTGTTATATGACCTTGTCTAATTTATTTAAGATTAGCATGATTGGTAGTCCTCCCGAATTCCTTAACATGTGTTTTACTTAGATATTAAATTAATGAAACGGAAATATTGATCATAATAATAATATAATTGAGCAGGCTACTATCTTGTTCTAAAGTACGAATTTCGCTCAAATAATTTTCATTCACTTACAGATATATTTGTGATTGCCTTGTAGTCTTTATATGAAAATTTACAGTGGAAAATTATCAAAAATAATTATGCTCACATACACCATGAGTACTTTCAGTCATTAAAATAAATATTACCATGGATTATGATTAGCACAAAAGTATCCAATATGCTTATATATGTTAATTTCACAGATTCAAGTGACTTTATCAATATTAGTTGTTTTATTGAATCCGTTAACACTGTGAAATTTATTAATTTATCGTATCTTACTGTGGTATTTGAACTAATTGGTAATTCCTCTGTACTTGAGTGCGCGCTTTTCACGAATCCCAAATATAATATGTTAAGTTCCGCTTCTTTATTTCTACCTGCCTAAAATTGCAATAGTTCGGGAATTCTTAGTTAGAAAATCAGTTTGAATACTTGTAACTATCACGTTATTATACAGACTACTAATTATGATATTGGCGAGTATAAACATGGGACCAACCGGTGAAACATTGCTAGCAAATTCAGTGGAATTTTTATCGTATTCAAGCATATTAATTGAAAGACTGGAGCTACTATTTTCAAGCCTGTAGAATACATTTTGTAAGGTAGAACCTAAGAATGAGAAAACATCTGAAGTAATAAATATGAGTAAATACACTAAAAGTATTAGCCCTGACTTAGAATACATCGCACATTTTATATTATTTAGACACTGCTGCAAATATTGAGCAACTGTGAGCTGAACTAATTTACTGCAAGGATTTATAGAGGCTGTACATTTCGTTGAATACACTGAACACAACAGACTCCCACTTACATTCCTTGATAAGCATCTACTTATGTTCGTTATACTGGCGAACTACTTTCAAGTTCACAAAAATAAGTGCCTTTTCCCACAATGTATATGAACATCTACATAATCTATTCTGCTAGATTATTAGTTCATATTTAATGCTATAACACTTGATAGTTTCTATTTAGTCAGATATATAACTGTTATGCGGTCATATATAGAGTGCATTTGTTCCTTACTTAGCTACCATTTCTGGAGGTAAGATTACAATTTCGACTACAGAATTAATTTGGCTCTCACACCAAAAGGGAACCTGATTTAGTAAAAAATGTTGTCAGAAACAAACTGGTTGATCTTTGAATTTTTAATATTCCTGGGAAACTTTATACTGACTATATATTTTTTACTACACGGTCTAATAAGTCTACCTGATAGTCCTTTTCTCGAAGGATTAACATACGCCAAAAGTCTATGGAAAATATGACTTTTGTAGAAAGATAATGTATTTTTTTAAATATATATATTCAGTAAAAAATTAATAGCTAATGACATGAAGAAGCTTATGTGACGTACAGTTACAATGAGAGAGAAGGCGGGAATATTTTACAAATTTATTTATATCATATAAAATAAATAAGTTTTTTCCGAATCATTCTTGTTGAACAAATGGATTAGGTATAGATTCCATTCCATCTGCAGGACAAACAAGTTCCACGGATGGACCCCTGTAAGAGACGAAAAAAATTAGAAGAGATTGTGATTATTAATTATAATAACTCTTTATGTAATTATATAGAAAGAAGGGCATGGTTCATTCAAAAGTTTAGACTTTAAAATAACTTCCAATGTTACATGAATTTTATTCGGTATAAAACCATTTCAATAAGAATAACAGAAGATTAGAAAAACTGCTGCTTGGAAACTGATTCGAAAAAGACAACAAAATGACTAAAAATAAACGCTTCAGTTGGTTAGTATAAAAATTATCCTTTTGAATCAAAATGAAAATCAAAACACTTTCCAGTCGGTATTATCTTTGTAAATTCACGAAAATTTTCGAACGCAATAGCTTTTCTTATATATATATATATAATAGGTTAAATGCACTATGTATCAGATACCTTGATGACGTACGCCAGTACTCTTTAATTTTATTAATATACCTTGGAATCAGTACATGTAAAATAACTCTTTGCGTGTCAGCTTAGCCGAAAAAGTGATCAGTTTTAAGTGAGGAATTTTATGTATATGCATTCCATCACAGAGTAGTACTGCAGAGGAATAAGTTTTTTCAAAAATTATATAACAGTAATGAGCTGAATTATAAAAGAACAAGTAGTTTCATGAACATCGAAATACAGATTAGAACTTCAGGACTCCTTACTTTTTGACCACAGTTTAGCTAATTACTAAACGAACACAATTAAACACTGTAAACGATTATTACTCAACAAGAGATCATTTTCATATGATACAGGGCATTATAGCATTATTTTCCTAATTATAAATAATATTGATTCAGCATTCTTTGGTTAGCTTTTGATGTGAAGTTTAATTTTACATAAGATATCCACGTATAAATCAAGTGAATTCATGACAGCTTTAGAGAGATTGTTGTTAGCATAAGAAAGACTATCTAGTTATTGTAATGAATGTAACTAACTAGTTTTCAAGAGAACAGTATTTGAAATTCTTGTGACAAGACATGAATATAACTTTCCTTTCGACTGCTTCATTTTTGAAAACTACTGATTCAAGTTAAATAATTAATATAGGACAGTAGGTTTGAAGATGGATTTGTGAACCTGAAAAAAAAGCAATCATTTGATGTTCTCTGAACTTTAACAAATTACCGTAGTTTTTTCAAGAGTTTTGATGTTACACAACGTAAGTCAGTATTGATGTATTTAGTACACTTAAATATTAAGAATTTATGATCAAACACTAAGGTTTAGCAACAACTAAACAGTAGCAGAAATTCTTATTTCCGAGAAAAAAATTACGTAATCAAAGAATAGAGACTTTAAATACTAAGTAAGAATAACAGATGACGATTAATAGTTTGGAGCAATTTCTTATAGAACTAAACACTAAAACTAACCTACAAACCACAAGGGCAAGTTCTCTTGTATCTTCAGTCAAACGATGAGGATCATCTGGATCACGAAGAAATTCAGTAGTACAATCAATCACCATATTCTGTAAATTATCGCATCCTTTCAAGATACCAACAGCTTCCCGTCCACCTGAAAATTTGACACGGATTCTTTTATCTATATACTTGTTTAAATCAATTATAGACTCTTTCTTATGCTTTTCCGGTTGTTTATCTCCAGTAGGCATTCTCGCTAGAAATGTGTAGAAAAGATTAATTAGAACAATAACAAAGTTTATCACTAACATATATGAATTATCAACGATTTTACGAAAGATGATCATTTTCAAGTTTTTGTTATTGTTAAAAGAAATGAATAGTTGATGTTTTAAATATGCTTCCATTTTGAAGGCAGAATGGTTGCTGGAAAGCTGTTATTTGAAAAACGTCAGATTTGAGTCATTTTCTTGCAGTAGGAGCTATTTAACGTGAATATATATGGATAAGGCAATATCAAAGCAATACACACAGTATGCACATATGCCAATAAGAGACTGATCAACTGCAGTCCTAATCATCAATGGTAAGATTCAAGTAAACAATACCAAGTGAATTTAAACTTCACCCCATTGCGCAAGCAAGTGGCGATGGCGTTTTAAGCGAACGGTACTGGGTTCAAGTCGCAGAGTGTAAATCAATCCTGAGATGCAGATACATCCAGCTGACGAGTCCAAAATAGAATGAAAAGCGCATCCTGGATTCTACTGCTAGCCACTATTCATCTTTGCTTATGAATTCACGATAATTCAAAAGGTCGTCAAATGCTTAAAAAATTTAGCATAAATTTAAAATAATAAATAATCAAAGTGGATTGGAGTGGTGATTCATTTCAAATAAAGATATAAATAATATAAAGCAGTACACATAAAAATATTTTTTCATCTTATTCTTGTTACTTATTTGTGGATCAGTAACAAGTAATAATTAAAAATTTTATCCGAAAGTAAGCCAACATATAGACTATTTAAGATGGTTTCCTATTCAAAGAGCATTTCTTTAAAAAAAAACAATAATATTCAGTGCATCTAAACAACTTCTATTTATCTAGTATTATTTGAACGTGAAAATGTATACAATTTTGAAAACTAAATATTGGCTGAGAATTAGAATAACTAAGGGAAAAATTAGCCTTTATTCGGTTCATGTTGAAAATTCTTGAGAAAAGGAAAATATAAAATTTTAGTTAATATTTAACGAGTTATATTTTATTTATTAGATGGTTACTTAAGGTTGAATCAAATATCCTTAATATTGAGCTATCTTTTAATACATCAATTGATGATATAACTTTAATCGCTGAAAATTTATTACTAATTAACTGAGTGTTACACAGCTTAGTATTTTAAATATGCTAGTAAGGCATGTATTATGATATACGAATTGTAGTACATTGTGGTATTTTACTTGTATAGTCGAGTTACGAATTTTTATAATAAAGGTATTAGTGACTAATCATAAAACCTAAAGGATTAAAACGAAAATGGTAACAAAATTTTAAAGTTTTGTTATCTATAATTATATTAAACGTTATTTAAGTGTTAATATTTTCTATCATACACAAGAATCATCAGACATGGTTGGGATTTTGTGATCCTCCTACGAGTTGATGAGATTGTACTTCATGTTTTTTGTATTCAATCAAAGACTGTGCTTGGGTTATTTGGAACATATTTTTCGGATAGTGATAAAAACTAGTCATCGTTCAAATCTGGATTATTCTTATATCATTTTCAGATTAAGAATAATTCAAAAATTGGTTGCGCATATAAATATTAGTAATCGATTGTACACATGAGATCGATTTATCATCACTATTGAAGATTGTTTCCGGTGACTATAGAAGTGAGTCATATAACAAAGCACAAAAGTGTACAACTATATCAGTCAAATTCACAGTTCTACCAAATTTTATCACGAAGATAAGTGTCACGAGTCATTGATTGCAAATCATCGTTAAATTCGAATTTGTGGATATTTTGTGGCTGTAACCTATTTAGTTAGCGGCAAAATGTAACTGATAAATTACGTCAAGTTCTATACCGAACAAACCATATCTCAAGGTTAGGTGATAAGTTAGATGAAAACAATGAATGGATTACCAACATAGCGAAGGTCACCACCGACGCGTTGATTTGTTAACTCATAAATAAACATGAATTGTTGTAGGCAACGAGCCCGATATTTAACAAAACAAATTCCTACAGTTTTTTAGTCTATTTATTAGGCTGATTACGAGTTTCTATGATAAGTGAACTGGACTGTAAAGCTGAAGTGACTAGGTTAAAATAGATAGAGGTTATGCATTTCGATGGGTAACTATCATAATCACTTAATTATTATTATTCAACGAACGCTAATTGCACTACTTTTGAATCCAGGGAAAATCTCTCAAGGATTCATTTACCATAATTACTTATTTACCATTTGATTGGTTACCCATTTTCATATTCTATCTCGCTTGACAAACAAAAACCGATGGGAGAATATTCTAAATTGAAATGTGTGCTGGCTTTTAAGTGACTCAGATGATTAGTTTCCGAATATTTTTCAGTCAATATGACTGAAGTGTGCTTCAGTTTATATGTAAGAACCATGTACTTTACCTTACAGTCAATAATCATAAGAGTAGTACAAACGTTTAAGATAAGCGACCGAATTACGGTTTTTATCTGGTTTGCACAGGACATTATAAAATTAACAATTGCTAAGTAGAAGAATAGATATGATTGGTCCACAATTCTTATTTTATTATCTTGCCCTAAAAAAATAATACCTACTATTCTGAGGTGCTTGTTCTTCAAGATTATTCTGGATTTCTTGTACTCAGTCATACTGTTAACTATCACATATATAAGTACAGTGAACGACTTTTACTAGGGTACACGCTAATTTCATAGCAATTCGTAGAATTATTTTATACATTAGTCGAATTTGAGTGGCTTGTTCAAATGTGAATAAAACTTACATTATCAAAAAAGACTAAATATGTTTCTTTTCTCTCAAGAAAACAACAGTTGTATACTTTTAGATGCTAAAACAGTCATAATCAATGTAGAGACTATTACAAATGTGTGTTGGCTTAAGTTGCCATACCAATTTAGCATGATGGGATTAAACTAACAGAAGTTGAAACATTGACTACCTATTTTAAAAATGAAAGTAACAGCATAATAATGAAGAAAACAATCAGTAGTATGAATATCAGACATTCATACCTGGGGAGGTACAAAAAAGAAGTGCATTTTGCTCAATATTATCTTTTTTATTAGAAGTAAATTAATACATAAATTAATTACGAATACTATACATAAATCGTAAGTCGATATAATTAATTATAAATATAATGAAACCTATTATAACCATTATCACGTATGTAATAAAAAATTACAAATAGTGTTTAAATTAGGAAATATGGAAGAAGAAAGAAGGGAAAATATCTGGTAAGAAAGAACATGACAAAAACAAACGAACATTGAAAAGATTAATGTAAAGCCGGATTAAAGAGAATGTTTACTGGAAGACTATGTGTAAGTAAATAAATACCATAGTAATGAAATTTTACAAACTAGACCAGACAATTGCTTTCTTAATACGTTCACATGAAACTAGAGAATTACCATTCGGATTCCAATGACAACAAACGACAATATTTCTGAAATAAAACAAACGAAATAAAACATCTGGGTTTAAAGTGAGTGACATGACGAAATAGTAGATTTACAGACTCGCGTGCGAAATGTAAATTTAAAATATATTTAATACGTATTATGAATGTGAAGAAATTTAAGTATACATGAATAATCAACGAGGTCTCATTATTGAAACATATGAGCATTCCAGTTAAGTATGAAGCATAGCTAGTCTCAACATCACCTCAAATCCCAATGTATTGAGAGGCTTAAGATAACGCATCCGAAAAAGTGACATTACACAAGTAGGGTTTACTTCCTTTACATCAGTAGTGCAGACACTCCTTATAGTAACGAAAGACAGTTGATGGGTTGGGCTTCCAGAAAAAGATGCATTGAAAGCACAACCATATCAAGATTTAACTTAAGTAGATTGTAGATAACTGGAAACAATACGACAATTTTAAATGATGGAAGAGTAGTCCAGTTTTTTTTCTATATCTGGTATACATATTGCTAAGAGGGTCCTATGCTACTCAGTTTTGTGAACAAGTGTTGGTGCTTCCTTGTAGAGATAACAACAAGTACATTTTAGTTCATATTTTCGCATAACCTTTGCTCTTTCAATACTGATTGTTACAACCTTCAGTTTGCTAATCTCCTGTCTCAATGTCATGTTTTTTTATCATATATAAAAAGCTGTTCCATTTGATTTTTTCTTTGTTAAATACCAACCTTTTTCGCAGTGCTGTGTTCTTTTGAGTTTTAATGCTGGGGAATTTGTAATATACTCCTGGTATGCACGCTTTTCACGTAGAAATAAACTTAACGCAATAGCCATACTTGAGATGACAAACGTTTAAGTGTACTTTTTCAGACAGTTGCTATCATATTATATACACATATGCCGGTATTTCATATACATTAAATTTAGAGAAACAGTAAATTTGCAATATTAGATGACACAGTAGATATAACCAATAGCTTGACTATGAGATTAAAATCGTTTCATATCTTTCTACGTACTAATTCTTACTTCCTGTACTATATCCTTATATGCAATCTTTCTTTTATACATTACCACCATTAACTTAACTACCTCTATGAATCCGGTGTTTATCTTGCTGTGGTAATGCGGTATAGCAGCCTGGACGGATGAATCTATGTGCCTGGTCCTACGTTGTAGTTGACTGACTGACTAAATTTATTGAAAGTGTGGCTTAAAGCCTGATATATACACATACATGTACTTGATAAATGAACTATAAAATTAAAAGCGTACGTCCTCATGAGAAGTGATTTTCAAAAAACACAAACTCAATATTCTTTGTATATGATTCCACAGCACCAATACGATTTGAATTGTCATTCCTATCAGTTTAGCTTTCATGGTTTTACAAGTATGATGATTACAAGTAAAGAAAGTACCTTAAACATTTCAAGTAGATATTTCTAAAAAACAGATGTCAAACAAAATTCACTCTGAGCACTTAGTCCTCGTATTTAGTTTTTAGTCACCACAAACAGTAATCGTTACAATTATCTATTACATTTTATAACATAATTTAAACATTTATTATTGTATTTTTATTCAAACTTCAAACTAGAAGAATTTCAAAAAAACAAACCCTTAGTATCCTCACGAAAATACTCAAAGATGAGTCGTGAATTGTATTTATTTATAGTAATATGAACTAATGATATATTGCTTTGTAAACAACATATTGATTAAAACCTGACAGTTAAATAAGAATGAATTTGTTCAATATCGAGCTATCCAAGAACAAAATATGAATAAGTGATAATTCTGTACCTTGAGGGAAAAAAAATGAAGGCTTCAATGAAGTCTATCGATTGTATCAGATAATGGAATAATACATGTTTTCCCAACTACTTGATTTTTTATCCTTAACGTTATTAAAGAGGTTTGAGTGTGTAGTTTATATCAAATAAACAGGCTTCAAGCATCCCAAGAATAAAAAAGGAACTGATGAAGAGGAAACAGAAAGAAATCGATAACCGTTACTCAAAGAAGTCAGTTGAGCAGCGATTACACAACTTTTAAAGTACATTTAATTTTAGATGACAATTTTCGAAATCAAAACATACGTGTGGTCACGGAGACAAATTTCTAAATTTCCTGAAACTGTGCTCCAAATATAAACTCCACCATCATGTCCACCAGCAGCTACATAATCTGAGTCAGGTGAGAAGCATGGTCGAACTATATCTAAACCTGTTTGAAAACCATCAGCTTTCAAGCATTGTGTAACTTGATTCATACGTAAATCCACAATTTCTAAAGTGTTGTTACGTGTACAAGACAAGACAGTTGTGAAATCTAAAAATGCAAAAAATAGTTAAATGTAAAGTTCTTTTTCATCAATTAAAAACAAGAGAATATTTTTAACTGATAGCAGAGCACTCTTCTACTTTAGAGAATACACAAAAGTATTCAGTAAGGGTTTAAATCCCACTTTCAGAAGATAATTCATTTACTCATGTTAGTTTTTCATACATATTCAACGAAATGGATCAAAAAGATCCATTTAAACTATTAGTCTTTTAGTGATCTACTGGTCTCTTTCTATGATGTGCATCAGAAAATTAACAACAGTAGTACAGTAACATATTTCATGTATGCGTTTACATACATACACATACAGTATTACAAAGTTCAAAGGGTGAATGAATTGAAAATCTTGCATTTTCAGTTGTCAGAAAAGTAACAACATTAATTTTTTATCATGTTTGTGACATAATTGTGAAGTTGAATTCGTCGAAGGTTGTTTGAGATCATGTTTTGAAATATTTTGATAAGCAGAAAATGATCCGTTTGTATTCATGTCAAGGATTTATTGAACCTTATATTTAATGTAAATATAATGACAAGTACTTCCAATAACCATTTTTAAGTTGATACCTAAATGAATGTAGTTATCATAATATAGTTTGAGATTACGAGCAAACGTTTGCAGGGAAGGGTTTATCATTATTCTCCACCTTCAATTCATCTATAATTAATATTCGTTAAATATAAATCTAGGATGTGCGTAGTATACAAAGAAATATTTAAATGAGACCTATTAATTTCATTCTTTAAAACATTAAAGTTTTGAAATCAAATCAGTCGAAAAATATTTTTTATCATTAAAAATACTAGTGTGAACGGTCGTCCAGTGCTTCCTGATTTTCCATGGTGGTTCAGCTTCAACTGACTCATGGATTCAATTAAATTAAATTACTGAAATCTCCACAAAACCCTCTACTCATGATAATCATTATGTGGTCATTAGTGACTGGCTTCACGAGGTATTTCCTGAAGTTCTAGTGAGAAGCCGTGAACAGCGGAGTTCAAACAGGTCTGTTGTCAGATAGTAACTCACCGAAGACAATGGTGGACGACGGCGCGATTTCGTGAATTGGTTGACGTTAAACATTAACACCGTTAGATGTCAGCCCAATGGTCTAGAAGTTAAGTGTTCGCGCGCTAGACCGATAGGTCCTGGATTCGAGTCCCGCAGGCGGGATCGTGTATGCGCACTACTGAGGAGTCGTATAATCGGACGAAACGGCCATCAAGTGCTTTCACGTTTTCCATGGTGGTCTACCTTCAATTGACTCATGAATTCAACCATTAAAATAAGATTCAAGAAGAAAATATAAATTAGTGAGACAAAAATGTTTATGAAAAATTCAGAATCTCGGGAAACGACAAAGAATGTATGCACCTGCACCATAGCAAATGATTTTGAGCCACGACATTCAAAGTCACTGATCATTGGTTACGATAATCACACGAAACACAACCACGTAGTCTACACCTGTTAACATCGCTCAGTCTATTAGTCAGTATCTTCATGGTTTGGACGTTCCTAGCTTGCTTTCAACCCACTCTTACACCAGCTATCCTTGCACGTCGAAGTAGTCGGTGGGTGATAAAGACCTAATAAGTGCCCTGACCATCTCAGTAAATAGATGGTCAAAACATGCCTAACCCTAACCTACAAATATTCTCTACTTTTGATGGCCATGTTTTACAGCCACAAAGTACCAATGGAGCAAACTATTGCGCAGTGTATTCGTCCTCTGGTGGGCAGGCGGACATCTCTCCGATGTAAGTCATAAAAAGCCAATTGAGCTTTCGTAAGACGCTCATCCATCAGTGCTGATTGGACTCAAAAAGAGAAGTGAAATTACAAGTCCGTCATTAGTCAAGAGTTATCTATTCTAAATGTCGAAACATGAATTATGAGAAAAATCCAAAGTTCAAAAGACAGAAAGTGAGTACAGTCGTTTTCCTGCTTCGCAGTGACCAAGTATATGCCGCATATATATAAGATCAAATATTTCACTCCCTACCACTAATCCAAGCACCTACCCATACCAGTCCTGGAACAACACTTGCATTTAGGGAGAGAGAAGAAAAAAAGAGAGAATCGCATCCTAAACATGCTTGCATTACTGATTAGAGTGATCAGAAGACTGCATTTCGTCAGCGTCTTCACTAAACACAACTATGTCATCTGCATATTCTAAATCAACAAGAGAATCTCAAGCCCCCCTGAATGCCCTGGTACGGCCGAGAGTGGGGAGAGTCCGCTCTCCCTCTCGAAATACTCTCACACGGCCACGCGTATACAGCCTCTGCCAGGGAAGTCCTACTCATTGCCTTCTCGTGGCGGGGGTGTTGTTTACGAAAATGAGAGGACGAAAAGCGAATGTCCGGCGCTTTAACCGGATTCCAAATCAATGGTGCACATGGGCTCCAGTATCCTGCGGGAACGAATGGCGTATGAACCAATCGTTGGTCACCGGCTACCATGAGACTGCATCTCCTTACGATGCTCCACTGCCTTGTGGGTTAGACCTTTAGGTCAAAGGCTCGGGGAGTGGCCCCCTAAGATAACCACCTGCTTCGGTTTGGGCACCCGGGCAGTATCACAGCCCACACACAAATTGATGAACTCTTTATGCCTATGGAAATTACCTTTCTCGCTTTGAAAAACAAACAATTGATTCAGATTATTATCATTACAATTATTGTCATTATTAATACTAATATTATTATTACTACTATTATTGTCATTATTGTTATTATTATCATTATTATTATTATTTTCCACATTATTCACCCTCTTTTATACTTATACAGCGGCTCGTCTTTGGTGGAAATCCGACTGTATCTAATCGTTCTCGAGTCACTGTCCGGTTGAAAATTGTATGTTACCACCGAATACGAGGACTGAAGCAGTTTTTCTGAAACCACGTGCACCATTCAAACTGGCTGCCTTCAACGTTCGCACATTTATGCAGGTCGGACAACAGATAGGCCTGGCTATGTCTTTGGAAAGTCTTCATATCGATGTCTGCTCTCTATCCGAGACCCGTATTCAAGACTCTGGCGAAGTACTACAAATTCGATCTCCATCTGTCGCTTCGAAAAGCTTGTTTTACGTGCGCTTATCCGGGGACCCTGTGGCATTTTCGTCTGGTCTTGCTGGCGTTGGTGTCGCACTAAGCGCTAGAGCTGAGGCAGCACTAGTCGATTGGATCCCCATTAACAGTCGGTTATGTGCTGTTAGATTAGAAAGTTCCATCAAAGTGAGAAGAAATCGGCATGAGAAACGATGTCTTTTCGTCATCTCCGCCTATGCTCCGACAGATTGCAGCCCGGATGCAATCAAGGATGAGTTTTACCACAAGTTATCAGTTCTTCTCCAGAAAGTGCGTTCGACAGATATTGTAGTACTAGCCGGAGACTTGAATGCTCAGGTCGGGCGTCTAGGCACAGAAGAGAGTCGTTTAGGTGGCCGATGGGGACTTGTTGGTCGCAGGACAGATAACGGGGACCGTCTACTGCAACTATGCACAGACCACAACCTGTTTCTGGCTAGCACTAACTTTCGGTACAGTCATCGCCGATGCGCCACCTGGCGTCCTCCCTCTGCATCTCAAGCCTGGACTCAGATTGATCACATCGCGATCAGCTACCGCTGGCGTGGTTGTGTACAAGACTGCCGCTCCTTTTGGAGTACCTATCTGGACTCTGACCATGCCTTGGTCTGCGCCAATCTTGCCTTACTTTTCAGTGGTCAACGAAGTGACCGCCACCAACGGATTGATGTTAGCAAGCTGGTTGCAACTTCTGTTGCAAGTAAGTATCGAACCGAGCTAGCCTCTAGGCTAGCTACCACTCCACCGAAAAGTATAGATGAGCATTGGTTGCAATTGCATGACGCCATGAAAATGGCGGGTACAGTCAGTTGTGGGTTTGCGAAACGTCCCGCTTTTAAGCACTGGGTTTCTTCTGGTTCCTTACAACTCATTGAAGCCCGTCGGTCTACTCCAGGTGACCATGAGTTTGACCATAAACGAAGGATGTTACGTAAGGAAATTGGGCAAAGCTTGCGTAAGGACCGAGAAGCCTGGTGGTCGATGCGTGCTAATGAGCTGGAAGCAGCAGCTGCATCTGGTAACTACCGGAAGCTCTTCCAGCTCATCCGAGCCACTGGCAGCAAGAAGTCTGGTGTGAGTGAAACAATATGAGAGGATGATGGGATGCCAATCACTAACACCCATCGACGTCTTGGACGATGGGCAGAATTTTTCGAAGGGCAGTTCAACTGGCCTGCTGTTCCGGCAACATCGGTCAGACTGTCCTGCCCTCCATGGCCGGTGACGACTGATCCACCAAATGAGGAGGAAGTCCGCAAGGAACTCCAACTCTTGAAGCGTTACAAATCACCTGGCCCAGATGACTTACCTCCGGCTCTTTTTAAAGATGGTGGTGACTTTTTGACTAAGGAATTGACGTCGTTGTTTACAAAGGTTTGGGAACTAGAGAGTGTACCAACGTCATGGAATGAGTCGATAGTTGTCCCTATCTTTAAAAAGGGTTCACGTCGTTCTTGTAGCAACTATCGGGGGATAAGTTTACTTCCGATTGCGTCCAAGCTATTGGCTTCCGTCATTCTTCGTAGGTTGTTCAAAACCCGAGAAAGATTGACTCGCGAGGAGCAGGCTGGGTTTCGTTCTGGTCGAGGATGTATTGATCATATCTTCACCCTCTGCCAAATGTTAGAACACCGCCATACTTTTCAAAGGCCAACAATCGTAGTGTTTCTTGACATCAGGGCTGCCTTCGATTCGTTGGATAGGACTGTTCTCTGGGATTGTCTATTGAAGAAGGGTGTGTCTGAGAAGTTTATTAACATCCTAAAAGCCCTATATACAAACACCTCAGGCAGAGTGAGGGCATACAACCACCTTTCTCCATTGTTCCATTCGAGCAGTGCAGTTAGGCAGGGTTGCCCAATCTCACCATTCCTCTTCAACTTTGCCATCGATGACATTCTGGAAACAGCTCTGATGAATGTAAGTAATGGTGGTGTGGATCTGTTGCCTGGAGAAAGACTTCTCGACCTTGAGTATGCGGACGATATTGTCTTACTGTGCGATAATGCCCAAGGCATGCAATCCGCACTTAATCAGTTGGCAATCAGTGTCTGTAGGTATGGTATGTGCTTTGCACCTTCGAAGTGCAAAGTACTTCTACGAGACTGCCAGGATCCTAATCCTGTACTCACCCTGGATGGTGAGCAGATAGACGTAGTAGAGAAGTTCGTGAATCTGGGTGGCTGCATAAGTGCTGGTGGGGGTGTGAGTGATGAGATCAATGCATGAATAGTGAAAGCCAGAGCGGCTTATGCCAATCTGGGCCACCTTTGGCGCCTTCCTGATGTTAGTCTGGCTGTAAAAGGTCGGATCTACAACGCGTCGGTGAGAGCAGTTTTGCTCTATCCTTGTGAAACCTGGCCTCTCCGAGTTGAGGACGTTAGACGACTTTCTGTGTTCGATCATCGCTGTCTCCGAAGGATTGCTGACATTCAGTGGCAACACCGTGTTAGTAATGCAGAGGTTCGGCATCGTGTGTTCGGGCACAGAGATGATAACTCGATTGGTGTCACCATCTTGAAACACCGACTTCGGTGGCTTGGACATGTTCTCCGAATGTCGTCCCAGAGAATTCCACGTCGTGCATTATTTGCCGACTCTGGGACTGGTTGGAAGAAGCGGAGAGGTGGTCAGTGCATGACATGGTGTCGTGGCATGAAAGAAAGCTGCAAAGGACTGGCTTGTGTTGGTCCTTCACGACTCCCTGGCTGGGGTCCGAGAGATGGTGCTACACAGTGGCTAGAGACGTTATCAGATATGGCTCAGAATAGAAGCCAATGGCGATCCTGCTGTAACCTTCTTTTACTTTCTTCATAAAAAGTGGTTGTGTCTCCTTTACCTGAAAGATTTCTTCTGATTGTACCTTTTCGTTCTGTCGTTACTACCACACTACCTTACTCCAATCTCTTTGTCATTGTTCTCTTCTTCTTTTGCGTTCCTTAGTTTTTTTTTCTTTCTTTCTACTTCTCTTCGAATTCTCATTGTTTTGTGTGGCGCATATATATTGGCGCTCTCTTGTACCAATATTTATGTGTTCAAATAATAAATAAATAAATAGAGAATCTCAAAGTGGAAGATTGATTTCTCAGAAATCAGGCAATCAAAGTATTGTCTCTAAAAGGACGTCTACAACAAGGTTGGACAAAAATGGAAAAAGCAGATAGTCTTAACGAAAGCCACCCAAGGTTATCAATTCCGATGACAGTTCACCGTAAGTTCTGGACAGACCAGTAGTGTCTAACTAGGGAGCCTGTACAAGGTTGATGTCACTCGTTGGCATGCATTTCAATGTCAGACACTAACACAGAACATCACAACTAACGGAGTCGAACGCCCTCTTCAGGTCAAGGAATACAACTATAGCCGGAAGTCGAAAACAATGTTTATGTGACAGGACCAGAAAAAGGGTGAATATTTGGTCTATCTATCTACATCCAGGTCTGAAACTAGACTGCTCTTCATGAGACTTAGCTAAGTGTCGGAGTATTGCCGAAGCTAATATTTTAGACGCTATATTACTTGCATGACAAGATAATAATTTTAAACGGACGCGTGGTTTTTAATAACTCTATAAAAACCTACATTAGCGGATAACATTCATAAAATAGACACTTAGCGGTGTAGGATTTATAAAAGACAGGACTTTAAACCCTTTATTTTTGATTGGTTTACATTAAACTAGCCGTAGCGAGAATCATTGTTTAAATTAACAGCATGTCTGTTTTGGAAGTCCTGCTTTTTTAAAACAGCCTGAAGCCGCTAAATGCTTGTCAACCGGAAACTATGACCTGATGTGAGACTCTATAAAATCATGTCTGAGTCTAGAATTGTTATTTTACTCATCAGTATTGTGATGCAAATTAGACAAAACGAATCTACTTATTACTTCACAGTTATAACTATATTACTTATGAGTAACGAACATTTATCCCCTTACTTATACTTTACTGACTTAATCAATGGTAAACTTTCTAATAGTTTGATAAATATTTTGTCTATTCAACCGCACTGAAAGAGCATTTCTCGTGCCCATATGAGTTGAGATTTTACTGTTCTTATTAAATGCATTACCTTGGATATGGAGTTGATACAAACTAACCATTATTCATAAGATATTTCGTCTAAATTCGAACGAATAGTTTCATTGTTAATGTAAGACATTCAAGTCGAAAAATATATTTGTGAAATCTCAGAGATTGAACTTTAAGCAAGTCCAACGTTTCTCTTGGCAATTTGGTTCAAGCTTGTTCAAGGAAATACAATCAAACCTCAAAATTTTGGACTATGAATAGGTACATGGTTCTCCGGTTAACTGTATATTAAACAGGCCATCCAATCAATTATATGACCCAACTCTATATATGTAGGTGAGACCACGAAAACTGAATGTGGAGATGAAGAAACACAAACTTTGCTTGAAGCACATTTCTAAATCCTCAGATGATATTTTAAAAAATCTCAAAAAACTCAGCGATAACATAACACTCAGTAGAGTTGGGCCATACAATTGGCTTCAGGTCTTAAAAAGAGAGACTAACAGCTAAAGCCATACACATGTGGGCAAATCCAAACAGTATTATTAAGATGGAATGTAATTAGTTGTTCCATGGCAACTAATGTTTAATAAGTAGACCTGAACTCTTTATTTAATTTAATTTACCACTCATTATCTGGACAACAACAGTTACTTTCAACTGTTCTAATTAGTTGATTTATCTAAATATATGGTAAACAATTAACCTAAGTAGCATAACAGCACAAGCATTTATTCATTTGTTTTTATTTTGTTTTATTTATCTTCATTTTATGTATACTTTCAACTTTGTTAACATGATTGGATGACCTGTTTAATATACAGTTAACCGGAGAACCATGTACCTATTCATAGTCCAAAATTTTGAGGTTTGATTGTATTTCCTTGAACAAGCTTGAACCAAATTGCCAAGAGAAACGTCGGACTTGCTTAAAATTAAATCTTTGAGATTTCACAAATATATTTTTCCTCCTTAATTTTTGACTGTTATTTGTTGGAGAAACATTTATTATTTATATACTTACATACATATTCTGAGAAGCCAAGACTTTTTGACTTTATTTGACCTTGTGTGAATTGTTTCGGCAAACATAAAACGGTGTGTTTGGTATTTCAGATACTTTTGCTCAAGCTTCAGTGAATCCCTCTGAGTAGGCACTCTATCTGTTTATTTATCTGCCCTAGTACAACCGAGTGTGGGGAGAGTCAACTCTTCCTATCCGAATGCTCTCATATGGCCACACATATACAGCCACTCCTAGGGAAGTCTCACTCACTGTTTTCTCGTGGAGGGAATGTTGTTTACGAAATTCAGAGGACGAAAAGTGAATGTGCGTCGCTTTAACTGGGTTGGTGGACGCAGAGAGTCCACCTAGGAAAGTTGGAAACCCTGATTCCAGACAAATGGTGCCCATGGGCCCCAGTATTCTGAGTGAACAGATGGCTTTCGATCTAAAGGTCTGACCCACAAGGCAGTGGGGCAGCTTCAGTAGATGCAGTCTCATGGTAGCCGGTGACCAACGATTGGTTTATACGCCATTTGTTCATTCAGGATACTGGAGCCCATGGGCACCATTGGTTTGGAATCAGGGTTTTCCAACTTCCCTAGGTGAACTCTCCATGTCCGCCAACCCAGTTAAAGCGACGACATTCACTTTTCGTCCTCTGAATTTCGTAAACAACACCCTTGTCACGAGAAGGCAATGAGTAGGACTTCCCTGACAGAGGCTATATACGCGTGGCCATATGAGAGCATTTCGAGAGGGAGAGCGGACTCTCCCCACTTTCGGCCATACCAGGGCATTTGGGGGCACTAGTTAGAATTGACGATATTTCTATTAATTTTAACGGTTGAATCCATGGGTCAATCTAGGCTAGACCACCATTGAAAACCTGGAAGCACTGGATGACCGTTTCGTTCTAGTATGAAACTCTACAGCAGTGCATTTGTATTAGCTGAAACCTTCTATGAACTTACAAATCATCTAATTAAAAGCTCATCGAATGATGAAGAACTGTTATCCTCTAAGGTACATAAAGTAAATCTATTAGTAACATTTCTACTGATCGACATAACATAGTGATATACTGTAATGTGGACGTTTTCTGCAAATTATGGTTGATTGACCCAGGCTTTGGATTGATCACTACTCGTAAACCGGGGACATAATGTAATTTTAGGGACTTAAGGTTAATTTGAAGCTTCAGGAACGAGAAATCCAGGATGAAGATTAGTGTGAAAATTGACTCAGGGATAGATTATCTCTAACCCATAAAGTAATTCAAAATGGACGTTCGAAAATACGGTACTGAATTTTTGTACTTTATATCGCGTAAGCTCAAAAAAGTATACAGATTCGTGTAAAGTTGTTAGCGGGACATAGACTAGATTAAAGCATGCTCAATGCATGATTGCTTTGGTGCACGCTGATTGGCTGATTCTTATCCAATCAGCACTAGTCGATAGTCGGAGAATACTCTGGAATCTTCTTATGTAAAAACTATAAATATACCGACGTTTTCCCCTATTGTGCTTCCTACTGGCTTCTGACTTGCTATTTGGAATATAATCTTTTTCCTGTTCAACCGTGTTCTGATTTGGAGACTTGTCGAGTGAATCGGTGTCCGAGAATACTAAGCAATAGGAATAGCTGGGTCATTAACCGTAAGAAAGCAGAGAGTTAATAACAAGAGTATAAATATATGATAAAAAATTACAGCTAGTTTAAGCTAAGTTGAGACAACTGCGTTTATTAAAGTCTTGATCGATTGTAAACTACAAAACATTATTTAAAAAGTCATCATTGAAAAAGTCAAACACTCACCAGAGGAGATGTCCATACCAGTAATACGCCCGGAGAGCAAGATTTTGCCAGTATTTTCCCCAGATCGTTCATCCCAAATGCGTAAATGCTGATCGAAATGGCCAGTAACAAGCGCAGACATGGAGGGACAAACAACTACATCTTGGAATGTGGAGGCAGCCATGATGGTACGCCTACAACAGCACTTGTCAACGTCCCAAATCTGAGATTACCCAAAGTAAAATCAATTGATTACAGAAGGAAATTTAATCATTATTACATAAAACGAAGTATAAGCTGCACAACCTTTTAGATTAGGGTAATGAGTAGTTAAGCATGCTTCAAGTGTTATATTATAAAAATCTATGTGGTATAGAATGTACATTTGAACAAAATACCATTTTAATAATCCTGTCTTGACAATGTATTATTGGCAAATTTCAAAATACAACTGATGTCATTTTAGTGAGTTCAAAGAAAATCTTGTTTTAACCTAGTTCAGAAACTGGGAATGTCTCGTACGATTTTTATTAAACGATTTTGCTCAAACGCTTCAACCTACGGTCACTGTTATGTGGATCCATCATCATATAGTTCTACACATACATGATGATGCCTAACAAACAGAGAATTTATGTCATTAATGCATCTTAACCTGTTTAGGTTCATAAAACAAAATCATCCATAAAATAAGAATTCTAGCAAGTATTCAACACCTAATATTAAAATTATTTTTGAAAAGAGTGATTGCAGTGATAACATTAAACACTCTAAATCACCTTGATCGTTCTGTCTGATGAAGCAGTGACAACGCGGTTAGCAGACCTCATAAATTTAGCAGAGATAACACGCTCAGAATGTCCTGTCAAATTGACTCGAAGTCTGGAATCATTTAGTGTCCATACACGACACGAAAAATCACTTGAGGCACCTAAAACAGCAGTTTCCTAAAATAAATCAGGAAAAAGTGTAAGTGACAAAACACAAAGTGGGTTAGTACGATGAAAGAAAGAAAACAAAAATATTTAACATTCTTCGGCTGCGAACTTATACTAGGTAACGCAAAGTGTCGCGCAAAATTAATAATACTTAAAAGGCATAACTAGACTAAAGAAAAGAAGTGCTTCAACATGAATAGATATAAACTAGGATCATTAACAATCTGCGATAGTTTGATAAGAAGAGTAAATTTTTACTTAAATAGAGTGGGATGAATGAAGAATCGTGAAACTACGAGTTTAGACCAATAACGCTCAAAAGATTCATGCAGAAAAGAATTTACACCAGCGAAATCAATTTTAAGAGATTTCGACTGGTAAGTCATACTGTTGCGCAAAGCCAAATCATGTACTGTCATGCCCCCTATGGTCTACACTAACAATCGACGGTCACTGTAGGGTTTTGTGGATATTTTAAAATTTGAAGTTACAGGTAACGGACTGCTTACTGGGTCACATGATTTAAAGATCAGGCCCTCATCGAGAATGTTGTAAGTCCTGTCTTTGAGTCTCGGTAGAGTTTTGGATGTAAATCGGTGAAGAGTCCTAGACCAGGACGAAACACCTGTCTAATGCTTTCAGTTTTATATTAATTGTCTGACCAAAGTAAGTCTGTGATCCAAAACTTCAAAGTCGCTGGTTTGTTGGACTATCGCTAAGTATTTGCAAGAACACAGATTTCTTTCTAAGGACTGCTCTAATGAAAAACATACCTCGATGTAGCCAGTAGCTCCGGATGGACGATAACATAATATTGACATGCGCAAACTACAATAGCCAGAACTTAAAAGATAAAAACCGAAGCACGACATACTAAAACAGCGTGAAATGACAAAAATTATTAGGCTTTGAGGTGTTCTCGTGTTCATTCGTCAGACCCATGTAAGCAGAATAAACTGAGACTTAAGCGAATTAGAAGATCAGGTGAGTAGATCCATTAATAATAAAACACTGAACGTATTTGACAACGCGATGTTGGTTGGTCTACAATGATTATATGGCACATAATAATCTAAAGTATTTACACGGCCCACAGATTTCGATGCATAAAACATGACCGCGACTATTTTTGAATGCCCGATTTAATGAAACTAGGAATAAATTCCTCTGGAAATGCCTTTGATGTATATATAAAACTTACTCAAAAAAACATACCAGTTACATTGGGAAACTCACATTTGGGTCAAAATCTATGGCAGTGACAGCAGCATTACAACCAACAAGGGTTGAATGGATTTCACATTTTCCTAGTTTCAAAAAATAAGCAATTGCAAAAGTATGAAAACATTTGCACAATAAAATATTCTACTATAAATTATACGAATGGTACGACTTTACAAATTTTATACCACATGTGATACGAAATTCACTCAAGAACAAAGTAAATGCAGAGTATACAACAACGCCTCTAATTCAAGAAGGTTTCGTTTTGACATTGTAAAAATTTTACGCTGGACAATTAAAAAATGTATACCATTTAGATATGTCCATAAACGGAGTTTACGATCAAATCCTGCTGATCCGAAAATGTGGCCTGATGGAGTGAACCGAACACTATTTACTTCATTTTCATTAGCATCCTAGAAGCGACAATCACAAGAATGTTGATAGAGAACTTACTATTTTGACTGCAACGTTACGCGGAAGTGCAGATTTACAGGGTAGTGGTTTGTCCGAACAATCACTGAAAAGTTACAAGAAACAACAGAATTAAACCTATCAGTAACGAATATAGTCGAATTGACTGCATCTTGAAGATTCTTGCGGATTGTTTCTTGAGTTTTTCTACGAAATGTTTAATATTTTAGACTTACCTATACTGCACATCATACTCTATATTTTTCAACCTTTCGACAGTGGACTGGAGGGCTTTTATTCGTTTCATAAGTTGCAGATTATCATCCTCAAGTTGCCTGTTTTTTGTTTCTAGTGCCTTCGCGGTCATTAAGTGTGAGGCCTGTTCATCTGTAAGCAACTGAGAACACACGTTGCATAACACCAATACAACACACTTCTTTAGTTTCCTCTAGTCCCTTAACCTTTTCCATCAAGTGATGATTCTGCACTTGATTAGCCTTAAGGCAGTCCTCTAACTCCGAAATCCTAAACAGCTCGCTTATATAACTGTAAAACCAACTTCAAGGACTTTGATTGGAGCAAGGTGTCTTTCTCCTGAAGAACTCTGTTTAAATCAATAACATTTTGCGCGAGCTAGCAGTTTTGCAAACAGACTTTTGAACTTACGTTCCCTTTCTGTCGATGCAATTCGGTAACCTCTTCTTGCAAATGAAACACCTTCTGCTCATAGTCATAGGATTTGACAGACTTTCTAAGGGAAATCTTAATATCAAGGGAAAGAAGGATACATCTTTTCAAGTTCTAGCTGTATTGAGGATTTCTCTTGTTGGCATAGTGTTAATTCACGTACAAGACGAGTGTTTTCACCCTTGAGGTATAACACAATGTCCTTATTTGAGTCGTCTGAAATTGTAAATAAATGCGAATTTAAACAAACATTGTGTAAAAATTTCAGTAAAAAATGACTTCTCAATAATATCACGTTCAAGCAGGGATGTAAGTATAGCATCTTTCCATGAAGGACCCTCCTTGTCCATTTAAACTGCCGCAAGGCCACACGTTTGCATTAGGCGCTTCGAAATATCCAATGCCTCTGAGATTTCACAAGATAAACCAAAGGCATTTCTTCAAAGCTTATCTTGATGTGACAGGATGTATTCATATCTTGGTGTGTGTACAACAAGAGTAGTTCAGTTACTCGTCTCTAATATTTTTAGTGAATTCGGTAGATATTAGGATATCGATATATTTTGAGTTTAAGCTAATGCGTATTTCCTGAGTAAGTAAAGTCGTAAAGGAGCAAGGATCTCAACCAGCTGGAAAAATATTTCAAATAAGATAGACCAGCAGTGAGAAATATGTGATTGTGCCTGTTCTTCCTCCCTTTGACTGGCGACTAATCGATTATCTGCTTGTGAATCTCAAGTTTTTTTTCAAATACAGCTTTTTTGATCTTATAACTTGAATATTTTACTGTTAATATGCTATCAGGTCATCTATTTGTTCTACTGGACAGTTCTTTGCCCAGACATTGCCATATCAGACATTAGCTGGATCGAGTGTACTTGTATAAAACTGGTTTGTGCTTCATAACGAACCTCCAAAATTTCGTTTAGGCAGTGAGGTGTACTGGACAGTATGGTCGATACTTGTCAATACTTGCAGGTTTACTCAAACTTAGATTGTTCAAACCCTCCAGTTTGTATCATTTAGATTCTGCTTAACTGAGTTTCGGAAAGATTTTGAGAAGAGCTACTACTCCTAGTTACTTTTGATCGGAGATTAACGAATTTTGGAATGACAGCAAGTCTATACTGAGTGAGCCGAACAATCGATAGATTGAAATATAGTGTTTGAGACATTTAACTACAATATATAAAGGTAAGAAATGCGGATGTTAGTGTGGTTTTTCGGAGGTCGAATCTCATTATAATCACGTACTGATCTGAACTGGAACACCACTGTGAACCAAGGAGCACTGTATAGCCTCTTCTTCCTAGCATGGTACTCCTCACCAGTGCGCGTCTACCACACCACGATTAAGAATCGAAAACAAGACTTGTCTAGTGCACAAACGCTTAAACTCTAAACCAGTGAGCAGAGATTCAACTGTGTGCAGTCTATACTCAATCTATAATAGTGAACTACCATCTTCATTGTCTTCGGTAGGTACAGTCTCCACAAGTGACACAGTTTGGCTTCATAGGCCACGGCTTCTCACTAGAAATCTGATAGTCTTTTTGAAGCTAAGCACTTTGGAGTGCATGATAAATGTCAGTATGAGGTTGTGGAAATTGTTAAATTTTGCTGAAATCGCAAAGCCGTGGTTAATGTGTCTTATAGAGAATCTACATACCAGGACGACACAGCCATCTAGTGCCTCCAGGTTTCCGATGATTGTCTAACTTAGATCGATCCGAGAATTCAATAAAAAAATACCGTTCTCAAAGAAGTAAAGTCTACATATTTCACTTTATTGAATAACCGAATGTGTTTGTATCACACCTAATTTTTCACTTGCTATTTAAGATAAAGTGTGGTGGACCTTTATGAAGCATGAGCGGTTTAGCTGACAGCTTTAATGAAGTCCGCGGAATATTTGTAACTTTTATAGCTGTATCTGCACGATATATGCTTTGGTTTTTCAATGATGGACTGAGCAGCTCGACATTTCATTTACTAGTTTTCGCAAGTCTAGATTTATTACCCGAATTTTGCAGAATGCTAATTCTGGAAATACAGGTGGTCCTGTGGTCGTGATGTGATGTGTAACATAGCTGATTACACATGGTAATTTCTGTCGCATTTGATATAGATCGAGAGACATGACGAGTATTTGCTGATAGTATTGATAGATCATGTGAGTTAATGTGACTGGGTGGTAATCTAAAACCGGAAAAAGTCACGCAAAAGGATATTTAAGCACTAACGCCTAATAACCTTCATTTGCTCATGTTGTCGAATAGATTACGGTATTGTTGCAGGTCTATACCAATAATTGACATAGAAACATCTGCAACAACGAAAATTCAATGATTGGGTTTGCGAAAAAGCAACAAACTTTCGTCATTTCACCAGTGATGTATAACAGGTTGCTATGTTCGCCGGTTGTAAATTGTCCCGTTAAGCTGACACATCTGACCGTTTGAACGTCCAGCGCTTGTTGACGGTAGGATGTCTTCACTCATTTTTTCTGATAAAACTGAAGGCTGAGAGCTTGATCGCTTTCCCCTAGGAGAGTCAGAAGTGAGTTGTCAACTACAAATTTTTCGTTTGTAGATACGCAGTCTACGCTTGACAGCGCATGACTGTTTCTCCAACGAGTCGCTGACGTGACACTTTCGAAGAATCAAGCCTCAGTAGAGTTGTCACCTCCAATGTACTTAAGTTCCACGAAATTGACTTTAGAAGTGCTGTTCCCCTAGAATCAGAATATGAGTGAATCTGGGTCGAGTAGGACGGGGCAGTACTTCCAGCATATGATTGTCGTACTCCATGTTAGTAGTGGGCTTCCTGTAGATGACTCCGATCAGACACCTCGAGGTGGTTGACAATCTTACTGAGCGCCACGCAGATTCATGAAGATTGATAAACTTGTGGTTGTGCACTTGATGTATTTCCAATCAGGGTTGCAAATAAAAGTATACTCAACGTTACATTCATGTTTTTCTGTCGTTGCGAAGTAAAGACATCCCGGGTGTTACTAGCTACTAGTCTGTGTATAGGGAAGATATCCATGTTTCAGATATTCTTATCACATGAGCATTGTTAGTATTACTGAGTTCATGAAGCTTATCTTTTTATCGATAAACTCGTGGCGTTCATATATTAGCAGTTTATGCTTTCAACTTGAAACGTATGATCTTACATATCCCATTTACATGTATGAGCATTATGTGAATGGACAGGTAACCCACCTACACAAGTTTTTCGAGTTGGTAACCTTTGTCCTTTTTACGTTCTTTCATAGTCTTGACGGTCCACAAATGGAATAGTCAGCTCTAACTCGCTAACATAATGAGTTTTTTCCGAATACATATGAGTTCCAGTTGGCAACCGGCGTCTGTTGACACGAAATACTTCGAGGGTTGCGGGCGCCATATGATAAGATATGAAGGTCATCTTTATCAGCCTATGTCTAGAATCCCCGTTCATATTGGCTGGTCTTACCACTTGTTGATTTAATGTTTTTCAGCCTCAAGGACAGCTTGATGAATTTTCACTCTCTAATATCAGAGGCTATTAGGTCAGGGTCCGTGTTTCATGGCACATAATGCATAGTTATATTTCTTCCGCAATAAACATCTTGTGCGATTCCTTAAGAATGTTCTTGATGAGACTGGGCTCAGAGTACGGCATATCAGGCATTATTCATTCGTCCCCGTCTGATTATAGAAAATGTTTAGTCAGCAGAACATCCTCTTCGTCTTCAGTGTTAGTGAACGCTACACGAAGGAATCTTGGGAAGTTTCAGCGCCTGTAGTCGTTCAACTGAGTGAGCCGTGTGACCGTTAGAGGCTCTATTTTGGGAAGTTTGAGCTAATTACCTAAATTTCCAAAGAGCATCTTGTCATTTTTGTCCTGCAGAGTGGGATGAAAGTAAGTACTGTCTTTACTTTCGTGCCTGTGACAGAATAACCGCGAAACGTGATCATTATCCCAGGTTTTCGGATACGTTCAGATTGAGGACAGTTTTATTTGGTAGTTGAAATGCGTCTCACATTCTCGTGTTTCTTGCTGACTGGTTGAATTATGTTAGCGGTAAACTGTACAGTCAAATCACCAGTCGATTACACTACACCTCCTGGGATGTTCTGCTTCTTGGACGGTGACACCCTATCCTTTTTAACTTTGTTGGCGGTGTTTCAGTCGCCTACAGAGTTTTTAGGGACCACCATTGCATTTGGGAATCCTATACTGAGAGACGCAAGTTTCTGAGGGAGCCTAGTGCCATAGAAGTTATGACGGTGCTGAGTCTCAGCGTGTCCTTACTAGTATCGATGCACGTCCTTTCGATACTAAAATTGTTGAGGTCCCTGTTCATTTCCTCACTGAGCGTTTTCGTTTGCCCGTTTAAGGCATACCTTTCTTCATGTTTGCTGACAACTTTTTCAGCAGACCTGTCGGGAGAATGATGTTGCTCAGCAAATCCTCAGTATTCATATTCCACGTGTCATATACTCACCTACGATCCGACTTACCAATTCCGTTGTAAGCAGTTACTTCATGATCTGTACATGCTTCGTGGAAACATTTGCATTTGTCACACTGTTTGCCAGAAGTTACAGCAAAACAGCGTCCTGTGGTGGACCAAAAAGTATAATAACCAAAAATCAGTGATAAAGTTATTACGTTCAAAATTAATGTAACAATAATAATTTATAAATTAACAACACAAATTAAAAGTTCAGGGACGTTACTTAAATCGGCTAGTGGTTGCGTATTCTGTTGAGTTTTGGTCCCATAAATCCACAATTATAAATGCGTAATAATTCCACAGAGGTAAATATGACGCCAATAAGTTTCTTTGACGTAGGATATAATGGAAATGACAAAGCAGTCTAAAATGAGGATAATATCCAGTTTAGAACGCAATTGACTCGGTAACGAGCGAGAATAGAACAATGGGTATGTGCGTAGTAGTGTATTTGCGAACCACCGAAAGTATGTCACGCTATGTCAGAATTACAACGGAAAAAGTCTTCAAGGTCATTTACTTAAACAACAGGTACAATCATTTAATGATAAATGTACATTCAGTGAGAAATTGACAAATACAAATAATATTAGAAACTATTTACAAAATAAGCTTGTAAGATCTATCTCCACATAGCTCCCCCCAGAGTGTCCGGAGGTAACACTGGTTATAATAAAAAAATGTAAGAATATGATATATGTGTATATACAAAAATAATATTTACAGTTATAACCAACAAAAGTTGTAGAGATGGATATGACATATACATTAATAAGATGGAGTGTGTTGTCGTTTGAGAATAGCAATAATGTAGCATAGCATAACGAATACAAAAAAATTGAGCTGTTTATTTTTGTGTATAATGAATGAATAATTAAAAAGTGTTTACCCGTTTATTATTGTTACAATTTTTTTTAAAAAAATGTGACAAAACGAATAATTGTGGAAAAAATGTGATTAATTATGAACACTGTGAAAAGAAAAAAAATTTTTAGATGGGATTAATAGTGTAGGTCCTCGGTAATTGTTTGCTTTGATTGTTTTATTTGTTTTTTTTATATGGCAAAACGTACATAACGCTTTGGTTTTTTATAAGTCTCCCAGAACGTGTTAAACAAGAGGGTGTAGTGCTAAGTTTTTCCTCTTCCTCTTGTTTCTTAGCAATTGATGGGAGTGATTGTTTGTTCGCAGCATTGTCTTCTGTGGCTTTTGGGACTTCGTAGAAAGCTGGTTTTATTCGGTCAATGGAAATTGTCTCCTTGTTCCCATTTTTATTGATAATGAAATATTTGTGAGTGCGTTTTATTACTTTATAAGGGCCTTCATACGGTGGTGTCAGTGGCTTTTTCACCGCGTCTACTCGAACAAAAACAAATTTGCATGCTTCTGAATGTTTATCGAGATGGAGTCGGTTGTTGTATTCTCGAGGTGGTATTGCTCTAATGTTCTGCATCATTTGTAATAGGCGGCTTGCGAAGTGAGTAGAATCCCCGTGCGTTGTAGGTTCATAGTTGACTAGTTGGCCGGGTAACGTTAGAGTTGTGCCATAGACTAACTCGGCGGCTGTACATCCAATGTCTTCCTTTATAGTTGAACGAATACCAAGGAGTACAAGCGGTAAGGCATCGCTCCACTTTGATGAGTCAGCTTGCGCCATCAGTGAGCTTTTTAATTGGCGATGGAATCTTTCAACCATGCCATTAGCTGCTGGATGGTAAGCTGTGGTTTTAATATGGTTGACCCCTAGAAGTTTAGTGAACTCCTGGAAAAGGACAGATTGAAATTGGGGACCACGATCTGTTGTGATTATTGATGGTACTCCATAGTTAGTTATCCAGCGGTCGAGGAAGACTGAAGCGACTGTTTCTGCTGATGTGTCTTTAATGGGGCATGCTATGGCCCATCTTGTGAACCTATCTATTGCGGTGAGGATACATGTGAAAGAGTTTGATGGTGGCAGAGGCCCAACTAAATCTAAATGCACGTGCTGGAAGCGTTTGTCAGGGATAGGGAACTTCCCAATCGGACTGTAGGTGTGTTTTTGCGTCTTACTGCGTTGGCACTGGAGACAGTTACGTGTCCAACGTTTAACATCCGAGTTGATTTTAGACCACACAAAACGTTCGGTAATGAGCTTTGTTGTTGCTCTGATGCCTGGATGTGAAAGACCATGTAAATGCTGAAATATTTTTCGTCGGCAAGCGTGTGGGACAAACGGACGATTGTTGCCTGTTGAAGTGTCGCATATGATAAATGTATCTGAAAGAGGAATCGGTACAGGTTTGAGATCTAAGCTAGACTTTTCTTTGCAGGCTTTCAATTCTGCATCGTCTGCTTGTAATTTAGCTAAGGTTTCAAGGCTGATGTCATGATTGAGTACCATCGTATTGATACCCCTCCTAGATAGTGCATCTGCAACAATGTTCATGTGACCTTTGATAAACCTGATGTCTGTGGTAAATTGGGAGATATAATCAAGTTGTCTTGCTTCTCGTGGGGAGCGTTTGTCATACGATGTGCTAAAAGAATGGCAAAGAGGTTTGTGATCTGTCATAATGATGAAATCACGACCCTGTAGCAAAAAGTTGAAATGTTTTACTGCTAAATACATAGCTAAGAGTTCGCGTCCAAAAGTACTATAACTTTCTTGTGCTGGCGATAATCTCTTGGAGAAAAAGGCAATGGGGGTAATCGTGTTGTTTACCCGCTGTTGTAATACTGCCCCTACGGCTTTTTGTGAAGCATCCGTGCATAGGATCAACAGTGTTGTGGGGTCAGTATTTAGGTGTTGAAGCATGGTAGCATTAGCAATCATGGATTTAGCTTTTTCAAATGCTATTTTGGCATCGGAAGGTAACTTGAATATTTTGTTCTTTTCTTTCTTGGTACCTGATTTATCGTTTTTCAGTAAATCTGTCAATGGCTGTAGTACATCGGCACAATTTGGTAGAAATCGTCGATAAAAATTGCATGTTCCGAGAAAACGACGTAGTGATTTTACTGAGGTTGGTTCTGGATAGCTGGAGATGGCTTTGACCTTCTCTTCAAGCGGTTTAATTCCTTGGGAATCAATGTGGTGTCCCAGGAATTCCAGAGATGAGGCGCCAAATATACACTTCGAAGGGTTGATTACAACACCATAACTTTTGAAACGTTCAAAAAGTGTGTGTAGGTGCTGAACATGTTCGTCAATGGAAGAACTAGCGATTAAAACATCGTCGATATAGACAAATACGAAATCCAAACCTCTAGTTACTTCGTCCATAAATCTCTGGAAGGTTTCAGGGGCGTTTTTTAGTCCGAAAGGCATCCTCAAGAACTCAAACAAGCCAAAAGGTATGATTACGGCTGTTTTCTCGATATCCTCAGGTGCCATCGGTATTTGATGGTATGCTCGGACTAGTTCTAACTTTGAAAAAATCTGTTTTCCATGTAGATTTAAAGAAAAATCATGCAGGTGAGGTATCGGATACCGGTCTGGGATAGTCTGGTTATTCAAACGGCGATAATCTCCACATGGGCGCCAGTCTTGATCTTTCTTGGGAACCATATGCAGCGGCGAGGCCCAAGGACTGTTAGATTGTCTGATTATCCCAAGTTGCATCATATGTTCGAATTCTCTCTTAGCGAACTGCAACTTGTTTGGAGGGAGTCTTCTCGCCCTGGCGCGGATAGGTGGTCCTGTAGTAGTAATACTGTGTTGGACATGATGTGTGGAGCATTCGTTTTGGTAATCAGCTCTGGTTATACTTTCATACTTCGACAGGATATCGGTGAAAATTTTGTTTTCAGGTCTTAACATACGGACTCCATGAATTTCGTAACTGGAGATAGTTGTGCCACTGACCTGTAAGCTTGTGTTTTTGTCGATTAGTTTCTTTTTTGCCATATCTACAAGTAGGTTGTAAGCACCAAGAAAATCGGCCCCGATAACGGGTTGTTTGATTTGGCTACGATGAAAACCCACGTGAAACGTCTCCGGAGACCGAGATCTAAAATAAGTGATTGTTCGCCATAAGTCTTAATGACTGTGTTATTGGCTGCGACTAGAGACAATTTAGTACCCTGAGGGTGCCGTCGTTGAGAGAGGTGTAATGGGATAATGCTGATTTCGGCTCCCGTATCGACCTAAAAATCTGAGCCCGAAATTCGATCCCTGACATGAAATAGACGGCTCGGGTAGTGGCCAGAAACAGGCGCCGCCATCACTGTCTGGCCGGGCCGTTTCCCCGATTCTCTGTGTCAGACGCAGAAAATGTGCACGGTCGTGTACAACACCGTGCTTTGGTGCCGTATTTTTGGTGGTACCAACATACATCAGATGTTCGCTTCGGTGACCTAGACCGTTGTCTAGAAAAAGATCTTCGTCTGGAGGGGGATCTTGATTGTCTAGCTTGGATGGTTGCTATGGTTGATTGCAGAGACGCTAGCTGGCTCGTTAAATGCGTTAACTGCTTTTGAAAGGAGACTAAACAGCTAATATCTAGTGGTCCAGGTGGTTGCAATGAGTTCACACCGTGACTATCATGGTAGACTTCCATCACTTTATCCGCCATGTCGGCTAAGTCATCAAGTGCGACGGATTTCCCTGAAACACTGAGAATTTGTCTAACGCTGTGTGGTAATCTTTGAAACCACATTTGCTTTAGGAGGGCTTCGTCTAGCTTGTATGGTTCGGCGAGTTGTTTCATGTGACGGAGAAGTTGAGAGGGTCTTTTATCTCCCAAGTCACAAGATGTTAACAATTGTTGCAGCCTTTTCTCATCTGAGACCGTGGTGCGTTGAATAACTGCTGCTTTTATCTTATCGTATGGTTCAGATTCTGGCACGTGATCGATTAGATCTCCAACTTCAGCGGCAATCTCAACAGGAAGTGCACCGACTACGTATGGATACTTTGATGCCTGAGATTTTATGCCTCTAGCCATGAATAAAGCTTCAATCTGAGCAAACCAGATTCTTGGATTATTAATACAATACGTTGGTAATCTTAACTCTGAGATAGCGTTGATCGAGTTTAAAGCATTATCCTCTGGTTGTGGGGAGTCCGGATCGCTTGCATGAATTATACATTATTGTGGTGATACGACTTCTTTGATAGATCTTAGCAAAAGTTTACGACCGTTAAACAAAAGGAACAATACACTCACAATGGATAAAATGGATAAAAAACGAGTGATACAAAAGGCTAGGATACACTAAAACTAACTTTGACGTGAAAGGCTGAAAAACCGGGTATTAAGCTGAGGCAGGATCACAGTCAACTATTTACTTAGGTAAAACTCAAAACGAAAGAGAATCTACCGAACGTTAAGCTCAGGATGGATTCGTTGGATGAAAATAGTACTCTTGTTGAGTAAGAATACAATGAAAGCTCGAGAAACGAAATCATGTTTAGACGAAACTTTCCGTTCGTAATGCGATGAGCTATAAAAACCTGTTTGATTGGCGCTAGTTTGTAATAATGTTATTGGATATTGGACTTCGTTTGTGACATTAGAGTTGTCCTACACCCAATGCGGACTAGGTCTTAGCTGTGAGGTATTTTGAAATGAAGGTCGTTGGTGTCTGGATGAGTGATTCTAAAGTAGACAGCATCGGGCTTAATACTCTTTTACGCGAGAAGAGGTAAATGGCTATTTAGTGTATGATCTGAGTTAGCGCAGAAGTGATCTTCTATTTAGAAAGGTTTTTTTGCCAATTTTTTGTCTAAAAAGTGAAAACGTAGATCAATCCGTGTATTAGTGTATCGGAACAAGGACCGTTTGACGTAATCCTTCACAAAATACCGGAATTTTTGAGCGGGGATTCCAGTAAACAGAGTCGAAAAATTATAGAAAATTTTATCGTAAATAAACAGTTATTTGTTTTACTAATTTTTCATAGAACTATGCAAAAAGTAATCCTCATGTTCTGTTCATAGACTCACCAATATCACTCAAGTGTTTGTTAACACGTCTTAATCAGTTTTCTTTGCTCCGAGACATTGTAGCGATGTCGGATATAAGTAAGTATCGTAATTTTCACTTGTTTGAATTATTATGATTTGTGTGGAGCAGATGAGGAGTATAATAAAGTCTCATGAACTTGTTTATATATATTTGAGTCAAAGTCGGTGTTTACAATTTTCTTGTGCCAGTGGAAAATTGACCTTTAAATGGTACCTGTGTTTCTTTGCTGACCACCTATATCACATACCTATCAAATTTAAAAAAAAAAGTACTAGGAGATTTAAAAACATTCGTCCTAATGACCACTAATTTATGTATGAATCTCAGGTATATCCTGTTGCACACTTATTTAAGTTCTCACAATTCACCGTTATTAATCACGAATGCTTTCGTAAGAACTTACACCATACCATATTTGAGGATATTGGCTTTCTGTTGTACAACACGTTTTTTTAAAGTTGTGTTGCAATACTTCTTGTGATATTTAACAAACAAACAGATTTATATCGATAATGCTGGGCACTGCTCTATGTAATTAATTTAAGCAATCGAGTAATATCATAGCCTCTCAATAGTGTCTGAAATCCTAGTTTAACAATCCACATATGGTGCAAAAGTTCCAGTACATATCTGTCCTTTTACCCTGTTAAGCACTTTGTCTTCAAGGTTTCTATTTCCCATTACCTTATAGCAATACACTAATGAAACTTCCCAAAAATCTCAGATTGATTTGAAAAATATCTAATAAACTCAGATTTAGTGCTTCTCTGTATTTTAATTAAGTTTGTCAAACTCAGCTGCAAATGTTCATACTTTTTATTATAATGTTCCTTACTGATTACGATCATTTTTCCCTTTTTTTGATAAGTTTTACGAGTTCACAATGTAATGCATGTTCTCTGAAACCTAGTTATTTTTTCATTAATTCAACAGGAAATGAAATATTTGTGCCCAAATTTTGCCTCTTACCACAAAAAGACCCTACGAAATTATATGACGCTGGTATTTCTTACCCTATAGGTAGGTGAAATATTTCTTAGATGCATGATCATTATTGTCAGTCGTGGTGTTTGCTTTGTAGCTACTGAAATTTTGTGATATTGTGTAGCTAAATTGTAAGACGTTGTGCAGTGTAATAATTTTTCAAGAGTGCGTTGGATGTTTGGGTAAATTATTCACTTCTTCTTTAGAAATGGTCGTGTTAAAGTTTAATATCAGTTTGGTAATCGCTGTTCATGATACATAATAATCCAGTTGGGAGTTGACTATTTTCTCCTTTTTGTATGAAAGAATTGTCACGTAGTTTTCATTGTCACCGCTATTAAATTTCACCTTGAGCACTTAATACCACTTTCCAGATAAAATTATAGCGTTTAGACACTGGTGGTATCCTTTCTGTATATTAGGAAAGTTCACTGAGAGGTAATTATATCTTGGATACTTAGCCACAGTTTTCAGTAACACACTTCATTACTATTGTGATCTGACTAATAAAAACAACTAATAATAAGGCAACTTTCTGAGCGCTAATGGCTACCCATCTTGATTCACTTGTTTCTAGATCATGTAGAAAGTGTCGCAGTCATAATAGTCAAATTCTCATTTTAAGGAAGTTTTATTTTCCCCTCTTTATTTCAGTGTTAAATTACAGCAACCCATATTTTGAGGTCCGGTCACAAGTCATGTTATTCTAATTATGAAAACCTCAAATGTTCTTTTTCGACACTTATAAAATTTATCAGAACTTTCGTTTAATATTTTTGTCTTTTTTGAGTTTTCAGTTTGATCGTAGTAAAAAATGTTTCTAGAAAGAGGATTTGTACATAAACTTGCGTCCTCTATGTTGCAGTCATCTACATTAAACCCATTCGGTCACGCAACATTCGGAAACGTAACCATTTTTATTTATCAAATCAAGAATCTTTACAAAACTTGTCTTATTCGGCCGTTTTTGTTTTCGTAACTGATAATCGTGACCGTAGCAACAACTTTTCACAAATAGTTCTTTTAAGCATAACTAGTTATGCAATGCTTTGACTAGTGTAGAGGATGTATATGTTATCAATAGTGTATATGATTCCATTTCAAACGTGTCGCTTTTCAGACATATGGAAATTAATGTTGAATGTGCTTTCGAACTTTCAGTGGGTAAAATGATACCTCGAATATGTACCTTTTATTGTGATATTTAGTTACCAGCTGACATCTTAAATTTTGAATGTCAATGTCTTTACTTACGTTGATTTATTATTTTTGTTTTGAGGATATCCTGGTAGTACCCTTGTCATATTATTTACTAACCGAAACTATGATGTACTTCAGGGAAGAGAGGAAAATCAACACAAGTACCTCTTTCTTAGAATGTGCTTTCGTTATTTGCTAAACAGCAACTTCCTGCTGTTTTTGCATTTGAAATAGCGATAAGATGTGAAAGGTCTTTGTTGAATGCGAAAATGTGGAGTCCTAGTTAGTAAATTATTGGTTTGTGAATTTTTAGTAAGTCTCTATTACCACTGTAAGGTCTTGTGATTTTCGAGATTTACGAATCGTTAGTATTCCTTAACTTGATGAAACTTGATTCTGTCTGTACAGCCTGATTTGCAAAATTTCTCCGGGCTTAGAATTAGTTATCATCACAGGATTATGCCTTTCTTTATTCGTTTAAGTGTTGACTTGTTTTTCTTCCACAAGTCATAGGGTCTGAGTTCAGCATGATGGTGAAATATGGTAGAACGTTTTACAGTTCACAAAAAATTCAGTTTTGATCTCATAATGGATACAATGTTGTTTAGAAAAAGCTTTTCTTTCCTTAAATTTTGGAAGTAAAGTAATAATACGGAGTTGGTTTTAGAGGTGTGCTAAGGACAGATGCTAAGCAGTCATGATTTTGGTAGCAAATCATTTAATATGTCACAGGATTGACCTTAACATATTTTTAAACTTATGTAGAAATCATCAAGGTTGAATGTTTAGATTTTTTGAAGACCCAACCATTAAGGAATATGAGTCTCCTTTTTGTCCTCTAAAACAACTAGTTCACAATTAGAGCCTATTCCAGTTATAATAATTCTTTATATATATATTTATTGTCAGGGGCGGTGTGACAGTTTGGTATTCTTTCCACACCGTACGATATTTTTGTCTTTTTGTATTTGTTATATCCTGTAACCGAACAACACACGTAGACGACCATCAGCAACCAGTACGAGGGGGGCTGATTATTTATTTATTTATTTGAACACATAAATATTGGTACAAGAATGCGCCAAATATATATGCGCCACACAAAACAATGAGAATTCGAAGAGAAAGAAAAAAAGGTAAGGAGCGTGAAAAAAAGAGAACAATAACGAAGAGGTTGGTGTAAGGTAGTGTAGTAATAATAATAGTAATAATGAGGGAACGGAAAGGTGCGATCAGAAGAAATCTTTCAGTTAAGAAAGACACAACCACTTTTTATGAAGAAGGTAAAAAATTACAGCAGAATCGCCACTGGCTTCTATTCCGAGCCATACCTGATAACGTCTCTAGTCACTGTGTAGCACCATCTCTCGGACCCCAACCAGGGAGTCGTGAAGGACCGACACAAGCCAGCCTTTTGCAGCTTTCTTTCATACCACGACACCATGTCATATACTGACCACCTCTCCGCTTTCTCCAACTAGTCCCAGAGTCGGCAAATAATGCACGACGTGGAATTCTCTGGGACGACATTCGGAGAACATGTCCAAGCCACCGAAGTCGGTGTTTCAAGATGGTGACACCAATTGAGTTATCATCTCTGTGCCCAAACACACGATGCCGAACCTCTGCATTACTGACATGGTGTTGCCACTGAATGTCAGCAATCCTTCGGAGACAGCGATGATCGAACACAGAAAGTCGTCTAACGTCCTCAACTCGGAGAGGCCAGGTTTCACAAGGATAGAGCAAAACTGCTCTCACCGACGCGTTGTAGATCCGACCTTTTACAGCCAGACTAACATCAGGAAGGCGCCAAAGGTGGCCCAGATTGGCATAAGTCGCTCTGGCTTTCACTATACGTACATTGATCTCATCACTCACACCCCCACCAGCACTTATGCAGCCACCCAGATTCACGAACTTCTCTACTACGTCTATCTGCTCACCATCCAGGGTGAGTACAGGATTAGGATCCTGGCAGTCTCGTAGAAGTACTTTGCACTTCGAAGGTGCAAAGCACATACCATACCTACAGACACTGATTGCCAACTGATTAAGTGCGGATTGAATGCCTTGGGCATTATCGCACAGTAAGACAATATCGTCCGCATACTCAAGGTCGAGAAGTCTTTCTCCAGGCAACAGATCCACACCACCATTACTTACATTCATCAGAGGTGTTTCCAGAATGTCATCGATGGCAAAGTTGAAGAGGAATGGTGAGATTGGGCAACCCTGCCTAACCGCACTGCTCGAATGGAACAATGGAGAAAGGTGGTTGTATGCCCTCACTCTGCCTGAGGTGTTTGTATATAGGGCAGCCCTGATGTCAAGAAACACTACGATTGTTGGCCTTTGAAAAGTATGGCGGTGTTCTAACATTTGGCAGAGGGTGAAGATATGATCAATACATCCTCGATCAGAACGAAACCAGCCTGCTCCCCGCGAGTCAATCTTTATCGGGTTTTGAACAACCTACGAAGTATGACGGAAGCCAATAGCTTGGACGCAATCGGAAGTAGGCTTATCCCCCGATAGTTGTTACAGGAACGACGTGAACCCTTTTTAAAGATAGGGACAACTATCGACTCATTCCATGACGTTGGTACACTCTCTAGTTCCCAGATTTTTGTTAACGACGCCGTCAGTTCCTTACGCAGAAAGCCACCGCCATCTTTAAAAAGAGCCGGAGGTAAGTCATCTGGGCCAGGTGATTTGTAGCGCTTCAAGAGTTGGAGTTCCTTGCGGAATTCCGCCTCATTTGGTGGATCAGTCGTCACCAGCTATGGAGGGCAGGACAGTCTGACCGATGTTGCCGGAGCAGCAGGCCAGTTGAACTGCCCTTCGACGGATTCTGCCCATCGTCCAAGACGTCGATGGATGTTAGTGATTGGCATCCCATCATCCTCTCATATTGTTTCACTCACACCAGACTTCTTGCTGCCAGTGGCTCGGATGAGTTGGAAGAGCTTCCAGTAATTACCAGATACAGCTGCTGCTTCCAGCTCATTAGCACGCTCCGACCACCAGGCTTCTCGGTCCTTACGCAAGCTTTGCCCAATTTCCTTACATAACATCCTTCGTTTATGGTCAAACTCATGGTCACCTGGAGTAGACCGACGGGCTTCAATGAGTTGTAAGGAACCAGAAGAAACCCAACTCTTATGAGCAGGACGTTTCACGAACCCACAACTGACTGTACCCGCCATTTTCATGGCATCATGCAATTGCAACCAATGCTCATCTATACTTTTCGGTCGAACGGTAGCTAGCCTAGAAACTAGCTCGGTTCGATACTTACTTGCAACAGAAGTTGCAACCAGCTTGCTAACATCAATCCTTTGGTGGCGGTCACTTCGTTGACCACTGAAAAGTAAGGCAAGATTGGCGCGGACCAAGGCATGGTCAGAGTCCAGATAGGTACTCCAAAAGGAGCGGCAGTCTTGTACACAACCACGCCAGCGGTAGCTGATCGCGATGTGATCAATCTGAGTCCAGGCTTGAGATGCAGAGGAAGGACGCCAGGTGGCACATCGGCGATGACTGTGCCGTAAGTTAGTGCTAGCCAGAAACAGGTTGTGGTCTGTGCATAGTTGCAGTAGACGGTCCTCGTTATCTGTCCTGCGACCAACAAGTCTCCATCGGTCACCTAAACGACTCTCTTCTGTGCCTAGACGCCCGACCTGAGCATTCACGTCTCAGACTAGTACTACAATATCTGTCGAACGCACTTTCTGGAGAAGAACGGATAACTGGTGGAAAAACCCATCCTTGATTGCATCCGGGCTGCAATCTGTCGGAGCATAGGCGGAGATGACGAAAAGACATAGTTTCCCACGCCGATTTCTTCTCACTTTGATGGAACTTTCTAATCTAACAGCACATAATCGACTGTTAATGGGGATCCAATCGATTAGTGCTGCCTCAGCTCTAGGGCTTAGTGCGACACCAACGCCAGCAAGACCAGATGAAGATGCCACAGGGTCCCCGGATAAGCGCACGTAAAACAAGCTTTTCGAAGCGATAGATGGAGAGTGAATTTGTAGTACTTCACCAGTCTTAAATACGGGTCTCGGATAGACAGCAGACATCGATATTAAGATTTTCTAAAGACATAGCCAGCCCTATCTGTTGTCCAACCTGCATAAGTGTGCGAACGTTGAAGGCAGCCAGTTTGAATGGTGCACGTGGTTTCAGAAAAACTGCTTCAGTACTCATATACGGTGGTAACATACAATTTTCAACCGGACAGTGACTCGAGAACGTTTAGATATAGTCGAATTTCCACCAAAGACGAGCTGCTGTATAAGTCGAAAAAATAAGTATAGACAGTAGGAATAAAAGAGGGTGAATAATGTCGTAGTAAATAATAATAATAATAATAATAATAATAATAATAATAATAATAATAATAATAATAATAGTAATAATAACAATTATTGTAATGATAGTGATTTGAATCATTTGATTGTTATTCGAAGCGAGAAAAGTAGTTTCCATAGATTTAGAGAGTTCATCATTTGCGTGTGGGCTGTGATACTGCCCAGGTGCCCACACCGAAGCAGGTGGTTTTCTTAGGGGGCCACTCCCCAAGCCCTTGACCTAAAGGTCTAACCCACAAGGCAGTGGAGCATCGTAAGGAAATGCAGTCCTATGGAAGCCGGCGACCGAAAATTGGTTCATACGCCATTTGTTCCCGCAGGATACTGTAGCCCATGTGCACCATTGGTTTGGGATCCGATTAAAGCGCCGGACATTCGCTTTTCGTCCTCTCATTTTCGTAAACAACACTCTTGTCACGAGAAGGCAGTGAGTAGTACTTTCCTGGCAGAGGATATTTACGCGTGGCCATGTGCGAGTATTTCGAGAGGAAGGGCGGACCCACCCCGCTCCCGGCCATACCAGGGCATTCGGGGGCTTAAAATCCCGGGCCGCCTGGTTCTCTATGCTTGATGGTTGGCTCAATAATAACTAACCCCGAACGAAGAGGAAAAACTCAAAACCAATTATCGCCAGTACAAGATCGTTATGATATTTCAGTTTTTTATTTTATTTATTTATTTAAACACAAACATTGTTACAAGGAGGCACCAAATAGATGTGCAGCTCATAAATCAATCGATTTGTGTGAGGGCTGGGATACTCTCCAGACGCCCAAACCGTAGCAGGTGGTTTTCTTAGGTGATTACACCCAGAGCCTTCGACCTAAAGGTCTAACCCATAAGGCGGTGGAGAAAAGTCAGGAGATGCGGTCTCATAGTGGCCGGTGACTAACGATTGGTTCATACGCCATTTGTTCCTTCAGGATACTGGAACCCATGTACACCATTGGTTTGGAATCTGAGTTTTCCAACCCCCTAGGTGGACCCTCTACGTCCACCAACCCGGTTAAAGCGCCGGACATTCGCTTCTTGTTCTCTCACTTTTGTAAACAACACCGCCTCCATGAGAAGGCAGTGAGTGGGACTTCTCTGGGAGTGACTGTATACGCGTGACCATGTGAGAGCATTTGGAGAGGGAAAGCAGACTGTCCCCACCCTCGGTCGTACCAGGGCATTCGGGGGCATTGTATTTCAGACATTCATTTATATACATAAAAGACCAGCCCACGCAGCAGACTAATTGAGTAGCAGTGTTAACAAAAATAGCAACATTAGTAATAGGAAAAATGGAGTACTGGGTATACAAATAATTGGTTCTAGTTTATTAGTGGAAAATGTTATAATAGCAATTTATGGTTCAAATAAAAGCTTGGGACTAGGGTAATACGGAAATAAGCGAACCAAACTGCTTAATAAAAGTGTAATCAATTTATATAGATAAAATTGTAGAAAAATAGCTTAGGAAGTTTTTACCTTATAGTTAAATCGTCCCTAACAATAGTATGGTTTTAATTATTAATTATTTCGGTGATCGTCTTTAATTTCCATATAAAATTCCCTAAAAATTAAATATGATGTACCATATATTTCGTATCACTGTCTTTCAATTTTATTCTTAAGTGTTCATTATTGTTAAAATGATAGGATGAAAATATGTATGTGCTAGAATTAATCGTCATGCTTGATAATCTTTCTGCCAGTAGTTTAAAAATGATGTTGGTTGCACACAACGTCAAAAAGGATGCTAGGGTAATTCAACCAAGTAGGAAATATGTTTCATAATAAGTTCAGAAAATTGTCATCTTCTGATTGTTTTCCAAACGAATGAACATCGAAGAAGCGTGCGCTGCCTCTGAGTAACGGTAAAAACTCACTAGACTTTAGTGTTACTGATTTCCAGGATTTCACTAACTTTGAGTATGCTTACCTATTTCTGTATTCTGTGAACACTGGTGCTTTTCCATCGACATCACCAGATTATGTAACTTCATCATCAGTAATATAAAGTGTCAAGATGTAGTATGCTAAGCTGTCATCGGGATCTACAAATCCTAATGTGTTTACTGCTCGTTTCAGTATGTTTTTGTCTTTTGTTTGTTAACTAACATTTTTATTGCTGAAACAAAGGTTAGGGTTCTGGCTTTTCACAATATTTCAGCTATTTTCACTTACAGTGATTTGTTAAAGAATTTCGGGCTTCTCGGCCAGGATCCCTTAGATAGTGTCTATCATGTTGATATTAAGCGTATTGGATGTTCTTGATAGCACAATCACACCTTGTTTAATATATTCTTTAAAAACCAAACACTTTAAATTCCTTGCCATGTATTTTTTTATTAGTTTTCACTCAAGCAAAGTGAGTCGGCGCAAGGAAAGCACCTTCGTAGCGGTGGAGAATTTTATCTAATTCTTAGTGCTTTTCAATATAACTAGAACTAAATGTACGAAGTCATGACTGGCAGTACTCTTTCAACTGCAACCATTTCATCCCTTTATTTTTTTCTAGGCTGATCTAATCTAGTATTCTATCATTCATTTAAATGTTTATTTCACCGATAATTTGAATGTATGATATATTTGAAATTTGATTTTCATCTATAGTTTGCAAGTCACTAATGGCCCATGGAAATGACAATGTACATAAGGTACGTTGGTTTTATTCAGTATGTCCAATTACTTCGATTTATCAGAGAATGCAATTTTCCGTTAAATTTCTGCTGATTGTGCTTTATTTCCGCAAATAAAGTTACTAATACCTTTAACCATTAGTTTATATATATATATCAGTACCAATTATGATAATTCGTGTAGAGAAGCTTTGGAAACAGTGAGCTACACTGGAATTATTGAAACACTTTTGGGTTTGTAAGTCGATAAATTGAATTCTTCTGTACGCTAATTTAATTCAATATACTAATTAATCTCACGTCATACACGTAAATAGTCAGTATCCATGAAATTTACTGTTATCTGGATGTTTTTAAAAATAGGGAATTATCTTAATAAAAATGTTAATCGTTTTCGAGCAATTGTTGTTGTTAAAACCCACTTATTCGTTACATCAATTACGTGATATATTTACTCAATACATTTCGAACACTCTGATCACACATATACTTGTTAAGACATTTTACAACAACAAGCCGCAAAGAAAAATAAAGTACACAAAAACAATGTGATAACCACTCTTGATAATAAATCAGTATTAACAGGGTAGGTTAAGGGTAAGAACAAATTGTTTTTGAACATATAAAGAGGTTTCAGTTTCCGTATAGCCAAGGCTTCAATAAACCTTAATATACACCCTTGAAGGCCTTTGTACAACACTACAAATGCTGATTTGATATCAACCTTACGATCAGTCTCAACCAAGTGTTTCGCAATAGAGGAAGATATCTGTCTATCGTGTGATCTTATTTGACCATTGACATTCATTTGTTTCTGCGGTCATTTAGGTATGCGTTCCTCCACTCTTTCTTGCAGATCACGACTGTTCCTCCATTGCAATATGGTTTAATATTAGTTGAATATTGATAGTGTTGAACTATAACAATATAACTCTTCAAAATTAATCCTTCTAAAGCAAATTTATTCCCATCTCACTACCTAGTGGGTATATACCTACAAATTAGTCTTTTGATCAAATCGTATTTGATTCTTAGTATTTCTGTTTCCGTTATGCGGTTATTGCTGTCTAAACTGTAAATGTTAGAATTCAAGCTGATATAAATACAGTTTTCATCAACAGTAAGTTTTTGTTAAACTTGCTGAAATGATGAGAGAGATAATGGGATGGTACTTCATTCGAGTAGTCATACGTTTATATCTTACAAAGAAAGAAGTTTAGTGAAATCAACAGATCAAAAAGACGAAAAGAATGGAATAAATATAACAGAAACAGAGAAATATTTATCTTTTAAGTGCATGATTAGAAGCAACGCTACTATGCCATTCTAGTCTGTGTCATCATGGCACTTTAGGACCTCATACACTTTTTATTGTTTTCACATACATCTATTTCATTAAGTATTTAGTTCTCTAGACGATCTAATTTAGATAGTATGAATGCATAAATTATCTGTAAATCGTAGTCTAACTACTTTGGAGTTTCTCCCATCTACCTTAGTTAATATTTAAAAAAACGCCTTGCAGAAAATACTATCATACGCTTGAAAAAAAATAAAAAGGATAAAACAAAACTCATCGCTTGTTTAAGATGGATCAAAAATTGGTGAATACCTTTAGAATTCAGGTATCATTTTTGTTACATCCGCAACAACGAGATATATTAACGGAGCAGAGCAAAAGATAAATTATACGCATTGTTAAGCTATGAGTCACGTTGTTTGTGTGTTAGATAATATTGTTCAATTTTACTAACTGAAATTGATTTTTCAGTCTTGACGTAGTTGTTAATCAGTCGAAATTTAAAGCATTAATGTTGCGTATTTTGAGGAACACCGTTTGTTTTTACATTACTGGTAACAGAAACAGACAGTGCCAGCTGATAACTTTTTGTTCAAACGCAGCCAAATTTAGCATGAAAACACTTAGATTATAAATTTTGCTATGGATTATTACTGGTTTCGTTGTGATCACCTTATACTTCAGGATCGAAGTTATCATAATTATAGAGAGTTCATCCGGTTTTATTACGGCTCTTTTTCTTTATTGATGTGTACCCATCTGTGTATAACCCATGGATCGAATATCCAGTCTAGTGATAGTATAATCTCGATCACCAGTCGTTTTATCGTATTAGCTATAGTACACTGTAAAGACAAATCTATTTTTAGTCTGCCGGTATCATTTACATTGCAATTGTGTATCTCTGTTTTATGTCACTCGCTTATAATTATCTTTCAGACTATTTATGAGAAGTAACATGTAATCTAGAGTCTCTTAGTGTTGCTACACATTACTCTCTAGGTTTACAAGTATTTTTTTATAAATCGGAACAGGAAATTTTATAAGCTCGCTCTTCAATATCACCATTATCAACGGTAGCAGATAAAACATATACGCTATAGAACGTAAGCATATCGGCTATCTACTTTGTTTAGTTTAGTTAAGCTAATGATATGAAATAATGTTCATCTTGGTTTTGTCAGTTGGATTCCTTAACAAGGACGTGTATCTCAATCACTGGTACGGCCGAGAGTGGGGAGAGTCCGCTCTCCCTCTCGAAATGCTCTCACATGGCCATGCGTATATAGCCTCTGCCAGAAAAGTACTACTCACTGCCTTCTCGTGACAAGAGTGTTGTTTACGAAAATGAGAGGACGAAAAGCGAATGTCCGGCGCTTTAACCGGATCCCAAACCAATGGTGCACGTGAGCTCCAGTATCCTGCGGGAACAAATGGCGTATGAACCAATTCTCGGTCACCGGTTACCATGGGACTGCATCTCCTTACGATGCTCCACTGCCTTGTGGGTTAGACCTTTAGGTCAAGGGCTTGGGGAGTGGCCCCCTAAGAAAACCACCTGCTTCGGTGTGGGCACCTGGGCAGTATCACAGCCCTCACACATATCGAATGAGATTTGTGTGGCGCATATGTATTTGGTGCCTCTTTGTACCGTTATCTATGTATTGAAATAAATAAATAAATAAAATCTAGATGATGAGAATTCAATTTTATCTATCTTAATGATGGGAAGAAAAAATATTTTACTGTCCAGCAATTGTATCACCAAAAACAGCGTTCACACTACATCATAATATTTTTTATCATAATGTAGGTATGTAAATATACACAGTTATTTTCATCTTTTGCAAAAGCATTAGTAAGAGATGGATTCAATGACTGCATTGTTACTTCCGTTAGCGCACCTATAAAAAAAGTGATGTTTTCATAGTTTACTTTTACAACTAACTACGTAATTTTAGATTGAAAAGTTTACTTAATCGATTCTTACTTACTAAGTCACGGGTTCAAACTAATATATCTACTGAAATTTCAAGAGCCGGATAATATCGTTGGCGGTTATATGATTTCTGTAACTTGTAGTCTAATACGGTAATCTGTATATGACCACTGAATAGCATATTTTCAAGAACATAAAACTCACGAAAATTTTCATGGTTTCAGTTATCTATGAGGTGAATTGATCACGTTTTCATTGTTCATCAAGTTCTTTAACACAGAAATGGTTAGTGAGGCCTTACACCTGCCATAAACTGTGTGACAATCTTTGGATTGAAGCATTAGATCGATATGTTATGTCAATCACGGCACTGTTCGAACTCACACTTGTGTAATAATTCCTCGAGGTTCCTTCAAGGTGACGACAACAAGCGACGTTCATCGTGGATATTCGCTTTCACGACTCCTGTCCAAGTTTACTCGTGAACGGATTGAGTATATCATGTTTAGACTTTCTTGAAACTATTCTCATCCATGGGGATCCTCTGGCCGATCAAGAGTAGGTAGGCGACATAGTTCTCCCATGCGAAATCATTGACAAGATCTCTTAAGTTCCTTGACATGAATTTATAAAATTCAAGATAATTTTCTGAGATTGATTTACTTTTACGCTTAGTTCGTCAATATAGATCAATGTAGTTGAAACTGTTATTTATTTGAGGAATCAGATCACCTAATAAGTTGGTTACTGAAAATGTTCCAGCATGAATATAGGTGTTTGATCTAGTTCCTACCAAAATTTACTACTTACAGGAAGCATATATTTCTATTTATTCGAAAAGGAATGCAGTACGTCGCAGTCTTCTTTAACTGTGTGACATAGTTGTTGAAGATGGAAAATACACAAAAACTACAGGCTTGACTACGGCTCTGTTTAGCATTGCAATGGGGGTAGACCAGTTGATGAGGTCATTTACCTGCACTGTCGGGGATGACTGAGTGATGGGATGCTATTTGAATTACGGTTAGAATAAAAACCAACTTGGAGTGGGCAGACTGAGATATGGGATCAGTCTGCGAAATAATTGACTGTTAGTCATCGTTGTGCAAGGTATCGTAGGCCTTCTAGATACGATTCTCAGTGTATTGTAAGTTAGAGCTCGGAAAAGTTTGGTGACTCGATCCAAGCTAACTGCAGCGGTGCACATATACTCTATATTTTCTCAAATCGTGAGGTTTTTAATAATTTAATAGGTGTAAATTACTATTAGTGTAGTTGTAATCTAACATGAGGTTGACAGCTGTTAATCAACAGTGTCGTCACGGATATCTATCCGAAACCTTTGTTTCTCAAGAATATACTATAACAAAAACTAAAATATTATTACTTACTTTCATGGGTGGACTGGTTGATTGCATTTATACTCATATTGTACTTATATCCTAGTTTCTCTGTAGTTTTCCTTAATCATTTTAAATGATTTTCTATTTAGATAGCTATTGTTTTCAATGACTCAGGTCTAGATCATTTAACATATCCCATATTTGTTCAGCAATTTATTAAACATAATGGAAAAGTTCTTAAATTATTTGTAGTCGGTGATCATAGTTGTGTTACTGAAGTTCCTTCCATCAAAAATCACGACAAATCTGGTAAGTTTGCATCTATCATTATATGTTATGAAAAATTTGATATGTTGGTGTATGTATGAGTTATATCTGTTCGTCATTTAGATGTAGACGAACACTACCCAGTAGTATAGGTTTACGTAATCAGGCTCAATCATAATCTTTGTATTGAACCTAATAGGCCGAATTGGTTATTGAAGCCAAAGTAAATGGAACTTAATTCGAGCATCTGAACCAATGGTTGAGTTTTTCTAAATATAATATGGATAAAAATAATTACTAAGAAAAACATTCACACAAATGAATCGGGTATATATATATATATATATATATATATATATATATATATATATATATATATATATATATATATAATATATATTTATATATATATATATATAGTCAATCCATATCATTGTATATGTTTACTTGATTATGTTTTGGTAAAAGGCCTTATTTCGAGTCACCTGCTTTTGTATCACGTATGGTTAATGACAAGTGTAGTAGGTACTTACAGATAAAGTATAACATAATTAGAATATTGAGTTGTTATTTATATCACTTTTATATCTAAGAGTATTTCTGTGATCTTTGTCAATATGCTTGCTATCAGTCATAGATTATGTGATTGCATCTACATTTATTGACTGGCTAGTGATACATATGTATTTTATAGTAATCAGGTAGCCATCTGATTTTGTATACAACATTAGCTGTAGTAAAACTATATGGAAATATAATCAAAAGAAGTCGTGTCAAGAAATGACACCAATCCATGAAGTGACTGACTGTCGTTTTGAATCACTTCGTAGATGGAGTCCTCTAGATGATAAATATTAATAAACCAAAACAACTGCAATTTCGCTATTCGTTTGTTTATCCCCATAACGCTTTTCTAGAGTTTATCACAAGTTTGAAGTATCGTTCATTATACTTCAAGTTACATCAGTGTTATTTATTTGATCTTAAGCAGTTAAATAGTCGGCGTTATTTTACGTTATAACGGAAAAAATTACTCTAGTACCAATTACGATAGCACTCGATAAGCTTGGACAATAAGACTGGATACACTAGACCACCATATTAGATAATTAGACGACTAAACTAGAACATGTTATACGTAGATAGACGATTCCAACCAATGATCGAAAGCTACATTACAGGTTAGAAAACGGCGTTAATAACACAAATACAAGCAGTTCACTCAGGGAAACTCAGAATGGAAGATCCAAGTGAATCAATTACAAAATAAATATAGTAAATTATATTAAAAATTATGGAGTGTGTGTGGCCATTTTTGCTCAGTAACCAGTCATTAAACAATAAACAAACCCTAATTATTCTTCCAATTTTTTTAAGAAGTTTATTTCGTTTCTGGCTATCACCACTGTTATGTAAGGAATCCCTTGTTTTTCGACTTTAGGTGTTCCTTCTTAAGTAACTTTTTAAAATTGTTTTGGTTTATTTTAGTTCTAAGTGAACAACAATTAGAAGATCCCATTTATCTTATCAACTCTTCATAAGAATATCAGATCATTTTCATCACTATACTTCATATTCTGTCACAATCGATACTATGGTTATTATTAAATTTTGTTATTTTTTATTTATTTCAATAATTCAATTCGTTCAAGTACTATAGCTGAACTTTATACGTTTAAGATAGAAGTGTTATTTTTCGAATAAAGTACGTGAGAGAAATAGTACTGCTCAGAATAGTTTTTATGACACTACTGTAAATTACTGACGTAGAATATATGAAAAACTTATTTTCAGTATTACAGTAAAGGGACAGTTTGTAATCTATCATACGTTTGTTTAATCATAAGAATAGCAGTTAAATATTTTTTCTATAAAAAAAACCCATTGATATACTGAAACATTGATTACCTATTTAGAAAGTACATTCATTTTTTTAGGCCTAACTGTATTTGATATTAACTTGTCAATATACTTTAGACAATTTATCTACAAATGCATAGAATGTGCTTTCACTGTAATGACATTAAACAAAACAAAAAAATGTGATTTGGCTTTTCTAAGCTTTATTCCTACTTTTTCTCTCTAACATTGTGTGGTTTCATTTAAGGTTACACTTTATTATATACTAATAATAAGTTTTTTTGGATAATCAAAATTCATACTTGATTAAAGAATCAATTCTTTAGTTTAATTATGTTTAATAAAATTAACACTACTATTATTGTTTCTGATAATAAAGGATAACCTTGTACTTTAGATATTGTTTAACTTTTACTATTTCTTCATTGTCGTTACCAATTGTATGTTTAAATAACTTTTTTTTTAAAAAATCTGAGTCCAATTAAAATTCATTTCAGCCTTAGAAATAAACTTACATTTTAACTTGATTATATTAATGTACTTTTATAAATTACCGATGCAACTAATTTAATATTGAACTTTATAATCGTGTTTTTTTTATTTGAAAAAATTGATATCAGTCTCCAGGTTTATTGTCTTGACCAGTTGAAAAGATTTTCATGTTGAAATTTCATTTTAATATTATGAAGTTATCTCATTAGAGATTCTTGTGATTAAAATGAATTTGAAACATATAATTTGGTTTATGCTATCATAATAACTTATGAATACAAACTTATTGTGGTTTGCGTTAGATCTGACAACAAATCCACAAAACCTCGACTAAATTTGTATATTTCCTGAAGCGAATCTGTTGCTAAATCTGCCACTACTGACAAACTAATTTCAGGAAGCATGATACGAGATTCCTTTTAACTTACTTTAGACATAAACGAGTAGCGGATTAAACGTATAGTAAGCAGCAGAATTGTGCAGAAAATAAGACTAGGACAGACAAATCATAAATAGTTTACAAAGCTTAATAACCCCAGAGCTCACCAGAGTGAGGCCACTACAGTATGCTAATGGTTACCCCAGTTTCTAAGCTCATTTATCGTTGTTATTTTTGGCTAATGACATTTCTTATAATCTGGATTGAAGTTTATTTACTCTACAGATGGTGTTACCTACTTTTCATAAATGTTTGTTTTGAAATGATTAAAAAACAACCTTTTTTCGTATAACATATATTCCGTCTTCACTGAACCTCTCCTTTCACATATGAATCTTCCAAGTTTTACAACGAAGCGTTTGAATAAAATGATAACACCTAATAGCTATTAACGGAGCAATAGAATATGATTTAATAATTAGTTATAAGTATCTGCTGAAATGTAAGTGTAAACTATAAATAACTCCTACCTCTAACTTCTTCGGAAATAAAAGAGAACCCATTAATTTCACAAAGATGACTTATAGATGTCTTTTTTGTTGATTCATGTTATTTAGGTGATTATTTTTTACTCTTTCCCACTAATCTGTAAGTACACTGTTGCTTTTTCTCCACAGCAGATAGAACTCCAATATTTTTTCATTCACATAGTGTATCGAAGGATGGTTGTCAATCACCTTTATCTGAAGTAAGTACTGGAATCCTCATTACAATCTTACATTTATTAAACTCTTATTCAGCACTTTGTGAATCGTTCTCACCATCCGCAGTTGTTTTAAATTGAGGTCACCATGTTTGATAAGATTTAATAACCGTTTTTTAAAAAGCCTAAGGTTTGTGTAGTAAAAGTATTTATGCTTCATCGCTTTTCAAAATATAAACATGCTTATTTGACCGACACACAAGTTGTATTTACCAAATGTTATATTCGACTAGGTCAGCTTTTGTCGGTGACATCCTAAGCAATTATATGAGTTATGAAAAACTCTACACTGACTCTTCCATCCTCTACATCAGGAATGCGACAAGTCGTTGGAAACATGTCTTCTTGGTATTTTACTTTGGCTATTTTTCATCATAATTATATAGTATTCGTACACCAACTTCCTCATGAAACCGTTATGCTACTTTGTGTGATAAATATCATAGTTCCTCATTCCCAAAAAGCTCTAAGTTTCAAATAGAAACTAATTTTCACATGTTTTATGCTTCCCACTTGTAAGTGGATGTTCTAGGATTGATATGCTTCTGGGTAAAGTGGCAGTGTGTAAACCATTTAAAAAATGTAAAGCATCATATGCGTGTGGTCAAAAGTATGTCGCTACAAGTACAAGAAGTTTAGCTGGGACTTCCCATTTCGCAGTCTATGATACAAGTACGACACTCGAATTGCTATCTAGTCACGAGTATATTATACATCGATAGTCATTCTACTAATTTGCCGAGAATGTATTGTTTTTAGTTAGACCAGTTAAGAAGATTTGAGGTAATGACTGGAACTGCTGTATGATAAGTACTTAGAGCAGGTACCAAGTTTTGTCAGGGAGTGAAAAGGAAGCAAATTTGTAAACTTGTACAGACTATATCATATCAAGCATCGTGAGCCATCATCTACCACGGTTTGTGGCGGGAATTGAGGTACAGATGATATCCTTAATACATAGTAGTATTCTTCCCGTTACTATCAAATGTTAGTCAGAGTAATTCAAATCCTATGGCAATTATAGGAATGTAATTGGTAATTTCGTCTCAAATATTGGTCGTCTTGTGTCTTTAAAGAACATGATTATCAATTATCTTCAACATTTCAATAGTTCTTTGCCTATCCGAATATCTTGTTTAGACGGTTAGGAAGATCATACATTGAAATCAACGGTTGTTTCTTATCTGCAATAATAGCATACGTTGTGTGGGATCCGTCACTTACACGTTTTTATAGCATGATAAACCGCCTCGTAAAAAAGTATATAAATTTTATTCATCGCGTCAACTATATTGCATTAAAAAATAAAACTACAGTTAATGGATGCCATTGATGTCTAAAAACTAGCCGAATAGTTTGTTTTCATCTTTCATTTTAGTTGAGCTCATTTTCCGATAAACAAACGACAACCCCATATGATGAGTCCCTATTCGATATGTTGGCACATGAAGTTCGAAAAACGCTCAAAATTGATTTGTTTGGGATAGATCTCATTTGTGCAACCGAAAATTCCATATCTGATGCTCTCTCGAAATCAAACAAATACGCTATTATCGATTTAAATATTTTTCCAAGTTAGTGAAATGTTTTTATATTAACTATAGTGAGTCTATCTGGGTTAAGTATTAGAATATTTTGATGTATGTTTGATATTTTTTATTTTAGTAGAGATCTGACTGGTGTGGATCAGAAATGGTACTTATAGTTTGTTACCCAATGGAAACAACGAACAAAAAACTTGTGTAGGTCTTTTACCCAATGTGTTTTGTGCACGTCTGTAGAAACGTCTCGGTCATTATAGTTAAAGTAATCGGGTAAATTAAACGTCACCCTTTTTAAAAAAATAATAAATATAATTAAACAGAAACTATCATCCTATTAACTCGCTTTTTGTTTAACTGATAATTAGCTTATATTTAACCCGTTTATATTTTGTACCATGTTTTAGGCTACAAGAATGTGCATGGGTTCTTATTTTATTTAGAGAATCTAATCAGGGAAAAACTCTCCTTGCCTTTACTTTCGAATGATAGTACCGATGTCCAGAAATAACACAAAGTAGTGATTTTTATTATTATCTCGAATACCTCGTAGCTGTTCGTAAAAACTGAAACTTACTTATTTTTATAAAACTTTTGTGAAACTATTTTGATTTCTTAAACAATGGTTTATATTGCTTTTCCTTTATTACTACGGTCAGGTTTTTCTATTCTTTTGCAATATACTCACGCTTCCTTTAGCATCGTTTGATTGTACTACTGATCAGCAGTACGCGTTATATTTATGTTAATCGCTACGAATAATATAAATTGGAACGAGTCCTCCAATTTCTTAGTACATCGTCTAGACTAAAAATATTGTAACTAACTCTCACCGAAATGTAATTGATCGTGAGATGTAAATATCATGCTCAAAAAGAAACTAGTCACAGCTATATTGAACTAAATAGTGTTATAACGAACAAATACAAGTTTTTATTTGATTGATTCAATTTACACACTGAAATGATTCAAAATAATTGCCTCGAGTGTAATCTGAACATCGATGAATCAATATAAATTCTACCACGCGCACAATTACATCCCAGTTAAACTCGACAATTATTATAACTCAGTGGTGAGAGGAAAAACGAAGACCCAGTTTGTACTGCCTCAAATTGTAGTCTTAAACGGTATGATTTTCTTCCTCTAAAAAGTCCTGTTACTTAACTTATTTGGTACGACATGTAAGAGGCAACCTACGTAGGAGTTAAAGGATGTCCAAAGACAATGCTCCGAAAAGACTACTGTCTCTAGCTAATATATAAATCATACGACTCAGTAACAGTACATAATCCCATACCATGTTTTGACTCCCATATGCATATCCACTGTGGTAAGTGGAAGTTTGTTCTTAGTCATGCAAAGAAGTGTTTTAAAAGTTGTTTAAGAGAGTTGAAAGTAGTCGAAAACTGGGGAATATTTCTGATGTTGATAGAAGCCAAAGTAAATATGTAACTGGAGTATTCAGTTGTCTCTTCTAACTTGCTTCATTCTGGCTTTATTATCATCTTCATCTTATAACAAGTCTTTGCTAGCATCAAGAATGGTAACTGATACGCGGCAACCTTTTCAATAAAAAGGTAGCAGTATCTTGTATACAGAAATAATTGAGCGTATTGTGTAGGTACAATACCTCATTCTCACATTCAACGATTTGTAAACTACTTACTAATTCTAGTCGATGATATTGCTTCCCCTCATTCATACTATGTCAGTCAGTCATCTACAACGTAGGACCAGGCACGTATATGCATCGGTTCAAGTTGCCATACCGATACTATGCAAAATAATGAAAACTCAATGATAAAAATAAACTACTTGACTAGAGATGATGGCCAAACAACGATTCTGACCCTATCGGGAATTTTATTAATTAGCACTAACACGCTTGTTAGTGTTGAATCAGTATAATGAAGTCATTTACGTTTTTGAAATTATATACCAGTACTAAATAATGATTAAGTTATGCAAATAAAGTATGTCGACTATAGTACTAAAATTATCACGTGTTGTAATGCGAAGAGCGACTGTTCAGAAGAATAAGTGCAATAATATTTTTATTGAAAAAATTCTGCTTTTTGATTACAGGGATTTTATAAAGGAAGAGGTAAGGCGTCAACAGCAGTGTAACACTTGTCATACAAATCACCATACTGTTCATCCCGTGTTATGAAAACGATAGGTATAGGGGTAACTGAAGATACACATGCACCGAGGTCAAACTTTGACGGAACATAGCAGTAAGGTATGTCGTGCTCCTCACACACCAATGGCACATGGGATATCAGATCAAACGGGCTAATATCACCAGCTAATACAACGATACCAGATACACCTTTCTTTTCAATGGCTTTTAAGATTGCTTTGATTCCGACATCTGTTTTCTTTACGCGTTTAGCTTTTCGAGCGAGTTTATACAAACGCTTTGTTAATTTTTTTGAAGCCATAGGCTGGGCGAACACACCTACACATTGTATTTGTTCCTCATAAGTACGTTCTGGACGGTTCTGATCGCCATTCAGATCACTGTTAATCTCAATTTCCATCATTGAAATATACAATGGTGTGTGACGGCAAGACAAACAACTCAGTCTATAAAAAGAAAACCTTTGATGAAAATTGAGTAGAAAACCACTTTTAAGAGAATACTTATTCTTTACACTTTTGAGTTATTGCTAATCATAATTTACTAGTCAGTGATAATCATTACTTGAACTATATTGCTCTTAAAAGTAAGAAAATGTTATATAATCCATTCTTAGTCTCGTAATATATACTTTTCCTGCTTTATTTGCAATTTAGATATGCTTTGTGTCTAGAGAAATATTTATTTAATCTCTGACTAACTGAAATTCACTAGTCAAGTCTTCGGACTAGTCGCTAGATTGACTCTGAAAATCTACTTACATGATGACCTTGATATTTCCCCGATTAACTATTTCCTTATTTAAACATAAACATTGGTGCAAGGGAGCACCGACAAGATATGCGCTGCACTTCATTCTAGTTGTACGAGGGCTGCGGTACTGCCCGGACGCCCAAACCGAACCAGTTGGTTTCCTTAGGTGACTACATCCAGAGCCTTCAACCTAAAGGTCTAACCCATAAGGCGGTGGAGCAAAGTCAGGAGATGCGGTCTCATAGTGGCCGGTGACTAACGATTGGTTCATACACCATTTGTTCCTTCAGGATACTGGAGCCCATGTACACCATTGGTTTGGAATCTGAGTTTTCCAATCCCCTAGGTGGACCCTCTGCGTCCACCAACCCGGTTAAAGCGCCGGACATTCGCTTCTTGTTCTGTCACTTTTGTAAACAACACCGCCTCCATGAGAAGGCAATGAGTGGGACTTCTCTGGGAGTGACTGTATACGCGTGACCATGTGAGAGCATTTGGAGAGGGAAGGCAGACTGTTCCCACCCTTGGACATACCAGAGCGTTTGGGGGCATCCAGGACCTTTAGTCGTGCGCGAACGCCCAACCTTTAGACCAGTGAGACGGGATTCCACAATGCTGATATCTAACTACATTCAACTGTCTGGTGCTCCCAGGTTTTCAATGATGGTCTTAGATCGTTTCGCGGTTCCAATGAAATCGAACAATCTCCACGCCCACATATTGACGATCTCTTTGTTTCCGGCTACTGGTATCGATTATAAATCTAAATTAGCAGTTTTAAAATAAATTACAGCATTTATGGGAAGTTTATTTTTATTTTTGCGAACAGTACAGCTGCAAGCGGCATAATTATTTACTGTTCGATTTGTTCACCTGTATTCTTCCTGCTACTTGGCGGAATGTTTGTTGGCACAAAATAACATAAATTACGTTGTATGTGACTTTGAATTTTTACCAAAGAACGTTATCATACGGTAACTCTTTATGTTAATTTTACGAATCAGAGTGGGTAACAGCATACGTGACACTTGCCATCTTTAACCACTTAGCACGACTTAGTTTCACAGTCGGTGACTACATGGTTTTGCCATCGTTGTTCTTCAGTTTAATGTACTCTTAACTTAGCCAATGTGCAAAATCGAGATAAGCAGTGACTAGACATATGAAGTATATGTTCTAGGCAATTCAGTCGAATAAAACTGACATTTTAACTAGCTGATTTTCCAAACTTGCCTAAAGCTTTACGCCTAACCTTAGGATTACTAACTCGGTTATTCCACCAGGTGCAAGGTATTGTTTGAAGATACTGACTTAATACTTGAAGTCTATATGTCCTTTATTCTATTGGGCTGTTTCTGATACTGAGTTAAAAATAAGAATGCTGACAATTTAAATATGACAGTGACCCACTTTAAAAATTAACTGAGATTTGGAAAAGACTTGCCGTTATTTGTCTCAATACATTATTCTACTACGTTCTGACATATATTTAACTTTTGACATGTATTTGGTATAAATCCGTTTTATATCATGGTGATCTAATTGTGCTTAGTAATTACTGGAAAAAAAGTATAAAAGGGATGCTACTTCTCCTTACAAGATATAGGTTTCGTCTAATTAATAGTTGGGGATTGAGTCGAGAATATTAAGATAATGTTAAAAAGTATCTAGATGCGTTCAATAACTGCTCTCATTATTTGTAAACAACCTTCGAATGCGTAATAACGACCAAATTATAAGTTTCACAACAATCAGTTAGTTATAATTAATGTGGAGCCATAGATTAATAGAAAAAACTGCTGCGTCAACTGGCAGACGTCATCCATACCTCAAGTAGCGTGATTAAGTGCAAGTCAAAGAAACTTGCTGCATTGGTGCTAAGATATTATCTTTACCAGAATCTAATTGGATCCCAGAATATTAATATGCACTGCTAATCAGTGTTTATGAAATAGTATTTTGTCAAGGTTCTTGTCCAACGGAACCATACCAGCTTACCTAATAATAAATGTTTCCACAAGAAGAACCTGACTAGCTTAGGATACAAAAAACAGTCGTAATAAAAAAGGGAAGCCGAAATCATTAACTTCCCTCAATTTAATAAGGTGAACAGAAAAGTAAACAGGTACAAGTTACATTGATGAAGAAATCGTTGACTGAGTATGAACTTAATCGTAAGATTCTCCGTTCTTTTTGATCCCCGTTACATGCAAACAGTTTATGGATATTTACTGATACAGAGTTTAATACCCCAGGTTTTACTGGTCGTGACTCGACCTTCACTATAAGGGTTAGTTCTACTTAATAAGGACTTCTCATTGCAATCTTCGTTTCCGACACCTGATATACTTCAAATGGGAACCCACCTCGATGTCAACACGTTAGCTAGTCAACTATTGCGCTAAGTAGGTCGGCTGGTCAAGGTCGACATGGTCATTTAAAACAAGTGCTCAGATATGGTAACTAATATCCGTAAGCACCGACGAAATTCAGCAAGTTTATTATCTAAATCTACTGGTGTAAGCCGATTCTAAAGTTACACACTCTGTAGTGTCAGTTATCTTACTGACTACATTATTGATCATACGGTCGCAATATGTTGCCTTGATATACTTGCCGAAAACTTGCCTTAATTGTGAGGTCAGCAACTAACGACAACATATATCGGAATTCGATGCTACAGGTCCATTGAAACTTCTTGATTGGTACTATCGTTGTACTTGATACCACTTCTCGAAACAAAACTGAAATGGATCGAGAAACATCCAAAGTCACATTTCAAGCTGCCAGTAAAACTGAAATCGCGTTATTTGGGCAGAAAACGTTAACGCTAGATTTGAGGTTCCGGAGGCGATTCCCCTGAGTTTAGACTGCAGCCGATTTATGTTTCGCAATACTGCCGATGGGTTTTTTTAGAGAGATATGAATTTCTAGATGACATTCGAAAAAGATGCTAAACACTGAATGCAACTTTGAATTACATAAAAGGCAAAGAAATTCACATCACATTTCTAAATTTGATACAAACTTCTCCGATAGCAACGTCGAAATTCAAGGATGTACTCGCGGAATTTTCAAACTCAGCTAAACCGAACCCACAGCCTTCAAATGCAAACTGTGACTAAGTCATATGATCAAAACCGAAGGCGTACCTGTGTTTGCAATACCAAGGAGACCAGCACCAAGCAATTATTGAATATCTATTTCCTGGGTAGTCTCGTGTTCAGCTTTGAGGATTGTGTGGTTATGGTCCAATCCCACTACATTACAACTGGGTATTGTCCGTACCTCTTATAGTCAATGATCATCTTATTTGCAAATGGTCCCAAAGAAAAATAGAGGCCGTGCAAGGATTACAGATCCCTGAACCGTCAAAACGTACCAGATAGGTGCTGAATACCGCATGTCCAACATTTTACAAACGGTCTACGATTTATGAATATATTTTCCAAAATTGCATAACACAATATCCCAGTGGCTGAGGAAGGTATCCCTAAGACAGCTATTATTACACCTTTTGGACTGTTCGAGTTTGTACGCATGCCATTCGGCCTGAGGTACGCGGCACAATCATTCCAAAGATTCACGAATAACCTACTTCGAGACATGCGATTTGCACAGAGGTATATAGATGATTTGCTGATTGCCAGTCCCGATATACAATCAGACGAACAGCATGTAAGAGCAGTGTTAAAACGGCCGTATGAAAGTGAAATGAAGATAAGTCAAAGTGTGTTTTCGTAGTTCGAACCCTAGAATCTATAGGGCACACAATAAGCACAGAAGAGATTACACCAGTCAAAGAAAAAGTGAACACCATCCGACAATACTTCATACCTACTTCTCTATCACAACTTAGAAGTTTCCTGGATCCAATTAAATTTTATCGCATATTCATGCCCGGTTGTGCACAATTAATGCAACCTTTGACATTCACTCAAAGGAAGACCGAAAGAATTCAAGCTGACTTTTTAGGCTGTTGAGGCTCTTAAAGTACTAAAATATAAACTGGCTCAAGCACCTTTGTTGATGTATCTAAATTCCCTTTCCCCACTTTCTTAAACGGTAGATGTTTCGGACTAAGCAGTAGGCGGTAACCTTAACCTAGCGGTGAAGAACGCCTAAAAACTAATTGCTTTCTTCTCCAAAAGACTCACTCCAGCAGAATCGAGGTATTCTTCCTCCGAAAAAGAACGGTTAAGCATTCCCGACACATTCTGGAAGGCAGAGGCTTCATAGTTTTTACGGATTACAAACCACTGACCAATGCACCAGAAGTTAGAGCTGATAAATTCTAACCGCGAGAAGTCCGACACCTTGATTATATACCACAGTTCAAATACACTAGTTTTAGCCAGGAACCAACGCTTGAGCTCAAAGCAGAGTTCACCTATAAGCTCCTTCCAAAAGTAACTGAGCTCGAACATATGAGGAGCTACGATTCCAATATACCAGCGTGACATTGTTCTTAAAGTGCGATAACAGCCGATAAACTACAAAAAACGTATAATGCTTATTACATGACGGTTCGTTGCATGTTGGCTGAGACGAATTCGCAGTCGATGTTTCGTTCCGCTTAATAATTTTCATTAGGTTATAATCCCAGCAGGTACCATCAACCAAATGCTTTATGCACGTTTTTGGCCATTCTCGTCATTACATAGTCATAAAGGAAGTAACTGACAACACGTGCCGGTGATTATTGCACGACATCAGATAAATTACATAGAAGGGGATCGAAGTCATAGGAAAACGTGAGCAAAAAACGAGTTATGGGGTTTGTAAATTAGGTATGTTTAAACGTTCCTTCATGTGTTGATATATGAGTTACCAATCATTATTCAGTTTGTCCTTTGTTCGAGCGTCATAAATAATTTGTGGTTCTATGGTAACTTATCCACTCCATCAGATTGTTCTATACATAGCTTAAGTAATTTATATCTCATAAGTTCAAACACTCTTTCTACATATACGTGGTGAGCAGTAGGGCGCTGTTTCTCCGGTTCTTTTATCAGATCAATCTATCCATTTTCTCAAGCCACATTTTTACCCTGTCACTTATTAGCTAAATAATCCTGACTTTTTCATATGATCGTATTTGTACTAATTACTTACCTTACTCATCACCTGTCTGTAGCCTAATTTTATCGGACTATAGATATTTACTCACACATGGCCAAATTGAGTTTGCTATCATGTATTCTGCAATCCATTTCGCCTCCTTCGCTCCGTTTCCCTGATTGTATATCCAAATTAACGATTGTATGAAATATACTCATTCAAAGTTCATTCTCGTATTTAACTTGTTTAATTCCGTTATTCACTAACGCGGGTTAAGTCGATGATTATGTACGAGTATAGCCAGGATGTATATTTCGACAGAAATCATTCGATAGCAATCAGAAGCGATCTACCTGGGGTCAGATTAGAGGCAACAAAACGCTGTTTCTTCCTTTGCTGCAACCAAATAAGAATAAAGCGTAACGTACCCAAAGACGATTTCCTAAATCACTTCGGCAACCGAAGTGCAACCTTTATGAAAAACTCACATGGACATTGCGCACTTACTCTCCAGTGTATATAAAATTGGAATGTAACAAGTGAGTGGTGTTGCGAAATATAATAGACTGTTCATATACTTTGCATATCAATTCGACCTAACTTCTGTTATTATGAAATTTCCGACCGTATAAGGCTTACAGAATCGGAAGCTTTGTTGTGGAAACTGTTTATTACAAACGTAGCAGAAAGCGAACGATCAGCAAGTGTGAAATCAGGGTGAAAAAACAACTTTTTGAATTAATTAATATAAACTAGATGCAAACATCCAATAGCAGCGGAGTTATCAACGTCTCAAGCAACTAACATTTAGACTCGTTGAGAAAGTAAATACATGTGCCATCACATGTTGCTCGTCATACATTTTTTTTACAAGCATGAAGACATATGTGTGAAAGGATATAAACACATTAATGCTGACAAAACTAGCTTTCGGTTTCCTTCGAACAAACAGGGTAGTTGGTCTAGTAAATTAAAGTGGCTTTATGTGGTGATGAGCGTTCCATAGTGATTCACACACAAGGATATCCACTTGGGTTCAATTCCAATAGACCCCCTGAGAGCGACACATGTAAGTTAGGAAGCTAGAAAAACTAATCGAACCATAGTTATCCCTTCTATTCTTTGCAAGTGAGCGAGTCTTGGAACTAGTTACCTGCTAAATTGGTCATAGCGACTTCCTAGGAGTCTTTTGTGAAAGTGCTTCTAAATAGAACTCCACACTAATTCGCCTGTACATCTCTAATTTATCTTCGTTTCCTGTTCTTTGGTCTATACCCAGATGGTCAGTATAAGGTTGTGAAGACTATTAAACTTTTGATTCAGATAACGAACCGACTGATGTTAGACCACCACTGAGAACTTTGAAGCACTGGACGGACGGTTCGTCTTGTTGTGGGACTCCTCAGCAGTGCGTACCCAAGATTCTTCCCGCGGGATTCGAACCCAGGACGTTCAGTCTCGCGCGCGAACACCTAACCTTTGGGCAACGCAGTTGGCATCAAACGGTGTTAGTGTCTAACCCCGACCTATCCACGAGATTGGGCGACCATCTTGTACCTTACTGAGGTAGATAACAGTCTCTTCTAGACACGAATAAGCTCTAATCGCCACGGCTTTTCACTACAACTCCGAGAATTCCCTCACGAGTCCCACAATAGGACAAAACGTCTGTCCAGTGCTTCCAGGTTTTTAATGGTGGTCTAATGTACACAGACGGATCGATGACTCGTTGCTACTGGATACGAAATCTGATAAGCTCGAAAACCATAAATCGGATCATCTATAAAAGGTGGAAAAAACTGAACCTGGGTTTTTTTTGAATGTTTGTTTAGTTTTGTAGCATAAAGTAGTATATCTAACAGCGGGAAGGACGTTCTATTATGGCGGGCTAGATAAGATGCTAGCTCTTAGCTTTTTGTACGATTAGTCTGTAGAAGTAAGTGTAGAAACAATTTTATATGAGATCAACCAATTAAGTGACATAATACACCTAAAAGCACTCCAGATGGAGGTGGATACTGGCTCTATAGCCAAATGTGCACCGGAACTGTATGACATCGCTTCCACACTAGTTAACGTCGAGGAAGTCACAGATAACAAAGCATTCAATGATTTTAAACTATCGAAGCCAACTATCGACATGGTCAGTCGAGTTACCGAAGCAGTAGTTTCTGATCCAGACCCTAAGGCTCCCCAAAACCGTGATAATACGACTGCAGAACCTTCAGTTGCCCCTGTTGTTGTGAATAGCAATGTTGGGAAGTACCGTCTCTTACGTACTATAGGAAAAGGAAATTTCGCAAAAGTCAAGCTTGCTATTCATATGGCCACTGGTGTGGAAGTAAGGTTTGATACGGTTTCAACATTTCCAGGTTGCCATAAAAATAATTAATAAGACCGTCATGGATAATACTCTCCTCAAACGCGTAAGTAAAAAATTACTTTTAATTTTTTACAATCAGCTTAAACGTGAGATAACTATCATGAAAGTTACAAATCACCCAAACATTGGTAAGTGTTAGTCAACCACCTAAATTTGTAGTCAAACTACTCGAGATAATTGAAAATGAAGATGTTCTCTGTCTTGTTATGGAATATGCTAGTGGAGGTACTGTTTATATTCAACAAATTGATACCGCAGGTGAAATATTTGACTATCTTGTCGCGAATGGAAAGATGTGTGAAAAGAAGGCACGTGTAAAGTTCAGACAGTTACTCTCTGCCATGCAGTATTGTCATGCAAAACGAATTGTCCATCGAGATCTGAAAGCAGAAAACATCTTGCTCGACCAGAACTTAAACGTTAAGGTTGCTGATTTTGGCTTGGCCAACACCTTCGAATCTGATCAAAGGTTGACTACTTTTTGTGGTAGTCCTCCATACGCTGCTCCAGAACTGTTTTTGGTAAGCAGTTATAAATTCTAATGTATAATTCGCGATCTTTCAATATATCACTTCATGCTCCCAGTTGTAGGGCCATTTCTCTTTTTATTCGTTTCTTTTAAAACTAAATTTATCATGGTTTCATATTTAATTGAGTCGCATATCTGTCTTGAGGCCTCATTGAACAGTTAAACAGTAAACGACTTAAACAGACAAAATATGTTTTCTTTCTGCTGATTTTTTAAGAACGCTCCTTTGATGATGAAAATAGAATATAGAAGCATCCATACTCAAAGTATAAAATACCATGGTATCAAACAGGACATCACTTTTAGGGAAATGATTGCATTAAAAATAAGTTATTATGCTGCTGGACTTTGTGATAAATCCGCCTGAGTCGATTGTATATTGGTTCTAGTTGAGTGTAAAAATAGTTTATAAATTATTGCTACACTAAAAGTATCTGAATAAATCACAGCGACAGTGCAATAAAATGTCCTTTATATTTATTTATTTGAACACAAATATTGGTACAAATGGGCACCGAGCAGGACTTCGCTGGCAGTGGCTGTATACGCGTATTCCTTTTTAGTTTGTAAATAAATGCAGTCTACCTTCTAAAATGGATATTTTACTATATCAGTTGGCATTAAAGACATCCCAAAGGTCCTTATTTTTCCACTTAACCAATACTAATGCATGATAAACTGAAATGAATAAACTCATTTTATATCAACTTTTGTTCGCGTATCATTTTATTTCCATGTCGTTTTCACTCCCTCCTCCCTTATTTATTATCCCAGTTTACTGTTTTATCGAAAGTTCTACATTTTCTAAACATTCTGAAGTCACTAAGTGCTGACTTCTCAAAGATTGTCACGTAATACGACAATAGATTAGGCCATCCCAAGATCTTGCGTTGGTTAACAGTCTATTTCGTTTTACGTTTTCACTTTAATACAAACCAGTCAACCTTATTGAAACGCTAAAATATATCCGTGATGTGTCATTGACGTGTATACAAGATTCCAAATCCTGTCACTTAAATCACTATTGACATTTGAAAATAGCTTTTTAGGAAATTAGTTTTGGGAACATGACTCCAATACACTAAAAGGCGTTTTTACTCTACCTGGAATAAATTTTTTATCGCTGAAGCTACTCAAATCGCAACTGGTCAGCCAGTGATCGGAGTTCGTCAGTACACTATATTTCCCGTCGTTGACGTGTTTTCTTCTTAGTTGCACGTGAGATATATTTTAGTAACATTTGCACTAGGATTCTTTTGTTAACTTGAAAAAGGATGTTGTTTTTCAATTCTCTATTGTATGATTGTTTTATTTTTATTTGTGTTACTTTTACAGGGGATTCCGTATTATGGACCTAGTGTAGATATTTGGTCTCTTGGTGTGATTCTGTTTACTTTGGTTTTGGGACACCTCCCGTTTGATGCACGTGATCTTCGTGAACTTCGGAGCAAAATCTTGGGATTGCACTACACTATACCTCGTGGTGCCGTTTCTCCAGAATGCGACACACTGTTAAGAAAAATGTTAGTTCTTGACCCTAAAGATCGTTCATCTTTAAAGGTAGGCCTTCAGTTCTTTTATATTTATTGATTATCATATTTAATGTAACTTAAGTTCATAAACTATCAATTGCATGCTGACAAAAGATGGAAAGAAATAAGTTGGTTTCACATCAATCTCAGATATGTTTATCACTGGTTTATTGGAAAGCAATAGGCTTATCTTGTGTTTAAAATTTCCTAACTGAATAGTTTGAAGGTAATATTTCAAAACATTTTGGAGTGTTTAAGTATTCTAATATAATTATGTTGACCTAACTTTCAAAGCTTTGCTATGGATCGATCATTTTCACTACGACTCATTAATCAAGCTTGGATTCACGTAATCGATTATAAGCCACGCTTTATGTATGGGTCAGTGGTCGGAGTAAGCATATGCTTATAAAGTAACTGTTCTTTTGGTATAACCTGTGTAGTGGGGAGTTTACTCTATGCCCATGACCGAAGAGACAGTCGTGATTGGTACTTAAAAATATAATGTTTTAGTCTAACGACATTGTTAGCGGGACATAGACTAGATTAAAGCATGCTCAATGCATGATTGCTTTGGTGCACGCTGATTGGCTAATTCTTATCCAATCAGCGCTAGTCGATAGTTGGAGAATTTTCTGGATTCTTCTTATGTAAAAACTATAAATATACCGACGTTTTTCCCTATTGTGCTTCCTACTGGCTTCTGACTTGCTAATTGGAATATAATCTCTTTCCTGTTCAACCGTGTTCTGATTTGGAGACTTGTCGAGTGAATCGGTGTCCGAGAATACTAAGCAATAGGAATAGCTGGGTCATTAACCGTAAGAAAATAGAATTATAACAGTGGCGACGGGGAAAAACTAAAGAAAAATGGCGATTTCTTTAGAACAGTTGCGGTTAATATTACAGCACCAGCAGAAGTTGTTAGCCTTGCAACAACAACTATTCAACACACTTTTCACTCGACCAGAAAATAAGAAATCTGTTTATGATGCAGTAACAGACATTTCAGAAGCATATCTAGTGGAGGGTTCAAATCCCTTTATACCTGAATCAGAACGTAATATTTGTAACGTGTCCGGCTCACAGCAAGAAAATACTGTGCTGAATGCACATGAAGTTGTGACAATACCAGATGATCAGGAGTCAGGTCCTGTAGATGAAGCCCGGAGTCCAGAATCAAATGAAACACTACTGGTACTGTCTAGCTGCGAAAATAAACGTCAGCTCGAACAAAATTGTGGTCCACGTGCTATTAGTCGAGAAAGCTATGGTGACTCGTATTCAAAAAATAACTGGAGCAACACGATGAACCAAATAGTACCAGATGTTACTCAAAATCACCGGAAGACAGAATTTTATATTGAGTCAACTTATCCCATTTCTAATGACAGTGTACCAGATATTGATTCTCAGAATAATGCATATGATTTTGATGAACCTTCTTATAACAATGAGGGAAATATGTCAGCTGAGTCGAATGATGGCCAAAAATCTAATCTAATTCTGTTAGACGTTGACTTTCTTAATGACTCGTTATCAGCTAACGAGATTCATAATGAATTTGAAAATAATGAACTCAGATCAAAGGTTGTTCATCATCATCTAGTCATTTTTAGTGGATTCTCCAGTCAATACGAGAAACATGGTTTAAATAAAGTCCTACTAGTTATAATTTGGAGCCATAAGGACCCAACATTATTTCGAGGAGGAGGAGAATGTTGGAAAATTAAAAGTTATGCATACTTTTTTTTAAGAAAAATCAAAACGCCGGGAACAGACATGTCAGTCTCTGTGCAAGGAAAAAGTGATAATTCTTCATTGCCTAGACGATGGACTAATCGAAAGCACAAGCCAGTCACTCAGTTGCAGTTGGACCCTAGCACCAGATCCTACGAATCTGCTCAGAGGGGAGGTGTTAGCGGGACATAGACTAGATTAAAGCATGCTCAATGCATGATTGCTTTGGTGCACGCTGATTGGCTAATTCTTATCCAATCAGCGCTAGTCGATAGTTGGAGAATTTTCTGGATTCTTCTTATGTAAAAACTATAAATATACCGACGTTTTCCCCTATTGTGCTTCCTACTGGCTTCTGACTTGCTATTTGGAATATAATCTCTTTCCTGTTCAACCGTGTTCTGATTTGGGGACTTGTCGAGTGAATCGGTGTCCGAGAATACTAAGCAATAGGAATAGCTGGGTCATTAACCGTAAGAAAATAGAGTTATAACAGACATTCTCAGTGGTTCACTTGTATATGTATGTTGTTTCAGTCAGAATTTTAGACACCCTATTATCCTACGTATATTATTGCCCTGTTTCCGTTTGTTTTCTCTATTCTTTTATTTAACTGTTGTTAGGATAATTTTGTTTTTCCTTTTGTTGATCATCCTTTAATGTACAAATGTGAATTGTTGCAACAGACCGACACACCTGTTATAACTGTGAAGATAAATAAATGCTGCTTAAGGGATAGCGAATTATTGATCGGACCAAAGACGCGCAAACACGTAGAACGACCTAGGGTTCTGATTGGTCTCGCTTCCCTGTCTAGCCCAGTCAATTGAGTCCAGAACGCAAGTCACAGCCTCGGATATATGAATCATTATATTTCAAACATGCTTTGTTTATATACCATTCAAGCAGTCCACAACGTACCATAAAATAGAAGATAACATTGTACAATAATGGCCAGTAGGAAAATAACACGTTAAATAAATATTGACCAATAAGATGATACCATTTCATGTCCAAGGATAGCATTAGGCTTAACAGGATAATTTTTGGGATATTTTCCTGAATATCCCAACACCTCCCTTTTTTTTGGAGATCCGGAGTTAATGTCCGAACTTTAAATTTTTCTCGCGTCTATCCTCCCCCTCGAAATAATGTTGGGTCCTCAAATACCCAAGGAACAGTTAGTGTGACTCTATTTGAAGCATATTTCCTGCGTTGAGTAGAGAGTCCACTAGGACTGACTAGATGGTGAGGATCAGCGACAGTAGATCTGAGGTCATTAGGGTTTAAATCTTTAGTAAGTAGTGGATCATTATGATAATCGGCGTCCAACAAAACTGTACCAGGTTCTTGGTTATTATTTGATGCGTGAAACACATTTTCTGGCAAAACAATGAGATCTTCTCGTGAGCTGGATATGTTACTGTCTGCACATGCTGTTTCGGGGTTGATGGAGTTTGACTCCATTACCGGGCATGTTTCTGGAATAGAAAGTACTGGACCACTGGGCGCATGATGGATGACTGTTTCGTTTGAAGTACAGTTCACCGAGGATTCATGGAGGCTGCTGTCATTTTCCAGCTCACTGTGTATTTCAGATATCAATCCATCCACTTCCGTCGCGTCTTCATAGCATGAGTGATTTAGCAGCTGCGTGCGGAATTTGACTAATAACTCCAAATGTCGTTCAAAGAGCAGCTGTAATCGATCGGAGGGGAGAGTCATTTTTTCGAATCAGCACCTGTGATGAAAATTACTGTATGACTAATGACCAATGTCGTTGAAGGACACTGATGACAATCTGGATACTGATTGGTTGAATAATTAGACTGGATTTCGTCCAATTACAGAATGACTTTGGATTGTATCTTTTCTTCACCCCGTCGCCAATTGTTATAACTGTGAAAATAAATAAATGCTGCTTAAGGGATAGCGAATTATTGATCGGACCAAAGACGCGCAAACACGTAGAACGACCTAGGGTTCTGATTGGTCTCGCTTCCCTGTCTAGCCCAGTCAATTGAGTCCAGAACGCAAGTCACAGCCTCGGATATATGAATCATTATATTTCAAACATGCTTTGTTTATATACCATTCAAGCAGTCCACAACGTACCATAAAATAGAAGATAACATTGTACAATAATGGCCAGTAGGAAAATAACACGTTAAATAAATATTGACCAATAAGATGATACCATTTCATGTCCAAGGATAGCATTAGGCTTAACAGGATAATTTTTGGGATATTTTCCTGAATATCCCAACACCTCCCTTTTTTTTGGAGATCCGGAGTTAATGTCCGAACTTTAAATTTTTCTCGCGTCTATCCTCCCCCTCGAAATAATGTTGGGTCCTCAAATACCCAAGGAACAGTTAGTGTGACTCTATTTGAAGCATATTTCCTGCGTTGAGTAGAGAGTCCACTAGGACTGACTAAATGGTGAGGATCAGCGACAGTAGATCTGAGGTCATTAGGGTTTAAATCTTTAGTAAGTAGTGGATCATGATGATAATCGGCGTCCAACAAAACTGTACCAGGTTCTTGGTTATTATTTGATGCGTGAAACACATTTTCTGGCAAAACAATGAGATCTTCTCGTGAGCTGGATATGTTACTGTCTGCACATGCTGTTTCGGGGTTGATGGAGTTTGACTCCATTACCGGGCATGTTTCTGGAATAGAAAGTACTGGACCACTGGGCGCATGATGGATGACTGTTTCGTTTGAAGTACAGTTCACCGAGGATTCATGGAGGCTGCTGTCATTTTCCAGCTCACTGTGTATTTCAGATATCAATCCATCCACTTCCGTCGCGTCTTCATAGCATGAGTGATTTAGCAGCTGCGTGCGGAATTTGACTAATAAGTCCAAATGTCGTTCAAAGAGCAGCTGTAATCGATCGGAGGGGAGAGTCATTTTTTCGAATCAGCACCTGTGATGAAAATTACTGTATGACTAATGACCAATGTGGTTCAAGGACACTGATGACAATCTGGATACTGATTGGTTGAATAATTAGACTGGATTTCGTCCAATTACAGAATGACTTTGGATTGTATCTTTTCTTCACCCCGTCGCCAATTGTTATAACTGTGAAGATAAATAAATGCTGCTTAAGGGATAGCGAATTATTGATCGGACCAAAGACGCGCAAACACGTAGAACGACCTAGGGTTCTGATTGGTCTCGCTTCCCTGTCTAGCCCAGTCAATTGAGTCCAGAACGCAAGTCACAGCCTCGGATATATGAATCATTATATTTCAAACATGCTTTGTTTATATACCATTCAAGCAGTCCACAACGTACCATAAAATAGAAGATAACATTGTACAATAATGGCCAGTAGGAAAATAACACGTTAAATAAATATTGACCAATAAGATGATACCATTTCATGTCCAAGGATAGCATTAGGCTTAACAGGATAATTTTTGGGATATTTTCCTGAATATCCCAACAACACCTTTACGCCAAATCTACCATGTGTTTGTTCTGTCCAGGTTTGGTTTGAATTTAATTTCTGTTATTATCAACTATTAAATCAGAAACGAAGTATAGTTAGTTAACCAGTTTATTCTTAGTTTTGTTTGTTGCTGCTTATGTGAATTTGAAAGTTATTGCATGTCAGTAGAACTGAATGAGTTTTATAGAAAATAGCTAGCGTTTCGTGGATCTGTGGCTTGATATTTGAAGCGTTCAACTTTTTAACTCTTCTCTATCTACTTCAGTTTGATCATCCGCGTAGTATCACCAGCTGTCACGTAAAATGTATGATTCATAGTTGGGTACATCGATCTGCACCTGGTTACTAAGTTACATTAAAGATAATGCTTCCTACTATTTTTTCATTGCGTCGTAAAATTTTAATTGCCATTTTTCCGTTTCATCTACCGAAAGCTATCTACTGCTTGAGCTGTATTTAAGTTAACTGTTTCCCAACTTTTGGAATTAGATATGTCTGCTTTTACATACTCTTTTGATAGAGAATTTGTAATTGCAAGTTAGTGATCCAATCGATCAACGTTTATCACCTGATTAGCAGATTTCAATCCATTTTGTCTATTTCAGTTTGAGCATTTGGGTTTCATTGGTAATCCCTGTACATTAGACCTGCAAATTGAATTTCAGACACCAACTTGAATTACTTGTTTTTATTTAATACTTTGTAAGGTAAATATTTTCCTGGAAACTAAAAAAAACATATCTAGAAATTGGTGTAATGTTTTATGTGATTATTTTGAACTTCATAAATCATTAGAATTTGGCTTTCCTGAATGAATTCTTATTAACAAATGGAGTCATTTGCCGGAGTAAGTAGATGATAGAACTTTGTTTCGCACACTTGGTCAGAAAATCTCGTCATTGTATATATAACTTAATAAAATGATGTTATGTGACATATAAAAGGGTTTAGGAAAAGACTTAACCAGTTGCTTTCATTTCCAAAATTTTAAATTTCTGGCCTTGTTAGGTTTCGATTAAATACCTGTTCTTAAATCATCCTACTTTCTTTTCATTTTTGTGTATAGGATTCATAACAATTATGTAAGTGAGTACTGTATAAACTGCCTAAATTCTGTAAGACTAATCTGACCTTTTTAAAACTCTTTTCAAGTCTTTGATGCTTGACAAGTGGGTGAATATGGGCTACGCTCCAGATGATCATCTTCGTCCCTATAGAGAAGTACCAAAATCCCAACTGGATGATAATCGTGTGAAAGCTATGGAAGAAATGGGGTTTACAAGAGCTGATCTGGAGTCATCGGTAGTTAATCCTGCATTCGACCATGTGTATGCAACTTACTACTTATTGCCCGAAACCCCATCTCAGTTTGTTGAGTAAGTGTTTAAAAAATCCATAAAAAAGTTACCTGAGGTAGTACTTTTTATTTTATATTGAAATCTCTACTAACCTGGATGACCATAGGCCTTGGGGTATCAGCCCACTAAGTTCAATTTAGAAGTTTGGGAAACTGAAAAAAAATTAGCAAATAGTAGTTGTGATGTTGGACAGCGTTCTTCATCACGAACTAACATCATTTGAAGAGTAATTGAAAAATGAGTTAGCACTGGGGAGCCATTTAGTCATAGTTTGATATTTGGCAATACACATTCACGATCATACACAGAACGAAACTTAGCCTCTTTAAGTCTTGCGACGACCACGCTGCTGTCCAAGCACTGAGTGCTATCGATGGACATTTGTTCTACTACTGACCTGGTTAACGTAACAGGTCACGACTTTCCTATAGAACCTCGGGTTCTTTATCTTGATACAAGTCACTGATGCTCACTAGACCTCTAATTTCATTCTCTAATAATAAAAACACGGTCGTTTCTCATGTATTTGGTTGTGATTTCTAATCATCCTGACTTTGTCTTCCTCTATTTCTGATAAGGAGCTCGATTCTGTTCACTGAATGTATTGTGTATATTTATATTGTTCGGTCCTGTTACTCAGCTAGCATCTGTACTAGACCCCTTGTCTATGATGTCTGTCAGTTCCATTACCAGAGTTTTATATTTGGATATGCGAAAATAAAAAGGCTGTGTTACCAGTGTTTACTACCAGTTAGTTACAACAGAGCCTATGATCTGATAATCTACTTACTGATTTATAAGTTGTACGTCATTGAGGTCAGTTCTTACTACTCAAAAATTCATCCAACTGGGTGTTATCCTCAAAAACAAATGCAGCAACCTCATGTCTAATTCTGTATAGATCCTGGTTTATCATACATTTACACATTAGTAATGTAGGAAGTACGAATCTATTTATTGTTTGATTATATATCGGCAACGGAAAGCACTAATTAGATTTCTGTACTATGGTAACTAACATATTTGTTCCAGGTATGTTAGAAATTAGACTGAGAATTTTATCGAACGGCATATTCGTGTCGATAACTTTATGGAAGTACATAGGTTGTTAGGCGTTAGACTGAACTAAACAGCTTTTACATTTGTTCATCTCTATAATCTGACTGTCAAGTGAAGTATGCTTGTCTCGGTGTTGTAGACTGTTTTCGGTTATAATATGCAAACATTTGAACTGAGATCAGTTGAAACGGTCTGACTAGTTTTATGCCACGTAAGTTCTGCCGGTGTTCTTAATTTAATCCTTTCTGTTTTACTACTTACAAAAAAATTCGTAAGTGGATAACCTAGAAGCTTTTTTCATATTTGTAGACCCTAGGTACACATGTTGCTAGCTATGTCAATACTCAGATATCCAAGGGAGCCAAGTATAAATTACTTCAAGGTTATTTATTTGAACATAGATATTGGTACAAGGGGGGCACAAATACATGTGCACCACACAATAATAATGAGGTCAATAGTAGTTGTCAGTGGTTTGTATAAGGGCTGTGATACTTCCCGGACGCCCAAATCGGACCATTTGGTTTTCTTAGGGGACTTCACCCAGAGCCTTCGACCTAAAGGTCTAACCCACAAAGGCAATGGAGCAACGTTAGGAAATGTTGTCCCATGGTAGCCGGTGACCAATAATTGGTTCATACGCCATTTGTTCCTTCAGGATACTGGAGCCCATGTACACCATTGGTTTGGAATATGAGTTTTCCAACCTCCTAGGTGGACCCTCTGCGTCCACCAACCCGGTTAAAGCGCCGGACATTCGCTTCTTGTTCTGTCACTTTTGTAAACAACACCGCCTCCATGAGAAGGCAATGAGTGGGACTTCTCTGGGAGTGACTGTATACGCGTGACCATGTGAGAGCATTTGGAGGGGGAAAGCAGACTGTTCCCATTCTTAGGCATACCAGAGCGTTTGAAGGCAATTTCAAGAGCTAGTTATATGCCCGCACTGGTTTGAGTTTTATAGTCGGCTTACGATACCAGTTAGTTAACAGTCATATGTTTTCATTACTCTCGATTTTATGTAAATTTCTCGTTCACTTGTATAGAGAATCAAGATTGATGAAAACTAACAGATTTTGTTGGATGTCAAAAACTAAAATACCTGACCTCAACAAATGTACAAAAGCTTAGTGAAATCATGTAGCGTGCATTAGATAATTGCGTTTGTTGAATTGAGTCCCCAAAATAAGTTTTGTGCTTATTATTACTCATTAGCACAATGTATTTAGGTGGATATTATCTCCTGAAAATGTCAGCTTAGTGAAATAGTGATAGTGACCATTACTCTTAAATCAACACTCATCTATTCTCCATACTTAATTTGCAAAAATTCAGGTTTATGACCTTGTTTGATTACTTGGTAAATGAATGTTTAAAAAAATGTGTATCACGCACGTGTAGTAAACTAAAGTACCCACGAGTCTGCAAGAAAATTTTAAAGTATATGTGTTTGCAGAATCTTTAACTTTTTATTTCGAATTTTTATTATTTTGCTTGTTTGGTAGTGTATAATTCATACGTTATAATGTGTATGAAAAGTTGGATACTGGAGCCATGTTTTAGCCATTAGATTTAAAGTTTGGACTAATTTATGTCTACTTACATTTGGACATCGACATTTCCAACCATTCCACAATGAGTTTAGTATATAACAAACTGCTGATTGTTATTTAGATTCGAGTCTATCGCTTACTATACAGTCGTAGTCATTAACATATGTATTTCTTTATGGTGTAATTTCGTATTGAATCCTAATAGGCTTTGTAAAGACTTGGCTCCTGGAGCGGTTGTTTCACCAAATACCATCGTATTACCTAACTCTCTGCTTACTCACAATCAGGAGACTAAGTCGACTCATAGTTGTTCTTCCGAGTCATCAGAATTACCTGTCTCTACGAAGCCGACTGCTATTGGACGTTTCACAGTGGCTCCAAGTAATAAAGTCAATGAACCTACTAGTCATTCTTCATCTGGACGTTGTGCTCGGGGTAGCTTGACATCTGAATCTAACCAAGCTTCAGCACACCATAAGAATGTACATAATTTTGAATATGGGAATCGAGAACATCATTCGCTTACATCCGCACTGCCAAATACTCTGAAACGAGCAATAATGCAAGTTAGTCGAAATCTCACTGGAGGAGGAACTCCCACAACAAGTAATGAAGAAAGTAGTAATCGTGGTACAGCACAATTAGTTACAGGTACTCATTCACCTCTTCATACTTCATTTGATCCTGTTTCTAAATTGTACTTAAATTTTTAATCATCATGTTGGATTAAAATAGTTAATTCTCTGTTAAATTCAAAATTTTCACTCTAAATGGAATTGCCACTTAGTGGCTATCTGTGTATCTACACTAGCAATATTTAGCAATTTAAGTTTTTCTGTCAACTGACTATGTTTATCATGTGGAATATTAATAGTGAACGTAAACTATGATCTTATTCATTAAATTGTTCAGAGTATTTAACACAACAATGAAGCAAGGTTTTCTAAAAGTACTACTGTCTGCAATTTAATTAAAGTAATAAAATACCAGTTGATTGTTTGTTGATTAAGACCACTCAGTAGTGTTCTATTTATTCACATTAAAATAAAGTAGGTGAAGAGCATATTCGGGTGTGGTCCCCTAAGAAAACCACCTACTTCGGTTTGGGCGTCCGGGCAGTATCTCAGCACTCATACAACTCGAATGAATTACGGCACATATCTGTTTGGTGCCTCCTTGTACCAATGTTTACGTGTTTAAATAAATAAATAAATAAAGAGTATATTGGAATACATTGGTTAAAATATGGGTGATGGAATTATTGGGCCCCAGCTTATATGTAAGTCACTATAATCATTATCTTTTTCAGTGAAAAACACCATATACAAATAAACTTTTAGCAGCTGAAATCTAGGCTGTATGAAACCACCAATTCGTTTGGAGATCTTATACACGTTTTAGAAATTATTTATTCAGGTGGTACTTCGTTGTTCGGGATATTAGATCTCCAGAACTCACTTGGTAAATGTCTTATTTTCCTAATTTTGTTCCGGAAATTTAAATTTCTTGTTTTCGTGCCAAAAGCGCCCACTTTCACATTCATATCGTAGTTCCCACTTGGGAGAACCTTGAATGTCATTGACTCGTTGTCTCTGAGTCTTCGTTCCGTTCTCAGATTTAAGTGATTTTGTAATCTCTTCAATCATAGCATTCGTGAAGTTTCATATCATCTTGTTTTTCCAATATTACTGCAAAAAGTATAACATTGGAGTAGTTTTAAAATCAACCAGATATTTTGTAGTCATGTTTGGATCTTCATTCATTCAACAATGGGTAAAATCCTAATGTGACTCATATTATTCCATCAACTTACCCAACTAAACTGACTTTAGATGTTGATTTTTAATGATAATTGGGTAGTTTTGTACATTGTTCTTCAATTATAGTGTTGCTTATTGAAATTTAATTTACCTGTTTCTGTTTGAGTAGTTACATTCTTTTAGTTCTAACAGTTTCCCGCTCTTTTTACTTCTAAGTTTCAGCTTGTCGTATGATTATTGAGTTGCATTTTTTAGCCTCGAGGATATACATCCCCTTCATATTCTCAATAAATTCAGTAGAGTTTTTTCTGCCTAAAGTTTGTTTTCCTAGCGTTTCGCTTCATAATTCAAAGGATTTTTTAATTTTTGTTGTGAATATTCCATTGATTTTAAACAATAATCTCCATAGACCTGACAGTTTGATTTCCATCTTTATGTACTTCAATATTTCTAATCACACAAATTTGTTATTATGGAGTACGTTTCAATTTCTTTTTAATTGAAAATTTTTTTTATAACAACGTACGTAAGGTTTTAGTTACACTTTACTGTTTGATTTGAATCAGCTTTATATACTGCATACTAAAGTATTTTGGTTAGTCCCAGGATTTTATTAGTTCAAATGACACCAGTTATAATCTTTCCTTTAGCAACTTCACAACTACATGTTTTATTTTTGTACATATTTATTGCAAGACTATTTCTTTTCTTACAGGACGTCATAATAAATCCGTACCAAAATCTTCTGGAGGTGGAAGGTAAGTTGATGCAAAACAAAACTAAACTGTATGTATTATGAAACGAAAATATTTGTAAATTTTTAAATCTTATTTAAGCTTTCATCATTTTAAAACAGAGATAATGTGTAGCACTAGTAGACCCTCAGCACAAGTTTAAAGTTCTAAGATAAAGCTAATATACTACGTATAAATCCTTGTATTTAGCTTACAGTTTCATTTACTCTTTTATGACTAGCGATACTGACTGTCCAGACTGAAGGGTTCGAGCTTGGAACTGAATGACTGAACTTTAAATCCTTACGATTGATTGTTAAAATTCCTTAAAGCCTATGGTTTATCTTGGCTAGTAGTATTGTCTTGTCAATATCGTTATATAATCCTTAGTCATTGGTTCATAATTTATCAAAGTGAAGCTTAAAATTGATGTTTTATTGTTTGCCTTTGAGGGATGTTATCACTGCAGCACCTGTTCCAATTGGAGCTGTCAAAAAACATGGGTTTGGTTTGTCTCAACAACAACAGACACAAAAACGTCAGCCTTTAAATCCACAAAGTGCTTCTCATTCTCAAAATCCTACTGTAAGATCCAAAAGCCCAGCTGTTCGTAATCATTCTTCATCATCTAATACCTCTTCTGCATCATCGGAAAGTCATGGAACTCAAAAAATGAATAAAGAATCCTCAGTTGCAATGAAAGCTAGTTCAGATATGAACTATCGTGGTTCTATAAACAACACTTGTCGTGATAACGATAAAAGCTCATTACAAGGAACACAGAAACGAAATATGATAGATGCAAACGGAGCTAAAATTTCTGGTTCAAGTTGTACTTCATCTAATTCTGGTGCTGAAAGCGAAATTCGAGAAAGGGCTACGACAATTGTTCAAGGCGTTTGCAAATCAGTTAATGCTTCCTCTTTGCATCATCAACATTCTACTCCTCAGTCTGTCTTAGAAGCAAAACAGGAATTTAAAGAGAATGATGATCGTTCTTGTCTAGTAGTACCAGGGAATAATAATGAACTCATTCACTTCGAACAAACTAATCTTCGCAATGAAAAGTCAGAACTCAGTCGTAGTTTAACAACTATTGATAAGACAAACCAAATGACTAACAATTCGGATAAAACTGCAAATGTTCCATCCCTTAATCCACAAATTAAAGTATTACATACAGTCCAAGGCACAGAAGCTCTCGCTTTACGTCTTGAAGCTCTGCGTTTACAGTCTGTGAACTCAACGACCAAACCATCTTCAAATCCTGAGGCAGCCGCAAACATGTGAGTATCTAGTGATCTTTTTATGCTTATCGTCGAATACACCAGCGTGCATATTTTCTGCATGCCTTTTAGATTACGTTCTCAATTTAGCGAGATTATGATAAAAAATCTAGTGTTTTTCTAAGAGTACAGTTTCTTTGGTGTAAATAATCAATTTCTTAATCCTTCAATTTACTAAATATGTGAACTCCTGGTATTCTTTTGACGATTTGTGATATGAATGAAGTATATTTTTGTTGTAAGTTTTGGCAGGACTGTTGGGAGATTCTTCCAATATGCAACATGATTAATACTAACTGGATGATAGATCAATAGTCTAGTACGCAACACTTCAACAATAAAATTTTTGCAAGAAATATGCATCGATAAAAACCCCCCAAAAATTGACTTGTATAGTAAAACGATGTGCCTATCTACAAATGTTAACACAAAATAAGTATGATAAATTATTGTAAACGATTGGACAAAGGTATTGTTTAGGTCACTCACTCTCCAGTCAAAGACCTGATTACCTGATTAGCACACTTATAATTTTAGATTCCCACACTATTATTAAAGTCCGTATTTAAATTTGTGGTAGTTAAGAAATTAATAGTAGATAAATATTATCATTCTATTTTTTAATAACATTTTAGTTTACATATGCTGAAATAAGGTATTCGTAAAGGCTTAAAGTCGATTATTTTATACTATATTTGCTTTCCTGTGATCTGATGTATGACTTAAATCAACTATGAAGTATCACTCTTCTCACCCTTTCTTACCAGACTTGACAAAGTGTAAGGAAAACTGTGTGATTATCACCGTTGCTGATATAATGTAGCTTACAAATCTCTTGACAATTATTCGAAACAACCCAACCAATATTAAGGTGGATATTCTATGATTCAATGGACAATTCTTTTGAACACTAAACACCTCACTTTTACGTCGATAGTTTTATTGGTTCATCAGATAGCCGGAGTACATCTTATGATTTTACAACTTGGTTATATGGGTTAATTAGTTTTCAGTTTATTTTCAGTCAATAAATATTGTGACTGGTAACTGGAAGATCTGTTTGTATATCATTATAATCCGGCTATAACTTCAACACTGTTCACTTGATGGTCCAGAAATATACGAGCAATGGGTCAAAGTCATCTAATAACTTACGAGTATAAGACCACATTTCACAGCCATGAAGTAGAACAGAGCTGAGTGTTACGCAGTATACTCGTTCCTTCAAGATGTCTGTCTGCTATATGCATATTGAATACAAATGAAAAAGCATAGACATATTGTTACTACATTGAATTTGTCTCAATAATCGTCTCTCAATATTCTTTTCTATAGAATTGTGGATTCCAGTCATCAAGGTTCATGGGGCCGTGGTGTTCTAAAGGCATTAGGTGGATTCTTTGTACAAAGGTATGCTAGTCTTTTGTTAATTAAAACTGTATATGTCCGATGAGTTCTTATTTCCTCGTATCTGTTGTTTTGTTAAAGAAGGAATAAATTTTTCTCTAATATAAAGCAAACATTTATTCCCTTATGTCTAGGTGATGACTTGTTTGAATATACTGACATTCATTGAATACATGGATGTATTTAATTAATACAAACTGTTACACTCACAGTACGTGACAAGTCTTCAACCAGGTATCCATTTGATATTGAGACCTTATCATATGATTAGTGCCCCTTATAGAAACATGTGTCTATGCTTCATTGTTATTATTTCAATAGAATAACTGAGTGCTAATTCGTGTATCAGATTTTCATTCATACTTTTTATGTAAAGTATACTATCCAGTTTGTTAAATCAAAGTTGATAGTTATATGTAGTTTGGTCATCTCGGACGTTGTTCTTTACCAAAATGACCAACATCTTACTTATTTACTAAAGATCATCTGTTAACATGGAATGGGAAGTTTTATCATATTTCATTTTTATCAGTACAGGGTTGTGGAGATTGTTGAGTTTTGATTGAGATAATGAATGGATCAATGTTAGACCACCATTGAAAATCTGGAAGCACTGGACGATCGTTTCGTCCTAGTATTGGGCTCCTCGGCAGTGCCTATCCATGATCCTGCAAGCAGGATTCGGACCAAGGATCTTCGGTCTCGCGTGCGGGGTCGTGAATGGGTCCTGTTTAAGAATCCAATGCTAGGACGAAACAGCTTTCCAGTCCATCCACGTTCTCAATGGTGTTGTAATATTTCATTTTTATTTAATAATTCATTTTTATTGTACATTAAATAAACCTAAACTATACATGTTAATTTGGCTGTGTTTTCCTTCCAAGTTAGGTTTTATGTTCACTTGACATATTAGTTGACAAGGATAAAATTGGATCAGATCATATTTTTTATAAGGCTAATTTCTAATGGACCGAATCCAGTTAAACTGAGACTAGTCATATTTAAATGATAAATTTCAATTGTAGCTTAGATTTATTGCTAGTATTCGAAATATAACCGTTAGACAACTATACATATGTTGTTCTCAGTCAGGAAATCATGTTTACAGTTATCAGTCGATTAAATCCCTGGACTCTGCTGTTAGATTCAGACCACCTGGTTGGGATCAACTCAGGTACTGTAATCAATGGTTGGAGATGTTGGATAACATCAATTAAAATCATTCACAATGCCATATATGTTTTCACTGTTTATCTTACTCTTAATTTTAAGTCTCAATATTTCTTCATATATACCTTCTTTTTATTTCTTTCCAAACTGTATTCCCAACAATGGACCTTTCTCATTATGATCATTACTACATTACTTCGAATCCGTCACTATTCTTGGTAATTTCATCTCGTCTTGCTAATTTAATGTAGCAAATTTGGCCAACACACAAGTGTACCCAGGCTCTAGTTTGGTAATTGGCTAGAAAAAAATAAATTAGTCATTCAGCAATCTAATGTTTCACTGTAGATCACACATTATCGAACGCTTTAATCCAACTTCAATTCACACTTACCTTGCCTTCTGGTTTGATATTATTTTATAAATCTTAAGTTTGTCTCCATTTTATTCGTTTAAGTTACATAAACTATTTCTTAGCAATCTCAGCAGATACTAGCTTTTTGTTCACCAATTAACTTATCTCCCTTATTTTAAAAAATCCACTCAACATCAGATCGTAAAATATAGTAGGAAGTTATAGTGTTTGTCCTAAATATCTACTGCCCCTTTTTAAAAGCTATTTGGCTGGCAAACAGTCTAAGTTGGTGAGTACCAGCGCTGTTTTTTGTACCATGTTCTCTTTGATGATCAATTTATTTAGATTTCTGTGAATGCAAAGTTGATAAAACAGTTATCACTTTAAATTATTTCATTTATTCCCTCAATTAAATCATTTAACATAGCTTGTCAAATTAAAGAAGTCACTTATTATTGCGAAAAAGGTGGTTAGATAGGTTGTGTTTGGTGGACACTGGTTAAAATATTCCGTTTTTTGTCTCACAAGATTGCGTTGTTGATGAATCGTAAGACTTCTGAGTCGGCAGTCAACCTGATTAAATATGAAACATGCATAGGTATTTACCAAAAAGTAGAATATAATCGATTGCAGGCTTATTTAACGGGATTTATCAGTGTGATGTGTTTTTAACCTCTCCTCTATCATCTGGCAAATACTGTTGCAATAAAATTCTATCGCTTCGGATTCAAATGGTCTGTGACACTTAAGAAATGTGAAGCTCATACTTTAAACGGTGTTTATAGTTTACAATATGGCGATATCAGGGTTGTGGTAGTATGACGGCATCAATAGTACTTTTTATTAAGCACTCCGAATATACGGTAAAATTGTACTTAAAATTCCCTGACTTAATCTGTTTTTCCAAAGTTTATCTCTCAAGCATAGTGTTGCATCATTCTGCTCTGTTTGTTGAATCCTGATTTTGAGAGAACAAGGTCGGCTACAGAATTCACTTAGAGTTCTGGGAATCCCATAATTCCTACTGTAGTTTGTTTATTGTTTTATGATATACAAAAGACCGGTTTTATTTTCTCCACTTGATTTTCCATTTTAGTAGATCTACAGAAGGACGTCCGGATAATCAGTCGTCCACCCGACTACTTAATAAACCACGTGAAGTCAAGTTCCCTTGGAGTGTATATACTACAAGCACAAAATCAGCAGAAGAACTCCTTCAGTCCATCATACATGCCCTTGAAGTCACTCCTGGTTGTCGTTATTCACATGACCCTCACCTTCCTTTTCTATTGCAGTGTTCCTGGGCAGCTGATCGACCTGCTATCAAAAAGTCTGATTCGGAAGCTGCTTGTAAAGATCAAGCTAACACATCCTTTTCTGGACCCCTTGAGGTTCCAAGTCATGGTGGACTTTTACGTGGAGATCCGGTACATTGGGAAATGGAAGTATGTCAGTTACCACGGGTTCACCTGCGTGGTGTCCGACTGAAACGAATACGTGGATCAACACTACATTTTCGCCCAATCGCTGATCTTGTTATGAAGTCGTTGCGTTTGTGATACCTTATTAGAAATCGTTGCAATAAATATACATATAGCTCATGGTAAACTATCACTTATATTTCAGTAATGTAACATGAACAAAAAGTGGAAAAATAACTTCAAACCTTATAGAACCAGTTCATTGGCTTTATATATTTCATTTATTTTATGCGTCCCGTTTTTCCTATACTGATGTCAAACTTGGTATGCAGTTTTAATGACTGCTTCCCTACACCTGTTATTTAAAAAAATATGCAAAATGAGACTTCATTTCAGATTCAATCACAATCCCATGTACAGTTTTATCTACCGGTTCACAAAATTTGAAACTCCAGTTCATCATTTGTGTTTTGTTTTGAAACATTAATTTACCAATAATTATTTTCTGTTATCCATTCAGTCTATCACATTTTCTTTTATCGATTTCTTTGCTTCTCTCTTTCTGATATTTTTACTAGATTAACTCATTCTTTTGCAATTCTGTAAAATTATAGGTTGTTTGGAATATATATATTTGCTATCACTAGTTATTTTTATTTCCCATTATTACACACTCTATCGCTCACAGTATAGTGCTCCTTCTCTTTACTGTATTCTTAACTATTTTCCTATGTAAATGTTTAGACGATTAACTTTCATCTCGTTCCGTATAAAAACTTTCAAATTAACGTAATAAATGATCTTTTTAACAGATTAAAGTCTCGTACGTATGATACTGATACGCTTAATAATATTCTGATTCACTTAATATTTTACGCGTTAATCTATAATAACTATTATTATTATTACTATTAAGGTTTCAATTTCACATGCATAAATATTTCTGTATTTATCTGCCTTGTGGTTTCTCAGTCTATCTATTATTTTTTCTTTAAATCTACTGTACTACTATCAATAAATCTTTTAATCAAGATTAATATTTATTTGTGAGATTTACGGTTTGTCAGTTATTTGACTTAAATGATTTATTATCTTTCTAATTATAGTTCAATTTTCTAAATATTCTCAAAAAGTTAAGCACAATATAGACCTAGTGTCATTATATTAGGTTGAATAACATCAAATGTTCTTTTCATAATTTGTTTCAATAGAACTACTCAAGTTATTAATACACCTTGTTTTCTTAGATTCCATTTCCCAATCAAGCTAAGTTTCGCATGTATGAAATATATCTCATAGTAAATTTAGTTCAAAACATTAGATTAATCGCATATTTTAGGTAGTCGTTTTGAGAATAATCTTTATGTCGTCGTAACTTCCACATTACAATTTCTAATATACAGAGTATTGATCAATGTATTCCTTGTGCTGTATATAAAACTGTCGTTGTCATTCTTGATGATATTGGTGCTAGCAAGCAATTTCATTGTCCTTACATGTAATTTCAGTAATTTGCTGTAACTCTACACTCTTCATCGGTTAGCTGTTTTAGGGGACGTTTCGTAAGTAACCAATATCTGAATCTATACTGTCTAATGGTCCAGTAGTAATAGTAAAGCTATTAATACTGTAGAATATCAGTTTAATATTTAAGATAAACTTATTCATTTTTGTTGCTTTTTATCAAGAAGGAGATTAAGACAATTCGTGGTACTTTTTTATCGTTATTATCATTTACTAAGGTACAACTGTATTTACAATTAATTGGCATACCTTAATTTCATCATTAAATAAATGAATATTGCATCACTGAAAAAGCAATCGAAAGCGTCTTAGGGTATCACAAAGATACCACACAGTAGATTGTAGGATAGGTATGAAGCGGAAAAGTGAGGAAAGATCATCGATGAAAGGTAATTGTCTACTTGAAGAATATTAAAAGAATATGAAACAAGTAAAGCGTAAAAGATAACAATTAAAATTAAAAGGTATGTATTATCACAATTAAGCTCATCAATCTTGAATAATAATTATTAAAAATAGTGAATAGTACAATAGATTTCTCATCTTATTAAGTTAAATATTTGGAGCAAATATGTGAGATAATTTTCAATGGTATTTGGCTGTCATTCATCTTCACTGACCTAAGTGTAACCAGTTTTACTCCTGTAATATTTTATGCATAAACTCTGATATAATCGTTAATTGTTTCTCTTATAGATCGGTGAAGGTAAATGTCATCATGATGATGGCTACTTTTAAATTTTAAGGTATTTAGCTTCACATTATTTTATAAGCTTTTAATAAAGCATATAAATACATTCGAAGGTTATCATATACAGTTGGTTAGAGCAAAACTTAATCAGAAAAATGTATTGTAATATTTACACATTTAGATAACAAATAGCTCAGAGGTTTGAACAAATCTAGGATTATACCTATGTTACCCACGTCATTCTAACTCTTGCTAAAATACGGACTTGATATTCGCAAGCTTTATTTGAAACTAGAAATGTTATTTTTGACAGTTAACTCTTTAGATAGTTAAAAACGTATTATCCAAGATATCATCAATTTAAACTTCTTTGTGAGGGTATCACTGCTAGTTAGTTTGAACTTGCTTTTTTGTGAATTCGTTTGATTAGGACGTTATTATAGCATATTTTTTAGTCATTATTTATTTACTAGGTCAAGTATAATGTAATCCTCCGTTCCATAAATAGATCAACCAACTTTTGAGTCTAGTGGTTTTTGTGCTGTTATCGTATCCTAATTAATGCTCCAAGCACATTCATAAAAGTTATGATAAATTTTATGATCGTTAACCAGAGGGCTGGGACGACTAAAGTGGAGTATAGGAATAGACTTCGGTCGACTCTTAATTACTTTCCGACGTAGTCCGTCACTAGTATTTAGGTCGGTCAAGATTTCACTCTAGACATATTTGGTGTGCTGCCGTATATGGATAAGACCAAACCGGACTGGAGGTTTACAAAAGAGGACTTAGAGGAGCCAGGAGGGACTTATTTGAAAATTTAAAGTAAGAAGATATGATTTTGTATATTCCACAAAGAACTTTATGAATCTTATGAATAAAAAACTAAGAATTTCTCGCATACATATTCAGTACAGACAGTTTTTTGTATTTGATTTATATTCAAATCCGAAAATAACTAACGTGGGTATAAGCAATTAAAGGGTTACAAGTGGATGAATCATTAATAAAGTCTTGGAATGAATAGGTAAGGTTTGATTAGCGTTTAATAGTGTTTCATTTCTTGGACAGCTTAGAAGTACTTGGAATCAATGGGCTGCAAGATAACGCAGTTGAGTTAATAAATGAATAAACAAGATATCGGATAACTTGTATATTTTCCGTAGAGGTCATTTGTGGTAAAATTTGAGCGTAAGCTATTTAATGAGGTTTCAGATGTTCACCAATTGTAATCCTTGATTTAATAGTGATTAACGTAGGAACAGAATGAAGTAAGATGCAGAATCTCCTAACAGTAACACAATATCTATCCTCAAATTCTGTTGTTTTGACTTCAGACGTTCACAGTAAAGTTTCGATTTTTCAGGCTGTTTTTTTTTGCTTTGAATGTTTGTTTAATTTCCATCTCATTTTGTTCACTATCAGTAGTTTATTGTTCGTGATTTACTCTGTATCTGTGTATTAACTTCTTACTTGAGGAACGACTAGAAATCGCTTCCCATTGTTTTGAGATTTTGATATTGTCGCTATTTGGTTATGGTCAATGATACAAATAAGCATAAACTGGCTAGGGATTAAATTGAAGACATGACGAGTATGTTATCTGTAAACCAACAAGTTTTCATCTAATGGAATCGGTTTGTGATTTTAGAGCACAACAATAATTTAATGCTATTGTTCGGGAACTACGCTAATCTTGACATAGTCAAACTTCACTGGTTAAGATTTTTCATTTTAATCACAGTAATTCATCTCTTCAAGCTGGTTATCAGCAATTAGATTATTATAATTTAGTTTAGAGATTTGTATAAATTATTTTAGTATATAAATAACTCTTTCGTCACGGATTCATATCAATGTTGGACGCTATCTATAATTGTTGTATGGATTAACAGATTAAAATAAAACATAAATAATCAGTTGAAATTAATTCAACTTGTAAATTAGAAGTGTATGCTCATTTTTTAGCATTAAATCATTTGGTTCATGGCTTTTCTTTTCTATTTATTTGCTCTTATAAGTTTTCAATTAGAAAAAAAGATCTACTATTCTATGATATACGTATTTTTTTTCTATTTCACAAGAATAACAAGAGTTTAAGGACAATTATGAACTTTTCATAGTCATGCAAATCAATATCCGTTATCTGGTGGTCAACATCAGTTTAACTGTAAGAAAAAAAATTACCAAAGTACATTGATGACTTACATTTTAGTTTTCTAATTAGACATAAATAATTCCATTAGAATTTATTGGATTTTATTCTTAGGAAAAATGTAAGATGTTCAGCTTTTTTTTTCTTGATAGATTCAAAATATTTGAATGGTTAAGATCATGAGTCAATTGAAGCTAGACTACTATGGAACACCTGGAAGCACTAGAAGGGCCTTTTCCTTCTATTGTAGGACTTCTCAGCAGTGCGCATCCACGATCCCGCCCCATGAGATTTGAACCCGGGACCTATCAGTCTTGTGCGCCAACGCCTAACCTCTAGACCACTGATCCGGCATCAAAATAATTAGTAGTCAATCTTTTTGTAGTTTTGGATTTATCAGTTAACTATATGAATATATAAGAAGCAATTTTGACTTTATAATAATATTATTTGGACGTGGAATGTTTTCATTCTGTTTGGGATGTATTAAATAAATTTTAACTATATCCTTACATTATTGTTTCATCTGAAACTTGAATACAACATCTAATGGATTTATTAGGCAGAATGCTATCCACACCATACCATTCGCTTTCATTATATAAAGTACCCGTATATATAAACTTTTCTGAAGATAGGATCAATGATCTTAAATAGTTTACTTAAGTTAGTGTAATTTTTTTTTCTGTTAGAATGAAATGATCACAAATCTACTCAAAAGTGGATATTCGTCTAGAATTTTTTTCCTTTTTTAAAGTTAAGTCCTCTCTCAGGATTCAAGAAATGTAAAGCACTGAGTTATGAATTTATTTGATCCTTGAAGAGAAAATGATTAGTATATGAAATTATATAACATGGAAAAATGACTCAGTACTTCAACGTATTGTTTCTCTAACTAAACGAACAAAGTTCATTTATATACATAGGAGTATAATTCTTATAATATGAAATTTCACCATGACTATTCACTACACAAGCTTCAAATAATCTTATGGCTAAGTTTATAAGTACGGTTTAATCGATTGTCTCATGCTTTCTATATTCATTTAGCTATAAAGATAGTTTTACAAATTCAAAATTACTATTTTAAATATTTCGATATTTAAAAATTAATTTCTCTGTTCAAATTGAATAGAAGTAATAATAAAATGTTGAATGAATTCAAACAATTCTTCGATGTAACTATAATTTATGGACGAACCAATCGAATTTATAATGTTAAGTCTTAAATTTTAGAGCGAAATTAATTAATTCATTTGACTGAATAGAGTTTTGGCACTATAGCTGTTATATCCGAGCGAAGATTAAATCACGAGTAACTTCTGAGACATATTAATTGACTAATATTATCTATATATTCTTATGGTGTAACTATTCAGTAATTAGATTATGTATATTTATATTCCTCTTATTATAAACTTTATTTTGACCTATAATTTATTATTGTACGATTTACGATTCTTAAGCTATGTTCAGTTTATTAACTACTGCCTCCCACGTTCACAGCCACTTTTTGGCTTTATTGTGTACAAATGTTATTTCCTATTTTATGGTGCGTTGCGGTCTGTTTGGTTGATATATAAACCCAGTATGTCTGCAATAAATGATTCGATTCGCATATTGGAAGCTGGTATTTGGTGTTCTGGACTCAAGTGGACGGGCTAGGCAGACATAGGACCAAATAAGACGCAAGGCTGCTCATACCGGTCGAACGTCATTGGTTTGGCACAGTGCTAAGATTGTGTGAGTCGTATTTTGATTGGTGGATAAGTCACGTGATAAAAAGCCGGACATAAAGTCATAACAATAGTTGATATCAGTTCATGATGAAAATCATAAATCTAATCCCTAACTATCAGTGGTAAATATTAATCCTAATTCCTCATACTGGTTTATAATCTTCATTTAGCCGTAGTATGTAAATCCACATCCTCAAGGTCTTCTTAGCGTTGCTCAACGATTGTCCATACGTTATGGTCTCACCCAATTCTTCTTTACAATAACACTTTATTTATAAGATTATTATTTTATATAAATATATTACAACTCATTTTCTATAATTAAAGTTAAATTAAAGAAATACTTTTATTACAATCCATTTACAAACTTATATCCTTTGATAATTTAGACTATTCATAAAGTCATCGAA